AAGTACTGCAGGCCCATCATCTGGGCTTGGGTGCGCCGACCAGCGAGTAACCTGTCCCGGAGCTTCCGGATGCGGTCCTTCTCCTCCGGCGACTCACCATCTGAGCTTGCCGATGAGACGGACGATATGTCAGATTCCACGTCGTCGTGACCGGCTCGCCGAGCCACTATGCTTGCCTTCTTCCAGTTTCGCCTTGCATTGGACATGGCCGGCCCGCTCGAGCCTTCTTCTTGCCCGGTGGATGACCCTGCCGTGTCACTTCTTGCTCTAGGGGTCGTATATTGACGAAACTCAGCTTCCCGAATCGCACTCATCCACCTTGAACTAGCATCAAGACTGTAGCCTTCCATTTCTCTCCTGGTTCGGTGGCCCCGGAACGTCTTTTGAATCAGTCGGGCGGCCCGTTCCCTTTCCTTATTATCCTGGCCGTCATGGCTTGCAGATCGGCTCCGTTCCTTGTTTAATAGGGTCAACTGGCGTCTATGTTCTCTATCCCTCTGCCGCATTTCTTGCTCCTTTTGCTCCTGGATGCGAGCGATGTGCTCGAATTGCTCTTTGGAAGGAGGGACAAGCGAATCCATGTATGCCTGCGATTTTTTGGTCCAAGATGTTGTTGTGACGTCAGTGTCGGCAGAGAACAGGGAGATCTTGGAATCCGACCTCCGGGCGTGATGGAACGGTGGGGTGGTAGTATTAGGGCCAATTGGCCCGTTGGGCTGGAGAAATTTAGACGTATAGGCCATCTTGACGCTCGGTCATGTGTCATCGAGACAGACAGGTGACGGCGTGGTGATTACACGTGAGATGTTGGATGGGCTAGAGCCTCTTCTTTACTTATGCGGACTGCACGCAGAGGACCAGGGGGGTTTTTGTCATTGTCATTCACATCTTGATATAAGATGAAGAAAGGTTTTGCCGTGCTTATGGATTAAAGAATGATTGAAGGGCCGAAAGGTCACACACATGAGCCATACTTAAGGGAATACCAAGAAAACATGAGGTAGACATACGCGTACGCCAAGAGCCGGATTGGCGAGTGCGTAAAACATAATCACAGCCACCCAATAACGGCCAAGAAAAGTACTCCATCTGGAAGGGATTAGGATACATGCACACTCACTTGTTTCAGTGTGTCTTCGCATGTTCGGCACCATGGATGAGTCTCGGCAATGTTAGCGTGGGGAGGCGCATGACGTGGAACCGGGCCGCGCTGGTATGTTAACACTTGGCGAGCGAGGGCGGTTACTATGGATCTCCAGGAGCCGCAAGGCGTTTTGCTCACGGTATTTGGGCCGATCGGCTGGCCTTGTAGTCTCAGGTCTGTGCTGAGCCACACTTGATGAGGCTTCTCCCTTTTTTTCTGGAATTTTGACTGTGAAGAGCATGATTGGCTGCATACCTAAATTTGATTCATAAATGAAAACGCTCATCTCAGATCCAGAACATCATTATCATTAATATTTAGAGTCCCTGGCCGATCCAAAGAATGTTCCGCCAGCTGGAATTATACATTGAGGCTATGTCGTGGCGGTGACTAGCCACCTTTTTATGTGCGATTTGTCCAAGTAACTGGTAGGCATGTACGTTGGTAAAATGAAGAGTCTGCCCATCATCTGCAGGCCGTATGGCTCATCTGTCCATAACGGGCAGGACTGCGACATGGTTATTTATTTAAACAAGAAGTTCTTGAGGACCGGCGAGCCGGAGAACTCTGGGTTCAACAATATACAGCTGGGTAGCGGGAATGTCAGCAAATGTGAAGGAATATGAAAGCTAGAAGTGACGAGAAGCAATGTTGCCTACTTGAGAAAGTACTGGAGCCCTGCCCTCCGCTTTTCTAGGAACTTCGGCCTGAATTTGGAGATGACACTCTTTGGGGGGAGCGGAGGTACCGCCGCCTCGAAGTTTGGAAAGGAGAGCACAAGCTGACTGCGGAAGTCGTCGAACTCTGAGTATCGTTTGCGGATGTTCATATAGCTCCCCTGTATTATCACGTATATATATCAGTATTGTGAATCTTGGGGCTGTTTGGTCTAGTTCAGGGTGACATACGGTGAGAGTTTCGACCTTGATGATCCAAACAACAAAGGCGCCGATGTTTGTGGTACTGCCATTCACTATAATATGGTCGACGATTTCCACACTCCGCGCCCAGCATGCATTGTTTCGATCGTTGTCTAGATTGTTTTCATTGTCCTGTAGCGTAATGGCGCCTGCGGGAATGGACTCGACCGATACATTGGAGCGGGATCGCTGATGGATATTCGAATTGATCCAGTATGGCGGGGTCGTTGGGGAAAGTGTCGTAGAAGTTGCCGGGCTCAGTAATTCCGGGTGCTCCCCATGTGCTGAGTTTGAGTGATCGGATGTTCCTGTCGAGGTTGCGCCATGAACCGCTTGCGCATTCGAGGGCTTCGGCGCAGCGCGGAGCCTGGGTACAGGAGCACCGTTCGAACGGCCGTTCACAAGGGGATCGCGCTCTAGTGCCAATGCCATTCAGCTGGGCGATTCTGCAGGCGCATGCGCTTTTCGGCTGGGCGGGATCCTTCTTGAAGCTTCTGGACTTCCTTTGTTGATGATAATGTCGCAAGAATCGGATATGGCGCTGAGCGTATAGGATGGTGTTCTGATAGTCCCAAATATGTTCGATCTTGTCGCGATAAGCTCTGGAGCAAGTGTTACGCCGATAGGTATTCTATAATATCGATATCGATTTGTGCAAGGAGAGGGATTGCCAGATAGAGATATTGCTTAGGTAGATGGTGGTGATCAATCCATGGCAGGAGGATTGAAGTTCAGACCACCGACGATTTGCCAGTCCCGTCGGGTTACATTGGAGCCATTGAACCAGGACGAATTTTAGGTGCTGAGTTCAGTGGCTGCTTTAGTGCGAACAGTGGGGTCGGGGCCAACATTCCAGCAACGGCGCATTGGGACACTTCCGTATCAACAATTCATACTTTTTATCTACATCCATTCATTGGATGGATGCTTGATGCTTGATCTATGCATTCAACGGCTGTGTCCCGCGGCGAAATGGCCAATCAAAAGGACCGCGTTGGAGGGCCGCATATCCAGCGCGTAGCAAAGCAATGTATTGCCATCTGCTGCTTGTGTTTGGGCAACCAGGGAGACAGGCCAAGGCTGCCAAGTCTGACACGCAAAGATGGGTTCCTTAAAGGGCCAAGGAAATGGGAGGGTGAAAGACGAAGTCCGTAGGTTCCGGGAATACCCCAGATAGGTTTTTGAGTGGGAAGCCTGTGCATCTGGCTGTTCGCCCCGTGCGAGGAGCACTCATTGTTTTTTCACCTTGTGCGGGTTATCTGACGGACAGGCTGGCTCACCTGTTCTTGCGGCAGCCGGGCTCTTGGCTGTTTTGCCCCCCTCCCGTTATGGTGACATCCGGAGATTTTCTCAGACAATCCTCCGGGATTTCCAATTGCCTCAGGCCAGTTCTCCTATTTGCCATCGTTAGAGAATGTCATAGGCGAGCCTGCCATAATCACTCCTCGTGTTTTAATCCGGAGAACTAAACGTTGAGGCTGTGGGGAGGAAGATTACGATGTTGTTGTTGTGAGAAACCAAGCAGTTGCATGCGCCTTTAGCGCATTTAGCGGAGTCGCCCAGAGCTCCAGCTCCACCTTCATAAGGCAAGTCGGCAGGAGCTTAGAGCAACACGATTGTCTTGTGACACTTTATCGGGCGAGATGCTACCCCAAGGTGGGAGAACGATCAGAAGGCGACACAGAATACGAGGGACGGGCAGCAGTCCGTTTTGTCCGTTAAAAAAAAGTGCTTGCTACTGGCTCACTCACTTGCCTATTCCCACATAGAAGCTGGGGGTTGGATGTTGGATGTCTCGTATATGTATCCTGTAGCTGGGGTTATGCTTGGGCTTGGTGGTCAGAAACCAGACACAGAGTGGTGCAGTCTTAGACATTCCAAGCTGGCAGTTGAGACAACAACACAACATGGTGCTTGCTTAATTGTACATGCAGCACACGCAGCTATGCCATTGCAGGCATTTACGCAGTAAATTACCCCCCTTGAGTAGGCGGCAAAGGGAACTGGGTTCTTGATTGCAGCTGAGTGGTGAGGCCGTTGACTACTCCACTGAGGCACCTACGGTAGTGATGCACATTAGCATTTGCACTACTCGTGCAAATGCACGGACTAGCGATTCTCACAGATTAACATTGGCTTGCCATTGGAAGCCAAGATCTACGCTGGCTAGGGCAAGCCACGGACATATGGCACAAGCTTAGATGTGAGAACGGAAACAGAACAGCGTCCTTTGTTCTGCTTTTATTAAAGTTCGACAGAGATCTACTTTGATCGACCAACCTCCCATTTCATGCCGGCCGGGGTTTTGGGTTCGGGTGGCCCAGAAGTCCAGGCCAGAGGAGGATTCCTGTGGTTTCTTAAGCTTCTCCCGTAGCTGGTGCCGATGCCGTCCGGTTGCCGCCACCGCCTCTGCAATAAAACCCAATAATTGTGCACGGATGAGAGAGGCGGGTGAAAAAAATGACTGCCAGGCACTTATCTTCCTTAGCTTCAGGTGGTGAGAGCACCTGGTGGCCCACGTCAGTATGATCCCTGCCCCCCGGACCTGGAGGTCGCCGGCGCGACCCGCTTCCTTAATAAGGTAGGTTGCTCCCTCGAGCAGAATCCCCCCATTTCCATCAGCCTGGTCCAATTTCTCCCTTTTGACTTGCCCACTCGACTACTAATAACTTACTCTCGTTGCATTCCCTCGCTGGCCTCCGCTCTTTAACTCGAGCCGAGCTGCCTATTTTTCTTTTTCTTTCGTTTATCCTTTTGCCCTCGTTGACCGGCCGTAAGATAGCTCTCTGCTCTGCAACTTGATGTAAGTCCTGAAGCTGGAACTGACATCTCAGCCGGCCAATATTGACATCTTCGACTGACGCTGACCAATGTGGAATGCAGTTACAGCTTCAACTCTATATCCTTTAATAATCTCGCCACGCATCACCGCAATCATGATCTTCGGAACCTTCGTCCTGGCCCTGGCCACATCTTTTGCCGCTGTCGTTAAAGCCGATTACTATATCGAACCTGACTCCGTCCCTCTGGCCACACGAGGTTGGTGTTCTTTATCTCGAAGCTTGTTGGGATTGAACTGACGAATTATGAAGAGTATTGGTGCACACAGGCCTTGACCTCCTGCCCCTTCCTATGTGAACAGACAAAGCCAGGCACCACCAAGGTCAACACGTGCGATCCCGTAAGTTGGCCGTCAATCCTAATGGATGTCCCATTGACTGACACGTCTTGTTTGAAGGAAACCCTCCAATACGGTTGTCTATGCGGCGACAACAAGCAGCCCAATGTCTCCGAATATAGCTTGACCATTCCCTACTTCGTTTGCCAGGAATGGGGCACCCAGTGCGTCGCCAAATGCTCGACAAACACCTGCAAGGCAGCATGCCGTGAGGAACACCCTTGCGGTGCTCTCGATCCTACGCCTGCCAACTTAACTTCCTCCACCACCACCACCGCCTCGGCGACTGCCAGCTCTACTACCAACGCCAATCAAATCTACGGCTCCCCTAACAAATCGAATGATAAGGGAGCCGCCTCGGCTCTTGCCCTTGGGAGCCGATACGGTCTCGGTGTCGTCCTTGGATCCTTCTTTTTGGGATTTGCTCTTCTATAAAAGGAAAACAGTCACGTCCGATTTTTGTTTGCATCATTTTGGGTTACAACATTTGATGGGTTGAGCGTTCTCGTTTCCGTATAATCTCATTTTGCACACTGGTTTTCGGGGGAATCTTTCGAGGTGGTAATGTAATGGTAAATGGAGACTAGCTTGTGCAGCTTGTTGGCATAGGGTTCTTGAGGAATTTGGGATCTTTGCCTGCAGCATCCAATGCGACAGTGAATCGACCTGAGCTAGTGCTCGGCGGGAAATTGACAGAAACTTGTGCCTGACTTGGGTCTCTTAGTGTGGACACGACTCACTTCGTGGCTGCTAGACTTGGTGCTAGCTGGTTACCGCATGGGTGCCTCGATTTGATTTGCACATCGGCTGTGAGTATGGTGAAGCAGCCGAAAATCAAATTTGCCGTTATTTGTTGATTTGATGCCCGCAACCACCTCAGCTTCCAAATTTACTAAGCAAGGAATGTGAGGTTCAATGTGGGTAGCGTTTGGAACCCCTTCAGCCTCGGGAAATCCTCACCGTCACATGTACTCCCTAATCTTGAATTAAAATATAGGGGGCGTAGGACAAATGGTCCAATCCAAGAGCTTGCCGAGTGCCACCTCTCCATCACTGTGTGGCAATTGGAGACCGGGTCCTCACGAACTGACCAGTCCCCTGCCCTGCCTTGCCCAGAAAGGAGAGCTATTCTCCACACCATAGCCTGCTTCGGGATGAACAGCGCCGCTCACGACTCAAAGGTCCTTCCATGGAAAATGTACGTAGCTCCTCCTTAAACGGCGACAGAGCCCCGCTATCCATGGTCGATTTTCTTTTCGTTCATGACTTCCTCAGCAGCTGGCCGAACAGGTCTTCTCGACGCTGAACCGATATTGACGATGGCTCCCAACACGAGTAAGTCGCAGCTCAGCCGCGCCCCATGGATAAATTGGAAGCCGCCGATGAGGTGGCTTTACTGACATGTGCGCTTAGAGAACGCCGTTGCCGAGTGCATCTCAGACGATGCACTGCTCCATCTTCGCTCGTACAAATACTCGGCCGTCGACAAATCTCCCGTTTCCAAGTACATCCTCGGTCCCTGGGTACGCCGATCCATGCCTGTCGTCAAATCGCCTCGATTTCAATACTGACCTGCCAAAGTGGAATGCCTTCGTCAAGATCCTGCCCCTATGGCTGGCACCGAACATGGTCACCCTACTCGGGTTTTGTTTCATTCTGGCGAATATCGGACTTCTCCTGATCTATATGCCGGATTTAGTTGGACCGGTAGGCTTCTCGGGAAGGCTTGGGGCTCCAGGGCAGCTCTGCTAATCCATCTCTAGGGCCCGAGTTGGCTATACTTTAGTTTCGCATTCGGCCTTTTCATGTACCAAACCATGGACAATGTCGACGGCAAACAAGCTCGCAGAACTGGTACTTCGAGCGGTCTGGGTGAACTCTTTGACCACGGAATAGACTCTCTGAACTGCACCTTGGGCAGTCTTTTGGAAACTGCTGCCATGGGCCTCGGAACCTCCAAGGCCGGCGTCTACACCGCTCTCTGCCCGTGTCTCGCCATGTTCTTCTCCACATGGGAAACATATCATACGCACACGCTCTATCTCGGATGGTTCAATGGTCCTACGGAGGGTATCCTTGTCGCCTGCGCCGTCATGGCCATTTCTGGAATTTACGGCCCCGATGTTTGGTCGAAACCCATATCTGGTCTTTTCGGAAGCCAGCTACCCCAGGTGGCTGAGGCCATCGGCAACACATCCGTGCTCGATATCTGGATTCCTTTTATCGTTGGGTCCTTGATCACTGGTCACATCCCTGTCTGCGTCTACAATGTTGTACGCGCACGCCGTGCTAAGGGTTTGCCAATCGCTCCCGTCTTCCTTGAGTGGATTCCCATGGCTGTTTATACCCTCGCCATTGGTTTCTGGGTTTACTCGCCCCATAGCACCTTGATGGAGGAGAACCATCTTGTTTTATTTTGTCTCACATTGTCATTCGTCTTCGGACGGATGACTACCAAGATGATTCTCGCTCACCTTACACGCCAGCCGTTCCCTTACTGGACTGTCATGCTAGTTCCGCTTATTGGCGGCGCTATTCTAGGCAACCTGCCCGTGTTTGGGTTCCCCAAGGTCACACCGCACGTCGAGCTTTACTACTTGCAGTGTTATTTCGTTTTTGCCATGGTGGCATATTTCCGATGGGCATACCTTGTTGTTAATGCTATTTGCAACTTCCTTGGTATCAATGCTTTGACGATTCCCATGGAGAAGCAGATAGCGAACAAGAAGGCTCTCGAGGCTGCAAACAAGGCGCATTAATGATGCCCTGGATTACAGGGTGACGAAGTAGCACAGCAGGCGGGACTCTGTTGGATCGCTGTACTCTTTCTAAACTTCATATTTGGAAGAGTCCACTGGAGGTTTTGGACCGACTTGAAAATCTCGTGGGCTCTTGACGCAACTTACACTTATCATCTTTATTCTATAGACGGACGGAGCGGCTTTTCAATTTGGTCATTGTGGACGAAAGTTATGGTAAAATGGATAACGTTGGCTCAAATGTAAGCCAGGCAGGAATAGAGATGGGACGATTTGATGTCAGACCTAGAGTTTGTTCTTCTTATAATTTATTCTCAACGGCGACCATGTCATAATGAGATGATGCGCTCAAGCTGAATTTGAACCAATCAACTTTTTCGTCAGGATCTTCCACAAAACCTCGCTGACATGACTCAGCCCTGCTTTAGTGCGTATAGCATTGGCAATTCTGGCACTTACACCTTTGAGATGGGTGTAGAGCACAGAACTCCATTAGTCCAATTCCAATGTGCCACTATGCATGGTTCTCTGATTCCCTGCAAGCGAATAGGAACGCTCACCCACAGAGTTGAACGTGGCGAGGAAGCTCTGTGTACCGTAGTTTGCTATACGATGTTGGTCAGGGTTAGTTTTAGTATGGGTACAAAGCATGCCAGAGAAAGCAGGGCATCTATCTGCTTGCGATCCATAATAATGTAGTAGTCAGGAAATTGATCTTATGGTCATTAGAAGGGAGGGCATCTGAAATATACAGATTTCCGTTTCCTGCGCGACCTTAACCCTGAAGGGATGCAGACTGGTGATTCCTAGGTAGTTCTTCGGCTTGGGGCTCATTCAGGCTGTGCGGTTAACTACCTAGGCTGTCGATGCAGCAGCTATCAAACCATAACATCGGTAAGCCGTGTCCTTGATTGTAGTTCGTTTTGACACTAATCTAGATGCACGCTCGTCTGGCCCATTCGTCTCAAAATACTCAAATGCGGTGCCAAGATTGGCTGCGGTAGGTGGGCGATCTACGCAAGGGATCATCCCTTGCGTAGGATTAGGAATTCACTAGATAACAAGTCCACTTGGACATAATTTCTCAACGCCAGAGGGAATCAATATGAGAAATGAGACACTCGAACAACAAGCTGCTTTTTGTCGAGTGTGTAGCCGGTATTATCAGATTATTGAGTACTAATAATACAAACTTCAGAAATAATACAGTATATATTATTACCATTTTTCATTTTATACTACTGCATTTCTCGATTCAGTTAGAAGAGAGTCTCTCTATAACCACTCTTCCATTTAGTGTCTCATTTCTCATGTCACCCACTTGTGCCTGTAACGGTAGGTGATCCACATTTAGCAGCCAGAATCCTAGGTTCCGAAGCCTAAAACCAGGGACCAGTCGGGAAGCTTGCCAAGCTATTAATGGATTGAGGTTGAGTGGTGGGCTCCATTGGTTAGTGCGTAAGGGACCAGATGGCCACATCCCACCACCATTCCTTTAACCCTCCCTGCTGTCCTGTCGCAACTGGACAAATTGTCCACGCCTCTCCCGGGGACAGTTTTTCGAAAACAAGCTCGTTGTTGGAGCGCTTGATCTTGCACCCCCAGCGCGCCGCTGCGAGATGGTTTCCGCCTAGCCGATTCGCCCACCATGAATCTGCCAACATCATGGCTGATGCTTACAGCATGGCTGCTTGCGCTGGTCGAATGCGCAGCTTCATCCTTTGCGACCCTTACTGACGACGACTTACGGAACATACCTTCGCCCGGCGACGATTTCGATATTCATAATGGCAAGCTGCTGGCTCCCATCCTGATCCCCCGCGTGCCGGACACAGATGGATCTCGCAAGGTCCAACGGCACTTTGTCGACTTCTTCCGAGACAGCCTGCCAGAGTGGCAGATAATTTCGCAAAACTCGACCTTCAAGACCCCTGTGTCGGGCGATAAAGAAGTTCCCTTTACCAACTGGATCTTCAGGCGAGATCCGCCTTGGGCGAACGTGGGTGATGTCGGCCGGCTCACTCTTGTTGCACACTACGACAGCCTCTCCACCTTGGATGGCTTCATCGGCGCAATTGACAGTGCCGCTCCATGTGCCATGCTTTTGCATGTTGCCAGGAGTCTTGATGAGGCTTTGACGTCCAAGTGGAAGTCCATGCAGGACAGCGGCGAGGACGGTCTTGAGGAGCCCAAGGGTGTCCAGATTTTACTACTTGACGGAGAGGAGGCCTTTCAAGCTTGGACTGACACTGATTCCATTTATGGAGCACGGTGAGTACTGCAACCCGAGACCGGTCATGGGAGTGGAAGAACTGACCTGGACTCAGTGCCCTTGCCGCGGACTGGGAATCGCAAAGGTACGACCCAATGTCTACGTATAAGACCCCCTTGAGCTCCATTAGTCTCTTTGTGCTTCTTGATCTTCTCGGGAACGCAAACCCACGAGTTCCATCGCATTTCTTGACCACCCACTGGGCATACAGAAGTATGGCCGAACTTGAGAAGCGGATGCAGGATCTTGGCATTCTCGAAGCCAAGCCCAAAACCCCGTTTCTGCCAGACGCAGATAAGGATGTTTCCACCTTTCATGGTAGCAGAATTGGTGATGACCACGTCCCGTTCATGACCCGTGGTGTAGACATTTTGCATCTCATCCCTGACCCCTTCCCGTGGCACCTATGGCATAAGATGGCGGATGATGGCGAGCACTTGGACCTACCGACTTGTCGGGACTGGTCTAAGATCGTAACAGCATTCTCGATGGAGTTCTTAGAGTTGGCAAATCATATACCCAAAAGATCGAACGTGGATCGGTTAGGAGATGTGAAGCAGGGAGACCAGAAGAAGCGTTCGGATTTATAGGATGGCCGATCAGGACTTGTAGTTTGACACCTCATGGTTTGGGCACGGCACTCATCACACATTAAATAGCGAGGCTTTTGTGACATATAGATCAATGTTTTACGTTTAATCCAGTAAATCCCCCTGTGAGTACGACGCAAGCACATTCCCATTTCAACTCATGAATACCCTCGTTCGCCGTTGACAAAGTCCGGGTCCGATCCCGGAGATCGTCTCCGCAACTACCTTCTCAAACGGCTCAAGCCCGCTTCTGACTCAATGAACCTGCCATATTTTAGACTGATCCAGCGTCTATATGCAATGAACTCTTGAGTTTTGTTGTTTCGTTGTTTTCGTTTACAGAAAACTGCATCGTAAACCATGGGCGCAATTTACACGCGGGAGCAAGCCTCCCAGTTCCTCGCCCGCATTGACATCCCAGCCAAGTATCGGCTCGAGAACAACCCCAAACTCGACTATGCGTTTCTCAAAGCTATTCATATACACATGATCACAGCGGTTCCCTATGAGAATCTCAAGATCCACTACTCTGCTGACCGAGTGGTCAATATTGACCCGCAGAGCATCTTCCAGAAGATTGTATTAGCGGGACGAGGCAGAGGTGGCTATTGCATGGAAAACAGCTTACTCCTGTTACACATGCTACGGGCTATTGGATTTCGGGTTTACCCTGTTGGCGTGAGAGTCAGCACTCGAGAGAACGGGGTTCCTACAGGCAACTACCTAGGCTGGTACGGTTTTCGTTTCTGCTCCAGCTGAATCTTGAAGTACCTAACAAAATGCTGCCAGGGTACACATCGTCAACATCGTCACCCTGGAAGATGGTTCACGCTGGACTCTCGACGTGGGCTTCGGCGGCGATGGCGCCACGGCGCCGATCGAACTCAAGGACGGGGCCACCATCCTCAACATGGGCACGCAGGAGGCAAGGTTGGTCCGGGACTTTATGTCGGCGCAGACCGAGTTGGATCCCAGCCGGAAGATGTGGTTCTACCAGTGCCGCAACGGCCCAGACAAGCCCTGGCTTACCTTCTTCACCTTCAGCGACCAGGTGGAGTGGCTGCAGGCGGACTACGAGGTGTCCAACTGGTATACTGGGTGTAGTCCGGACAGCTTCCAGACGACCATGATGCTGGCGATTAGGTTTCTGCGACGGCCGCGGGAGGGCGGGAGCGGTGAGGATGACCAGGAGGTTTATGGGAAGAGAATGCTTGTGAACGAAGTCATCAAGGAAAACCTCAGAGGAAGGACACAGGTCGTGCAGGAATGTAAGAGTGAGGAAGAGAGGATCAAGGCCCTTCGGGAGTTGTTCCTGATTGAATTACAGGAGGAGGAGCAGCAGGCGATCAAAGGCTACAGTTCGGAGATCAAGGCGTGAAGTTGGAGTGCCATTGAATTAATTGGATCTAACTACATAGATATAGAACATAGAGTTCGGAAGACTTGGGGAAGCACAGTGATAATGGGGAGGGGCTAGGCCATGAGGATAGCTGCTTACCAAAGGCTAGGAATCGGAAGCTTGATGAAACGTGGATTCCTGATGTATTTCCCTGCAAAATAAGGCGTGACCTAATTCAATACCGAAGTGGTCTGAGTCTATCGACATCTTCACAAACCTGAAGTATTGGCGTATATTTTTTCTAGCGGATAGGTTCAATGTTATAGAGCTTTGGCGCCATTACGAACGCCCAGGCCGGGGAGGCTCTATAAGACCCAGTCTTTAGCGAATCGCAGCCTCCAATTGGTTAATTCCGCATTCGCGTCCCACTATCTTATCTCCAATCAGCACGTAACTGGCCGTCCAACCACGTAAACCACAAAGTGCTCCCTCATGAAGCTCACCTAGCTCCAGCTGTAACGCCAGCATCCTGCTCTTCCATCCACCCACGCCCAATTTCTCACAATGCGGTTCTCAGTCGCCTCTTCGATTGCTCTCCTTGCTGGTGTTGCCCAAGCCGCTTCGTCATGGACCTTTTCTGATGGGACCGTCGAGCTCTCCCCCCGAGCTGGCGGCTCCCCCCAGGTCCACAAGTTGTCGGACAAGTCGCAGGTCGATTCGGTGGTGTCGCTGGGAGTTGGGGAAAAGATCAAGGTGTCTCTGACGACAAAGGAGGGATCCGCGTCAAAGAAGCCGCACCAGGCTTTCCTGATTCTCAAGGAAGCTTCTGGATTGGAGGCCCCATTCCCCTTGACTGTGAAGAACACGGGCAAGGGCACCGTCGAGATTGTTCGTCTATCCCATCATCATCTATGGAATAAGAGGCTGGCCTGCTAACCCACCACGATTATACAGTCGCACAAAGATCTCCCAATCCAGCTCCTGACTTCCCAAAGTCCACTCCACGCCAGCCTCGTTCTTGGCTCGTTCGGCTCCTCGTCCGCCTCTGTCTCACCACTCTTCGATCTCTCTGTTCAGCTGGATCCTAATGTCCCTAAGCCGACCTACGAGCCTGCCTTGCGTTATGGAAAGCAGCCCGAGATTCACCACACCTTCCGATCCGAGCCCAAGAACCCTCCCAAGATTGTGTCCATCTTCTTCGCACTGGCGGTTGTCGCTACTATTCCAGCTCTGTTCGTGGGTGTAAGTAAATTATCCGGAACTACCCCCGTTCAAATGTTCCCCCGTGACTGACCATTCGACCAGTGGCTTCTGCTCGGCGCCAATGTGTCTCACATCGGAGAGGCTCTGAGCAGCGCTCCCATTTCCCACCTGGCCTTTTTCGGCTCCATCATTTCCATGGAGGGTGTCTTCTTCCTGTACTACAGCAGCTGGAACCTGTTCGCTACCCTGCCGGCTGTCGGCATTGTCGGCATTGTTGCCTTCCTCAGTGGTACCAAGGCACTGGGCGAGGTCCAGCGCAGACGTCTCGCTGGAAAGAGGTAAATGAGGCAGGCAACCTGAACGGGCCTGAGATGGCTGGATTCACTCCCTACTATCAAAAGATGTTTACAAAATGAGAGATGTCGATGTTGCATGCGATCAGTGGTAGCCCTCCAACGAATGGATTAGGGAGCGTCGGATTTAGATTGTCCTCGATGGGCATGTACTGTACAATTATTCATAGAGCGCTCTTCAGCGAATGGATCACGAGAGCATCGAACGCGTAATACATCACGACCGTATGGCGAATGGCGACTGGCGCCTATGTATATTCTGCCTAACAACTTTGAAGATATAGCACATCGAAACGAAATACGAACCACTGAGAAGTTCCGTTGCCATTGCTGTCAATAGGGATTGCATGTCCCGAAACCGTAGGAAATCATACCCGGAGGATAAAGGCGTAACACGTAGCACCACAATGAAAACAACAGTTTTGGGAAGCCATATAACATAGCCGGGTCAAGCTGCGACTCAATGCACTAGTGATGATGACGAATGAATGGATCCTGTTCCCGCACGTCGAGAGTCCAATATAGGTCTCTAAGGGAGCGGGCTTTCTCCCTTTTGGGGGACGGGCAAACGGGTTGGGCCTCGGCATCCTCCACTCAAAGTCATGAGATTCTGGCCAACGTCTATTGATGCTGCATGTCGTAGGGCTGCCTACATAATAGTTCCCTATTCGCTCTTTTGACTCGCGGAAGCACTTCAAAGCCTTAGTTCCACATGCGCCACCTTGCATATTCGCAGTCGATAATCAGCGCTTTTGGCTTACGTATTGACGGCATCTAATCCGCAGGTCATCATGACAGGGTCTGTTTCCTGTCTGATATTATACAGCCACCCTTAATCTTCTGAGGCGCGTGCTGATATGCTCTACGATTTACAGAACTACGAAGTTCCCAACAGCCGAGGAAACTCTCAAGCACCCTGCATATCAAACTACAGTATGGGGTCTTGAGCCTCACCAGCATGGTCTTTTCCCGGCAGCGAAGGGCCGCGGCGGGCCTATTAACATCGCATGGGAAGTCCATGGCTCCGGCCCTACCAAGATTGTCGTATGTATAAAGAAACCTAGTCGTGTTTCACCGGCCAGCCTCGCAATCCGGTACTAATCTGGCTCGTTGTATAGTTTATCATGGGCCTGGCGGGTGCGGCGTTCGCATGGCAGTGCCAAACTCTCTACTTTGGTCACGATAAGGGCGACCAGTACTCTGTTCTCGTGCTGGACAACCGAGGCATCGGTGGGAGCGACAAGCCCCTGCTACGGTACTCGACTAGCGAGATGGCCCTCGACGTGATCGAGATTCTCCACCATCTTGGCTGGACAGAGGAGGACCGCCAGGTCCACGTCGCAGGCATCTCGCTCGGAGGCATGATCGCCCAGGAGATTGCCTACAAGATACCAGAGAAGCTCGGCTCGCTCAACCTCCTGTGCACCACGGCCGAATTCAAGAATGCAACCAACTACGGGGACTACTTCCGGGAGCGCCTCTTCTTCCTCGTCCCTACGTCCGAGGAGGATAATATCCTGGGCACGGCCCGGAAATGTTTCCCCGAGGAATGGCTTGCCTCGCCTGATGAGTGCACCTTGCCCGACCCGAGCACGACGCCCAAGTGCAAACCTGCGCCCGGCACTGAGGATGGGAAATATCTCCGCTTCGACTCCAACTACCAGCGTTTCATGGCCCAGAGCCTGTTGAAGCGCCGCGTGCCTGGGTTCTTCACCCGCCAGGGATTTGTTTGCCAGCTGATGGCTGCGGGATGGCACAGGAAGAGTGAGGAGCAGTTGCGCCAGATCGCGGACACGGTGGGCAGGGACAGAATCATGGTCGTCCATGGGACAATCGACAAGATGGTCAGCCCCCCCAATGGCGAGCGACTAGTGAAGATCATCGAGCCTACCAAGAGTGTCGTTGTGGAAGGCATGGGCCATGCGCCTCCACTGGAGAGGGCGCAGTGGCTGAATGAGCTGCTCGAGGAGAGGATTCGCGAATGTGAGAAGTTGTAAGAGTGCACTTTCCATACAAATGCGTGTACGCATCGAGGATATAAATTTTGATTTACAAGGTGTTGATGGGGCTTTTCGCTACTCTTGTTTCTTTTTAAACATGTCGTTATGATAGAATCTCTGGACATTCACCCAATAAATCCACATGTCTTATGTTATTTATTTGGCTATTTATTTATTTATTCCTGAATTGCAGGAACCTCACAGCATCACTAGACCAACTCCACTTAGGTTTTCAGTGTCGAGTAGGTTCTTGCGGTCCACGCCTCCAGCAATATGGTTGGCACGGTAGTTGAATAAGTAGTAGTGTAACTGGCCGTCGCCAGCGCCGAACTTCTGCTGCTCCAGGAACAGGCCATTGTGCATGAGGGACAGAGCATTGAAGACGTCGAACTTGGCGTTCTTGGCCAAGATTAGTGCATCGTGGATAAGGTCGTTGAGTCGTGTCTTGTGTGCGTCACGGTCGTAGGTTTCTGTGAGGGCGCTCTCCGATGCGTAGTAGAAGAGGTAGGCAACTCGAATGACTTCGTGTCTCGAGTTCCTGATGACGGAAGATTCAATGCAGTTGAAGGAGAAGAAGTCGGTGATCTTCCCATCCTTGTCCTTTTACGCTGTCAGTATGTCGCTACTAGGTTCATATAATAAGGAAGAGACTCACCTCAACAACGTATGTCCAAATGACCTGATCCGCATCCGATTCGCGCTTGGGCAAGAACCAGTGGAACATTTCGTCCCTCGAAAATTGCGGTGCAAGATCGAACTTGGCCATGTATCGGCCGAAGAGCTCTATCACGGCGTCCATGTCCTTCTCTTCCATAGCTCTTAGGCCCTTGGTCGATGGGCTGTCAGGAAGCGCATACTTGCGGACCTGATATTGCGGTTTGCTTCCCGCGGGCAGGGGGCTGAACCCACATTCGTAGAGCTTCTGCCAATTGAGGGCGCGGTGGAAGTAGCGACAGGTTGTGACAGGGCGGGGGAGAACGATTCCTGCCGTGTGCACACCCTGCCAGATGCCGTCGAGGTTGCTAATACGTGTGATCTCCTTGATGAGGACAGGAGCCAGGCGCTTTCCGCGCAGCTTCTTATGGACACAGAGGAAGTTGACTTCGGAGCAGAGGATCACCTTATCGCGAACGCGGATGTGCTGAGGAATAGCAGAGATGAAAGCAACGAGTTTGCGGGACTGCGAGGCGCGGACGCCAACATGGTATCTTTTTTGCCATCCTGGAGCCATCATAGCCCTAATACAAATTGGTCAGTATGAGCGTTGTAAAAGCGTAAGATGATACGTACCACCGAAGGAAAGCGGGAGAGTAGTTGAAACGGAACATGGCCTCGTCGTCCTCAACATAGTGGCCATTCAACAACTCATACACCTCCTTGATCTCCTCGTCGCTCGTCAAATCCACTACCACCCACTCGAATCCAGGGACCAGGGCCGCTGGTTCTTTGGACACGTCCTCGACTGTCTGGATCCTGATAGGGCCGTCCTCGAACTTCTCCTTCTCGTCGAACCGCGGTACGGGCTGAGTCTGCCAGAATTTGTAGGCTCCCATGTCCTTGACGTTCTTACCTCCCGCCGCCAGACCGGTCATGATCTCCTGCAGCGACATCTTCTTCAGCTCGTTGACGGCTTGGTCCGCGGACGGGTTCGCACTCCCAGACGCCTCGGCGATGCCTTGCGCCAGCGCCGGGTTCAGGGACAGCAGCTCCTTCAGCCCCTGTGGGGTCAAGCCGCCAATGGCCTTCTTGATGTCTGCCTCCTGGTCGCCGGACTTGCCAGTCAGGAGCTCCTTTGCCTTCTTCCTCTTCGACGACTTCTTCTTCTTCTTCCCGGAGCTGGACGAGGCCCCGGGCGCGGCCCCGGCGGTGTCGGGCGCATGGTCGTCTTCCTCTTCGGACTCGGATTCGACGGCGGGCTGCTTGCCCTTGAGCTGGGCGTCCGTCTGCTCGGTGACGGGCTCGACCGGCTTGGATTCCTCGGCGGGCGCCATATTTCACCGGCGTCTGCAGAGTTCAGCGAAATTGGCTGTTGTTCGCTGGGTAGCGAGCTAAAATAGGTCGACGTTTAAGCCCTGGTGACGTCGGAGGTGAAGATTTACGTACGGCACGACGCGGATGGCGGGGTAGATGCGAAGTGGCCAAAGCTACCGTGGGGTCACGTCCACAGATTTCCACCTAGCCCACTTAGAGAAGAGGATGGGCTGGGTTAAACCAGACGCAAGATATCCTAAAATAAAGAAAAATATTTATAATTTAATTTATTTAGGCACCCGTGTAAATGCTTATATGTTTACCTTTCCTCAGAGGTCTCGACAACGTGTCATTTTGAAATCAATTAGAGGCAGCCTATTCAGAGTGTCCACGTGAAGTGATGGGCAATGTGGCGAAATGCACGACACACGGTTGTCATCCTCGACTTCGTAGACGAAAACCAGGCGGCAGGAGAAGGAGATCTATAATAAATGTATATAGACGGGTCTAGGTAAATGAGGTGCAACACGAAGACAAGCAAGAACATTGAGCTAGGAGTTTAGGGACGGATCGTATTACGAGGCATAGGTGGTACCATGGAGCTCAAAGGACCGCATGATTGCGAGTGTAACAGGGGCAGATCCCATAATGTTATTGTGGCCTAAACGCTTTTAGCTTCTGATGTATTTCATAGAGTGACTTTGGAGTGATCTTACCGCCATAAGGGAAAAGTTCCTGGTGAACCATGATGTTGGGACTGGCTTTCCAGGTAGTTCTGAACGCATTCTGGCTGATTTGGTTGGTTCTTTCCCGTTTCCAGGTCTCGAATTCCGCATCATCTGTGATATTCTCCCTTCCTTGGACCGCAGCCTTGAACAGCTTGTTGTCCTCTGTCCATGGAATGTCTGGGTCATCAAAGGAGTGAACCAAATTGAGCCGGAGTCTGGACTTGGTACTCTGAACAATTGTAGAGAGCCTGTTTGCTGAGTGCCATTTATCAACCACGCATTTGTGCAAAAGCTGCAGCAGTGGTTGCCAGTTGCGGAAGGGTGCGAGCACTGGGACCAATCCATGGATGCGGTATTCGCTCAGCATACTCGTCAAATCACTGAACCCAGCGACAAGAACAATGCCAGCGAACTCTACACCTTTCAAAGCATACCTCTCGGCAACACCGCTGACAACTGCGGTGCCAAGACTTTGTCCTAGGAGCACAATCCGCTCTGGTGGCACGCCGGCAACATTGATCGCCCATTCCACAAGTGTCGAGCCATCCTCGATCAAGCCACTCTCACTGGGGACGCCGGTGGAGTGGCCAAAACCGCGATAGTCGACAGCCAATACGTGATAAGATGATGTATCAGTTAGGGTGTGATAGCTGGATGGGCGAAACGCTTGCGCGATATGACCTGCATTCTGTCTCGACAAATCAGCGAATGATCAACCAGCTCCAGCTTCTGATTGGTGGTTTTACCCCGTGAACTGTCGAGGGTTAGCGACGTGTGACGATTTACGAGCCGCAGATCGACATCTCTTACAATACAATACTAATCTAGCCTCGGGATCATGCTTCAGAAGTCGGAATGACTCGGTAGTGGTAACATCATCGGCAAAGCCTGGCACCCGAGCAGCCAGGCTAGCCTCGTTCTGCAAATACAGCGGAAGCGGCAGGAGGTGCCAGGCATAGAGCCTCTCCCCGTCACTGGTATCGAGCTTGAACGGCGTCACTTGATTCCCTACAGGCCATGGCGTGAGCACGGCTAAGTGGTCTATAGTGGGCATGCAAGGGGGTAGACTGACTGGCGAATCCCCATCTCTCAGGCTCATTTACATCAGTCCAGGACAGTGTGTTTACCTTATGAGCATAGAGAAAGCTGTGGCGGAGCAAAGGTCAGCTCGCGGCGCAGCATCCCTGGCTTAGTCCCTTGGGGAACGTCCACTCACTGTCTCTGGAAGAAGGGTGTCGCGCCCAAGCCGATGAAGAGGGCATAGAGGCCAAGAGGCGCGGCCACCGCCCAGATGGAGCTCCGCAGAGTCGGGACGAGAGAGCGGACCATTTCAATTTACGAGAGAGGGAACACAAGGAGCGACCCAGACGATCACCATGCGCAGCCAAGTCACAACCAGAGACACTGTGAGGTTGGGTGATGTGTCAGCCAACAGCAAATAAGAGCAAGCTTAGCTTGTGGCGGGCTCCGCTCAGCGCAGAGCACGTGCCGATTAGTGATCGTGACCTCGCGCATCGCCAGAGCTGGGCTATTCTCGGATGGGGAGATGCTCGCTGCGATGGCTCAATTGAGGGAGCTTTGGAGCTACGGGCCACCAGTCTATCACGGACCTGGACCTCACCACACGAACTGTCTAAAACTATTAGCCTGGGTCCATGGACAATTGCCAGGACAGCTATTGGGACTAAATAATAACAACGAGTTGGCTGGTTTCACCGATCCCAGGCCATGTTAGTGGCCCGGACTCCGCCTTCCCAACGACTAGGCCAATCAGAGGCCCTTGTGCGCCAAGGTCGCTACAGCGCGCGCGTCGACGAACCAAGACGGATGTTCTTCATTCGACAGCTTCCAATGCGCCATCATCCCTACTCCTCCTCCATCGAGCCTCTGCACGCTCCATCTTGGTAGGGCCAGTCACTCTCTGTCAGCAATTTGTGCATAAGGGCTTTTGGCTCTGCTGTCCCAATCCGCGTGGTTGTCGGCCCACCTCGACCGTATCCTGTATGGCTCTGGCACCAACCTAGGACGACTTATGATGACCACCTCGTCGCCCGATCTCTGACGTTCTTTCTGGTCTGGTGTGAGAGGTGGCCAGCTCTTTCTGGCACCATGGAGAGGAAGAGAAAGCTGCCGCCCCGAGCGGCAGCTCGTGTTGAGAGTGCTGCCAAGCGAAGGCAGTCGACGCCTCGATCAGAAACACCGGCTCCTGTACAACCACCTGTCGAGGAGCCGGTTCCCTCACAACCACCGCCGACGCCTCCGCCGTCGCTACCCAACTCCGTCCAGCCTGGCAAGGCCCTGCCGACCGTGGAGGATGCGCAAAGCGACGACCTGTCTTCTAAGGAGTATCAGTCAGTAGGCGAGAGGTAAGCTGGAAGCGAACGATGACTGCCTCGCTTGGCACCCTGAGACTGAGCTAACATATTTCTTCCCCCAGTGGTGTGCTCACCGAATCGCTCTCTCGGTCACGGCAGAAATGGACTCACGAAGGACTTTTCGAGAAATACTGGACAAAACCACACAAGCGTAAAGGCGTGGTCCACGAAGATCCCAAGAACCCGCCAAAAGACAGCATGACCAAGGTCGGGGTGGTCACGATTACAATCGAACCGCATGTTGTAGAGGCAACAATGTATGTTGTGAAGGATCCCAAGCCTCGTTTACCGCAGAACCAGCAACAGCAGCAGCAACAGCAACAGCAACAGCAACCGCTGCCGCCAAACCGACCTATCATTCAGTATGGCCCTCCAAATGGGACGATGCCTTCACCAAAACCTGTCGCAGCAACCCCCGCCCCGGAATCTGCGGCTGCCATACCTGCGGCTTCGCCAGCGAACAAAAATCCGGCACCGATATCGCCGGCGCCTTCAAACAGTCACGTTCAGGTGCCAGCTGGGCCTACGAACCCTGCTGCTCCCCCGACACCAACAACCAACAACAACCCAGCACCACCACCAGCAGGGCCTAGCTACCCCCCTAGACCGCAACCTCCGCCTACTACTCCTGCAAGAACCGCACCGCCAGGACAGCCAACACCGACTGTTGGCCAAGCCGCAACACCCTCATACCCCCCTAGGACTTCAACACACTCAACCCCTGGCCAGGCAATGGCTCCGCCAGCTGCAACACCAATGGCGGCGCCGCGGCCCCCAACCGCGGCACACCCTGCACCGGTACCGTCTCCTGGGCTGAATAAGCCACCAACAGCGCCAGCTCCTGCAGCAAAACCTGCAGCCAACGACCCCGTGATTGCTTTGCTGGCACAAAAAGCTTCAGGGGATGTTGAACTCCGGGATTTGATGAAGAGAGTGGCTGTTGGACAGGCAAAGGAAGGGGAGCTTGCCCATTTCCAAAAGATTATTGATCAGTTGAATGCTGAATATAAAAGAAACGGTGGCCAGCAGGGACCCTCTGCTGATCGGTTACTTGTCGATGGAAGAACCGTTAAATATTTTGCAGAGGAAGTACGAGCCATCCTTGATATTGTTCTAGCCTCCAACCCTCAGCAGAGGTCTACGGATCTAAGGCCACCACCTCGCAGCGACCCCCTCGTCGTCTTGCTTGTGAAGGAAGCTCTGGACATTGCGAAGACAAGAGATATCATCAGGAGGATTGCCGAAGGGCGACCTGGCTACACTGATTCAACAGACTTGAGGGACATATTGGATAGATTACATAAAAGCATGAAGGTCCTGCCCAAGAACCCTCCCGCGACGCCACAAGCGAGGCAACCAGCTCCAGCAGCTACTCCAAATGGCTTGACCCCTAACGGCCCCCAGGCCCGCGGTCTGACCGCCCATTCAGCAGCACATCCCAACACCCAAACCTTGCGGTCCAAGGGGCCCGCGCCTGCTCCAAAGCCAGACATTTCCGCGGTTGTATTCGACTTTGGCACAGGAGATCGGTACCGCTTCCCCAAATTTAGCATTCTAGAGTACCTGCCTACCTCGCCAGGCCAGCAGGTCGTCGCCTCATTCCTCATTGTTCGCAAGGGCAGTATCTCAGAGTATGGAAGCGACCCAGATCTTGACTATTACCAGCCTATCACTGTGCGACTGTATGCGAGCACAGGGAGGCATTTGGAGAATCTGGCCCGCGTGGTGGCTCCCCAGGAGGAGGTTCGTCGGTACATGGATGATGTAATGGACAACATGACGCGTGCCGAGTATGTGTTGCTCGCCATGCGTCTCCCTCACGCGCTCAAGGACGGCGATAAGGAGCTCAACGGCAACCACAGCAATGAGGAGTCCAAGACAGCTGGGTCCACCCCGCAGGCTGCGGATACCGATCAGGAGCAGTCTGTAGGGTCGGACAAACCTTCGGTGCTGTGGGCTCCCGTGGCCCCCTCAAAGAAGGGTTCGGCCTCGCGGCGCCTTGGGAAGTACCGTGACCACGATGATGAAGCCCAGCTGCAGTATCAAAAGCTGATTGGCTCCGTGGCGGCGAAAGAGACGGAGGCCGAGTAGGTGACACATCGCAGATTCATTTTGTCGGGACTGTTGAGCGGGAAAAAAACTGTAATTTATACTAGGGTTTCATTTTACGACGGGTCATTGTTTCATGGAGCGAGGACATGCACAAGGTCTTTGGAATATCACAGAAGAACATCATCGTTATGGAGTAGGGAAGGTATGGCGCCATTACCCTCAGGGCGGCTTGAATGCATGAGCGATGGTTTAGTTCATTTACAAGAATTCGCAATTACTCTCCGGGATTACCATAGTCCCCTCGCCACAAAAGGTCATTTAACAGTCCCCTTGAAGAGGTGATCGGTACCCACGGCTGGCCGACTGAGGTTTGTTTCGGTCCATACTTGCAAGCCCCGTGGCCGTCGTGCAACGATTCAGCCAGAACACACGAACGGGTAGCCGGTGCGTCAAATTCCCAAGCTGAAGGATCTTTCCAGACAAAATTCTATCACCTCATCAGTCCTGACGTTGTGTTCCCCATGAGTGACCCGGGCAACGCGCCGCCAGCATTCCAGCCTGTGGACAGGCGAGCCTTGCCCCCTTACCCTCCCTTGAATGCTCAAGGAAGATATACTTGGGGTCGGCGGCATCCCGGCTTTTATGCAGAAAATGAGGCTGCAAAGGCCCCGGAACTATCCATGACCGGGCACGACGGGCACCATGGCGCAGCTACCAAACTTTTCGAGGAAGACCTCCGGGTCGTCCGCCTCGCTCAAGACGCTCTGTGACGCCTCCTCGGCGCAGCAGTCCTGGGGCGACTCGGAGAAGGGTCTGTCAGAGCTCGAGGACGAAATACGGGCTATCAAGCAGGCGGAGCGGGCGTCGACGTCGACGGGCTCCTCGCTGTCCGACTGGACCACGCTTCTGGGCGGGTTCTTGTCCCTGGTGGCGACGGGGGGCATAGGCAACGCCACGGGCCTTGTGCAGACGTATTGGGAGAACAACCAGCTGAGGGATTTCTCGTCCCGCGACATTGGATGGATTGCTGGCACAAACATCTGTCTGTCGCTCTTCCTGCCCGTGCTGTCTGGGCCGGTTTACGACCGGTACGGGCCGCTGTGGTTGATGGTTGGGGGGAGTGCGTCGTTTGTGGTGGGTGTCTTTGTCATGAGTTTTCTCAACAGCCCGGAGCTGCCCCAGATGACCTACGGGCTGCTTCTCCTTACCTGGGGCATCATGGGCGGGGCGGGCAATGGGCTCGTAGCTACGGCTGTTTCGGGAGCTGTCTGCCAGCGGTTTGATAAGAGGAGGGGGCTGGCGAATGGGATTGCTTCTGGCGGCAACTCCGTTGGAGGTGTGGTGTGGCCGATGATGCTCCGGGAAACACTGAACCGCTGGGGATGGCAGTGGGCTGTCAGGCTGGTGGGAGGAATCGCATTGGTGTTGGTTGCTCTGGGCTGTGTCTTGGTCAGACCGCCGCCCCAGATGGTGGTAACAGCCAAAAGGGAGGCGGAAATCAAGAAAGCGGAGGGGAGGAAAGAGGCAAAGGCAAAGGTCTTGAAGAGATGCGTCGTTGAGGGCGCCGAGTGTTTCAAGAAGGCCGACTTTGTCTGGATGACGACAAGTCTCGCCATCTTCCAGTTTACCGTGATGGGCGTGGCTGGAACTCTCCCATCATGGGGGGAAGGCCAAGGCTTTGACCAGACATCCCTATTCAACCTCGTGGCAGTGATGAATGCGTAAGTCGCCTCTTGTTTGGTTATATACTGCCCGTGAGGATGTTGCTGATATCTCAAATAGCGCGGCAGCAGTTGGGCGAATAGCAGTTGGTGCTCTCTCCGACACCATTGGCCGCTTTAACACATGTGTGTCCATCATGACACTCTCAGTTGTTGTCATGTTTGGATTGTTCTTCAACGTGGGTGGTATGATATGGAAGTTTTATGTTTTCGCGGCATTCTGGGGCTTTGTTTATGGCGCGGTCCTCATGATGATATCGGTGCTGGTTCGAGAGTGAGTTTCCCACAACCATGGCCAATATATAGGTGCTGACGCGTTCCCGTTCTAAAGGCAGTGCAATCACGAAGAGTTTGGGCGGTATCTCAGCGCCTGTCATGTTGCTCTGAGCATTGCGTAAGTTCTTTCTATCCTCGAGTCGATTCATCCGGCGGTGCCTAACCAAACCTTTTTCAGTGGTCTGGTGTGCGTGCCTCTCAGTGCTCAGATGCTGGCCTCTTTCGGCCCTCAGATGGACGTTGTATTTTTCGGAAGTCTCTGCACCGTTAGTTTGCTTTTCATGATACTCACCAGATGGGCCTTCCTGGATTACAAGTGGAGCTGGACCTCGAAAGTTTAGGGACGCTGATTGATGAACACCATGTACAACCAACACCACGAGAAACGATTAGACTAAACAGTATTATCTCCCCGGTAGATCACGGGTGCGGGTTGCGCAAGCAAGAAGAAGGGGAAGAAGACACTTGGGGCATGATGTATGTCTATGATGATTTGCTACGTTTGCATTCGTCCTGTCCGTCCTTTTACTCTTTCCTTTCCTTTTCACATTCTTCTCATTGGCATATACCATCGCATACAGCTATGTTTTTCATTCTATATTCGTGGGTTTTGGGTGGATTGGGGTAGGGGGTGAAGACGAGGTTTGCCCTATCTATCATGTCGGCCCATTCCACCTTCCACTGATGGCCTTATCTCAATTTCTCTGGAGGAGACCGAGGCAGAAGGCCACCCCTGGTCTGTAAAAATCAACGGTAATGTGAGATCAGCATTACGCCAGTGTGTACACATATATTAAGGTAGATCAGTACCAAAGCATCTTGTCTGTTTTACCTTAGGTAACTTCCCTTCCAAGTGGGTGACGGGAGATGAGACACTCAATGGAAGAATGGTTGTACTTTCTAAGATAAACCAGAGAATTCAGTAGTATCAAATGAAGTAAAAGTGACAATATATGCCGTATTATATCTCAAGCATACATTATTAGCACTCAATGATTTGATAATACCGATCGCTGACTCGAGAATAAGCAGCTTATTGTTGGGTGCCTCAATTTCAATGCCACCCACTTGCCTCCCCATGTAGAGATCTGAAAGGCGGAAGTTACGTCCGTAGGCTTTGCCTTAGGTCAGGTAGGCTATATGGGAGCATCCAAGCTAATGTACCTAACGAACTAAGCTGCTAGGCTAGCGGTTTGCGGTTTCAAGCTGCAGTTAGCTAGTACCTATAGAAGAGGATTTACTTCGCGACATTCAGCTCTCTATGCTCCAATCCAACTAACGAAAACACAATCGATTGGCATTCGTGAGAGTTCAAATAGTGCCAGTAGTGAGGAATGCCCTCATGAGACAAGGAGAAGGGTAGGAGCTGGTCCGTCGTGGATGATAAAGTCAATGCTTGACAAAGGCTCGTTCTTACTAAGATGGATGATGTCGACAGGATCTTGATGCCGCATGAGGCCAGGCAGGCGCCTGAACTTTGATGGGATGGTGTCGTCAGTCCATGTACTGCCTGTTGCTCTCAAAGTACGCAGTACCTGGAGGAATGGCCAGCTGTACTTTCGAGTGACCTCCCGGTTATATGCATTCTCCACTCTATCTTCAGCAGAGCCCTAGAATTGCCAATATGGTAGGGTAGATCCACGCCGGTAGCCAATCTAGAGGCCGACAGCGTCAGCATCCCTTTATCTGCTTGTACTGGGCAGGTAGCGCCTAGTGTGACTGCCCCAGCCAGGTACGAGCGAAGTACAAGCCCAAAGTCCTCTTGCAGGGGTCTTTGGTACAGTAACCAGCCCCCGACTCCAAGAGCTGTCTGGCTTGATCATACCGCCTCTGAGAGTGAAACGACTTTATTGTTGCCTGGTAGGAGCATGTCTGTCAGGCCAGGGAATTGACTGCTTGGTTTTATCCTCCCAAATCTACCGAATCGCCATTGATTGATGTGATCGTCCATTATTTGTTCAACATGGGCCAAGCGATCTCGCAGGAGCCACCGTACCGTCGGTCGCAGGAGGAGTTGACGCATGAACTTGTGAGAGCTCGACGCAAGAGAGTTGCAGCTATTTATCAGTATTTCTGACTTGGTTGAAACAGGCAAATAAGTTCAAGAACAAGTGCTTCAGCTCACTAGAATTCTACTCGCTGCAAGATGTGTTCAAGAGCCTCTCCGATCACCAGGACGCGATTCACTACCTGAAGGAAGACACCGTTGCTCGATTTCTCGAGATACCAGATATCTTGGGCGCCTCACCGGTTATTTTCCAGATGATATCCTTTATTGGCGCTTTTCCGTTTCTGCAGAACGCACCTGTCGTGCTGGAGCTCCCCCAGCTAATTATGGTTGTCGTCATCCTTACCGAGCGCTATCGAAAGGTCCTCGCAAAGGGGAGTGCTGATCGCACAAAGCTGCTCTTCAGAAGTCTGGCCGTCCATGACCGAAAGCACTCCATGTCTGTTCCTTCATCTCCGGTGAACCCATCCTCGCAAACGCCTCGCGCCCATCCTGGTGCCTTCGCCATTGACGTGGCCACTGGCGATGACGGCAATGACGAGGACCTTTTTGGCGATGACGAGGATGATGACCTCGTCCTCACGGCATTTGAACTTTTAGATATTGATGATGCTGTGAAGAAAGGCGATGCCCCAAGCTTCCTCGGTGCAATGATACCCACCGACAATTTTAGGAAATTGCTGATGCTGCTGCTACTGACTGCTCCTTTAGATGCGCAGGAGAGCTTGTCACAATACTCTAGCCGCATCGCTGGTGATGGAATCGAGGATCTCCGTTCAACAGCCGAATGCGTCCTTGCTTCGTTTGTTGATGTTGAGCAGGCTCCTGGGATCAAATACGTACATTTCAAAACTGTAATAACCGAACTGCTCCCCAATCTTTTTAAAGGTTTCGACGGTCTGTTCGAACACTTCTTATTCTCCAAGAACCTGGACTTTTCAAAGCACGTCAAGAGCGCTGGTCAGCGAGCGGATGATACCACTGCGATGGTTCAACCGCTCTTTACGGACACGGCCGAGATCCTGAACGATCACACGCTGGCTCAGCTATCTTTCTTTCTTCCAGGCTCTTCGCTCTTCCGCCGAGTCAGATTGCTATATTCCGGTAGCGAGTCCGGCTTCTCCATGGGAAGCTTTGAGACAAAAGTTTTCAATTGGCGGGCCCCAACTATTCTTCTTGTGAGAGGTACCCGTCTCGGGGATGTTCCGGATGGTGGACAGGAGGCTTCATTTGCCGACTCTTTACCTCCTAAACGGTTCCGTAACGGGAGCAAGTCCGATCAGCTCACCTTTGGTGTCTATTTGCGGGAACCCTGGAGACACACCCACCGAGAGTGCTTTGGCGACTCAGACACCATCTTGTTCCAGCTTGAACCTGTTCACGATGTGTTCCCAGCATCAACTATTAACAAAGATTATGTCGCATTTATGAAGCCTCCGGGGAATGAAACGTCACTTTCGTTTGGTATCCCGGTCCCCAAACCTTCCAAGGCCAGCCGGAGAGGTGGCGTCAAATCACTGGGCCCGGTTTCTCTCTACTTCAATGATTCATTTGAATTTGGTGTCTTCAACCACGATTACCAATCCAGAGGCGGCGCCTTTCACAACAGCAAAATACGCAAGTACGATTTCCAGGATCGTTTCCAGATTGACAGTCTCGAGGTTTGGGGCTGTGGTGGCGATGCTGAAGCCAAAGCCCAGGCTGAACGATGGGCATGGGAAGCAAGGGAAGCTGAAGCTCGCCGCAGAGTCAACCTCGGAACGGGTGACATCGAAGCGGACAGAGCCGTATTGGAGATGGCTGGCATTATAGGGGGAAGTCGGAGCGGTGGCTCCATGGGTTGATTTAGCCTGTCTATTTACGACTTGAAGGAGCTCAACTGGTATTATCATCAAAGCGGTTTGAATTTGGCGTTAGGGTCTGGAGCAGGCGCATTGAAATGAATAAGTGTGCTTCGGCATCGACTTGTTCTCTCTGGATACATAAGATTGGCTGGTTTTCTAGCCTCCTGTTTTATACAATACATGGATATAAGAGTGGAAATTTTACAGTATTCAATGACAGTCCTGGTCTCACACGGTTGATTTTACAACTTTTACGGTGGCTCAACCTTGACTTACTTTCCTTCACCGTCGTCGCCCTTCTTATCCTTCTTTTGTGACGAAAGCACCTCGCCCAGGGCACCTAATGAGCTCTTGGGATTCTCTCTCTTGTGCTTCTTCTCCGATGCCTCTGGTTCGGCCTTCGCTACTTCAGCCTCAGACTCAGCAGCCTTCTTTTGTCCCGACGGCCAAAGACCCATTCTTCCTAAAATGCCTCCCGTGCCACCCTCAGCCTTGGGCTCGGACTCATCCTTCCCAGCACTGGCGACCTTGAGCTTCTCATGGAGCTGCGCCTTAAATGCCTTCTCTTCCTCGTCTCGGACCTCGAGCTCGCGGATCCATTTCTGGCGCTTCTCCTCGGCGTCGCGCTGCTCCTGCAGCTTTCGTAGCTCGGCGGACTGGGCGCGATCCTTGCTGTAGTACATGCTGCCGGCGACCATTGCGACAACGGTGAATCCCTGGGCGAGGACACGGGCTCGGAACATGCGGTTGGCCTGCTGCGAGTCACCCTTTCGGAGGGCGCGGTAGGCGCTCACGAAGGCATAGACGGTAAGGCCGATACCTGGGGAAGGAATACGTCAGTACCTACGAAGCATAGCGGCGGGATGGGGCGGGGAAGGAGAGAATGAAGCATACCCAATGGCACCAGAGGCTCCTCCTTGATCTTTCTGACGACCTTGACGAGCGGCTTCTCGTTCATGACCCTGTGTTCTGTCTTAGTGGGGGTGGAAACATCGGCGATCAAGAGTGGCATCATTACTGGTTATCGTCGAACGACGAGGGCATGCCGCCCGGCATGACGGGTGGTCTGTCTGCCATTTCTGGAGAATCGTGCGGATGGCGGGATCTTGAGGCTTCTTTAATTGACTAGAGACGGCAAACCGCTGCGCCCGGGAGGAAGAGGGCTCGAATTGATCGAAGTTGTTCAGAAGTAAAAACGCAGCATTTGCATCATGGATTCTCGATTGGCGCTGGTAAACTAGGGAAGTGGGAGCTAATGCGTGATCCATGTCCCAAATTCGAGGCTCCAGGTGACTGCTAGCAGCCCACCAGTGCTAGATCCCCACAAATAGAACTGGAACTCCGAACATGGGCCTTGAGCGGACTTGCGGATCGATTTGATTGGGCCTGTACGACCCATCCGCCACAGGGCAGGCGCGATCCAGTAAGCACCTCCAAAGGGTAGCTTGGCGCATGGACCTGCCGCAAGACACTTAAGCTCCAGCTCAGCTTCTTCTCCAAAACAACATAACTTCTTTGCAGCCAGCTTGCTGATCCTGCTTCATCTTGTACCTCCATCATCTACGTGTTCTTGATAGCAATACGCCGCCTCCAACTGGGCCGACCAACATGATACAACCGTCACGATGGTGACATCGACGCCGTCCGTCGAGAGCCTGACCAGGTCTCGTCTTGCAGTCGCGGCCTTCTCAGCCCTGGCAGCTGTTTCGATTGGACTTTATGCTTACCATACAAATTCGTTACACTTTGGTTCAACCACTGAACCACGCCTTCATCGCAGCAATGCCATCCGCCGTACACGAAGATCTCGCCGTCGCGACACAGATTCCACCGCCGACTCCGACGACGCTGCTGGCGACGAGAACACTAACATACCTCCTGCACGCCCTCTGGCCGAAACCGAACCCCAGCCCGCCGATAACAGTGGTGATGAGTGGCTAGATGACGGCGGCCAACCTCCTAACCAACGAGCGGGCCACAACATTGTTAATCTGCTTTTCAGAGTTTCGGAAGACAATGCGAAGCGAAACGGCTGCGTCCACAGAGGTTGCCAGTGTAACTCATGTGGCATGGTGCCTATCCGAGGAGTTCGATATAGGTGCTCCAACTGCGCCGACTTTGATCTCTGCGAGACTTGCGAATCACAGTGTGTGCATACAAGGACACATGTCTTTTACAAAATTAGAGTTCCCGCTCCTCCGTTTGGCCCTAGGCAAATGCAGCCCGTCTGGTACACGGGCGACCCTGATACCTGTCGACGAAATCTCCCTAAGAATCTGATTGCGAAACTCACCAAGGAAACGGGTTTTGAACGTCCCGAGCTCGAGGCTTTCTGGGAACAGTGGACATTCATGGCAAATACAGAATGGCGAGAGGACCCCGATGAATTATTCCTTGCAATGGATCGCAAGACGTTTGAGCGATGTCTTGTACCCACCGGTCGTTCACGTCATGCGCCTCCAAATCTTATCCATGATCGCATGTTCACTTTCTATGACTGGAACAAGGACGGATACATTGGCTTCTCGGAATTTCTCATTGGATTGTCATATCGGAAACGTAAAGATAAGCTACGCAAGATCTTTGAGGGGTACGATATTGATGGGGATGGTTATGTGAGCCGAAAGGATTTCTTGCGCATGTTTCGAGCTTACTACGTGCTGTATAAGCAGATGCACAAGGATATCCTTGATGGCTTAGAAGACCAACTCTTCGCAAACACGGAGGCACAACAACTCGTGGCTAGTCGTCAACCACTCAGTAGCCTGTTTGGGCGTGAGGGAGGGGTTCCTAGTGGGGACGAAGGCATGCGTTTTGAAGGCAAAACCGTTCACCGGGATGGTACTGTTGAAGTAGCTGAGAGTCATCAAGCTGCGGTGTCCAAAGATAAAGATGATACTGTTTCTCGCCAGGATATACTCGCAAGTCTCTTCGCATACAACGGCGACTGGTCCTCCCGCTGGCAGTCCGAGGCAAGAGTAAGGCTGAGCTCTGGCGAGGAGGATGATCAGAACCACGACCGAAATGCAAGGACTCTAGGAGTAACGGAAGGCGACCGACCTTACCTGGTTACACTTATTGAGCCCCCTACATCGCTCGACGAGCTGCCCGATGCAGTGATGGGAGACCATACTCTTGCTGTAGAAGACGTGGAACATGATGCTGAGTCTGGAGATGAGGAGACGGAGCATAATGGGTATCCAAGGCCGATGAATACTGAAATCGAGGACCTGATTGAGGCTCAAAACTACACGCGACAGCGACTATCGAAGTCGGAGAAGCGCAGGCGGGATATGGCCCGGTCACGACTCCATGACCGATGGAGGCGACGAGACTTTTATCTTGATCAAGAAGAAGGCGCCACTCCCCCAGAAGGATATACTGAGGCAGACGAATATCCTCCGCTAGACGAGACTGAGGCGGGAGAGAGCTCCATGTCCACAGAACACCCATCAAGACCATCCCGATCACGATCCAGCTCGAAAGTCCGGTTTGCCCACGATGACGAAGATTATGAGAGCCGGTTCAACCACTCTGCATCTTCCAGAGGCATGTCGGAGCGATGGAGGGCTCCCGAAATTCCCAGCGTTGAACGAGATGCAGGGAAGGAAATCATGTATCAGGTGACACAGCAAGCATTCAACGAGCTTCTAGATGCTATCTTCAAGCCCTCGGAAGATCTTTACATTGAAGCTCGCAAAACTAAGAAGATGCGCGAGAAATTCAAAGATATGATTGACGCTTTTGACATGCCCGAAGATGGTAATCCACCAGAGGGCTATACGTCTCCCGCACCGGAGGCGCAATCACCAAAGGTTAAGTCGCTGGAGGATCTCTTGGCCGAAACTGGTTACTCGATAGATCCGGAAGTCGACCAGGACGCTGAACAAGAGATCAACCCTGAGATAGGTCAGATTGGTGCCTATGCTGCGGAGTGGCGATCCCATGAACGTGATCCAACATTTCCTCAGTTCCGTCCAAACCATATGACGTGTAGGGACGTGCTTCGATTAGGACTGACAACGTATCCTGACACCCGACCTCCGCAAAGCGAAACCGGCTCTGCCTTCGATATCACCGAGCACCACCTTTACAGCTGGAAGAGATTGAACGCTGCCGAAGAAGAGGCGGCAGCCAGGAGGGGGTGGGGCAAACTGAGCTTTGAGGAATTCGAAGAGATCTATCGAAATCAGGAGTTCCGGGGCAACAGGCTGGATTATCTGGGTAGCTGGATCGATTTCTGCATTCCATAGATAGGACATGAACAGCCAAGAAATTTGAGACGGCTATGAGACATGTGGGACGAGGGCTTATGAGACGTTTGAAGGTTTATTCAGCGAGTAGCGTTACGGGATTATAAGCTCGAGATGCTTGTCATACAACACGGGCCAGCGGCAGTCAAACATACATACCACTTTAATAAAAGCATGACACATTACTACTTGCAATGTAAACCGCTTCTTCGCCAGGACTCTATTCCTGGGCACATCTGTTTGATTGCTATTCAGTCTTAATCTCTTCCTGGTATTTTCTCCGTGCTTAAATGATCCTTTTCCCTATCGCATAACTTTCCTTGCCAATTCTTTCGAGGGGGTGTCTCGTGAATAGATGTTGTTGCTCGTTAAATCATCAAACCATATGCAACAGGTACACAAAATGTATTTATCAAACTATTGAATGAAATTGAAGTGCCCAAGGTGTTGGGGCAAAATCGTGAAATCGAATGGTAACTTTTATTATTCAGGAATGTACTCGTTGGTACTTTGATCCGGCTTCGAGGGGACTGTTTTTTTGCACATGCCCATACTGGACAGGGAGTTCATGGTTCGAGGAGCTTCAAAGCTCCTTAGGAAAGGATGAGATACACATATCAGCTCATCGGGCGGCTTGCAGTGGTCCCTCGTTCACGCAAGTCTCGAATGGCCGATGTGTTTCCAAGATCCCCCTGTAAGGCAATGACCAGATGCGAGAGAACTGGGTGGAAGAGCAAGTGCTCTTTAAATCATTCAAGATTCTGTTCATATCGCTGTACGACAGCAAAGGGAAGGGTCGAGATGATCGTGTTTCTTGGTATAAGTGCGCTTCGGCACTTGAGAGCGGCGGTTGTCATCTCTTGTCGCTATTTCCCTATCTGTTGTCTGGTCTTTATGCTGTGTCATTGCTTGTTGTTGTCTGTATGTTTCCGGCATGTGCAAATGTAATTTCAGGGAGTTTGGATCAGCCCGTCCTCGGGCCATTGTAAGAAATCGGTCCACAGGCATTCCTCGTTCAGGAGAGCCAGCGTGTCATCCTGCGGCAGGGCAACGACGCTCCCAGGACCGGAGGTAGAACCGGAGGCCGAGCTGGAGCCAATATCGGACAGCTCGCCCAAGTTGCCGGTGAACAGAGACTCGTTGAACCACGAGAAGTCGTCCATGCCCGAGCTCGGCGTGACGGGCTCCGGGTCGACCGTCGCATCCTCGGGCACCATGTCCACTGCTGGACACTCTCTACTGCTGGCGGCTAGCCGCTGCCTCTTGACGTACTCGACGGGCGTCATGCCCACGCACCGCTTAAACACACGGTGGAAGTGCCACTTGGACAGGCCGACCTCCTTGGCCATCTGGCCGAGGCTTAACCTGGCGCCGGCCTTGCCAGCTCTGCAGGACTTGCTCTCGCCGCCGTCGCGGACAAAGGCGCGTATCCGCCTTACCGCGCGCTCCTCAGGCATGAGGCCCTCGACCTCGGGCTTACACCGCTTGCAGGCGCGGAAGCCGGCGTCCTGCGCCTGCCGCGAGGTCTGGTAGAAGGTCACATTGGCCCGCCGGGCCAGGCGGGCTTTACAGATGGGCCGGCAGTAGATCTTGGTGGAGCGCACGCCGTAGACGAAGAAGCCGTCCGAGACGGGGTTCCGGGTCTGCAGGGCATTCCACCGCGACTCGTCGTCATCGAAGAAGGACATGACGGGGGAAGCTTCCATGGTGGGCAACAGTAAATTCTATTCTTGATGCGGGAGAGAGTAATGGAGGCGAGAGAGATGGAGGAGAAAAAAAGAAACGTTTGTCTGTCTTTCTAAGTGCAGCAAACCGGTCTGGCTGATCTGACGGCGTCAAAGTCAAGGGCCAGCAGGCGACGGAACTAGGTTCTGTGGTTGGTCCACCTGGATCTCGGGGGAGACGTGGTGGGTAGATCAGGAACAGCGGCAACAACGACCAGGTTGATGAAGAACGCGGATGCAAGTTGACGTGACATGAAGGATACAGTCAATTCTCTTGTTAGATGCAGGAATCTGGAAGCCCAGAAGCTGGCTTGTGTTGTAACTGGTGTAGTCATTCATACGATTATCAAAAGCGGGGCCCTTGCTCTCAAATTGACCAATCGGAATGCCGAGCCCGCACCAGCGAACAGGCACTGAAACTGGGGGAAGGAAGGAGGCATCGTGACATTTCTTGCTGCTGCTCGAGGCTTCTAATTTCTGAGACCTGGTTCCTAAAAGCTCTGCTGTCCTTTCTCTCAGACATTTCCTATTTTTTTTTTCTTCAAAAATTTTCTACCCTACCCCGTACCGCCTCTCCGTTGCTCCCAAACTCTCTCTCCTCGTCCCCCACACCCAGCACGCATTGTTTCGATCCCTTCAGCCAAGAGACCGGGGTAAGAGCAAGACTTTCCTAATCCATCCACATCCAAGATCATCCTCTGTCAGATGCTCCGTTTTTTGGTGTTTAGCCTTATCGACTCAAGACTCCCTGTCGATGATACAATGCTTGTCTGTTCGCCTTCTTAAACGAACTGCCACCCTGCTTCGATCTGAGGCTGGGCCTCCATGCCCTGAGGTTGAACCACAGGGGTGCTCGAAGGACCCGAAGTGTCCGTATGCTTTATCACCATACTCATCGTTAGCTTGCCCAGAACAACGTCCACAAGCAGGATGAACTAACCACTTCATTTCTCACCTCGCCCACGGGCGCTGGTGCAGACTTAGGCCCAGGCACGGGCTTGGGTAGAGCCTCAAGTGTAGGCGCAGGCGCAGGCGCAACCATTCCCTGCTTTACAGCTGGCAGCCGGGCCATCCACTTGTGAAGTACCAGGGCGATTTCGTCGCTGTTCTTCTCCAGAAACATCAGGCGGCCATTTCCGCGAATGCACAATTCCTCGAGGCGGAGCCAGCTGACTTGTAATCCCGCCTGCCTCATGAAAGCCACAGTGGCCCAGTCGAAGATCGAGTGTGAGCTGGCCTCGGCCGTGATGACAGCGTGGGGAACCTTTCTCAAGTGAAGAAGTTGGTGGAAGATCATCTCGCCTCCCTCCGTAACCCTGACGGGATTCTGCATGAAGCATGATTTGCGAGGATCCTCTGGGTTAGTGTACTCACAAAGAGGGAAGAGAGGGTTATTTCTCCTGTCCACAGTTGGGTCGGGGATGATCGCCTGTGGCTTCGGGAGGGGAGGGTCGTACGTCAAAGGGATATCAGCCAGACCCCATTCTCTGACCTCTGGATCAAACACAGCACGGTGACCGTAGAGTCTGCCTCTGCTCCGGGCGCTCCCAAAAGGTGGTCCGGAAGGTTCAATACTCAGGACTCCAGCGACCAGACCATGCATCACATCTGTTGTTAGCCAAGCCATGATGCAACCAGTCCCCTCACCGATGAGGATCGCTTTTCCAGTCCTCTGAAGCAGGGCGGAAAGTGCCTCCTGAGCTTGGGTCTGTCGCTGCTAGCGATCAGTCTCAAGGACAGTGACGGATGCCATGTACTGAGTGAAAATCGGGTCTCCCTGGCGACCATCCTGTCCTTTTGTTAACGAGCTAGGTCTTCCAAACCTTTTATTGCAGCAATGCGACGGCGATAACCTACACCTGGCCATTGGGTATGGCGAGCAACGGTTTCCCAAGCACTCGCCTGGTGCCAAGGGTACTTCTCCGGGCAGGTAAGCTCTTGCTCCACGGTTTGAGGTGTGAGTGAGCTCAGCTTCGCCACGTTGCCTCCCGTGGACGAGGGATGCTTTCCGGATCGTCCAACCCCAGGCAAGTCCACCAGATAGACGTGATAGCCTTGCTTCAAGAAGTAGGCTGCCCATCCCGGGTTTCCATCTGGCTTGTCCAGCCAGACCTGAGTTTTCAGCAAACAAGGGGCCCTTGGGGAATGCTCAAGAATTTACATACCTTTCCACTATGGAAGTCACCATGAATGAGCACCAGAGGGTAGGGTTGTGTGACCTTCTCTGGCTCAAGACTCTCCACGTACATGTGGCCCGAGAGGTGTGTTCTGATACCCCGGGGCCATTCGGGGTGAATATAGAAGGTTTGGCGGCGGCAGAGAGGCTCGAGGGATCCTGCAGGCTGTTAGTTTTGTTGCTGGTGGCAAGCAGATGGCAGCGAGCTGCCGTTATCACCTTGAGACGAGGCCATGGCTCGTTGTTGGTGGTTGCGGCTGCTAAACTTCTAGATCCGGCTTATGTTTGACTGTAGAGCAAGGAGAGAAGGAGGAAATTGAGATGCGTAAAGGAAGTGTTGGGTTTTATAGCTGATTTTCAAGGTGCACTGCTAAAGTGAGCTCAATCTGAGAACGAAGACTCAGTGGCGGGCCGAAACGCGTTGTTGAATGTGAACAATAGAAGTGACCGTCTCACCTTCCGTTGGGTTCTCACTATGCCCTCAATAGCAGCTATGAATAAATTACATACTTTTCAATTGAATCTCCCGCTGCTGCCTAGCTTTGGTCATTTATTCATTCAGAAAGTCATTGCGCATTCAAAAATAATGTCGCTGGTCAAATAAACTGCATCACACGTGATGGGAAAAGTCACATGCTGTGATACGCAATTTCCAATCTCATGACTATTGTTTAAATTGTAAATCTGCGCCGACCCATCACTCATGCTTTAATGATTTTTCTTGATCTTATTCTTGCTTTCATAGATCCATTATCATTACTGTTGTGTTATCCTCCTATTGATGCCTAAAGACGGCACCTTACATGTTGAGTGAAGGTGCTGAAACATGGTCTATCATGCCGATTGCCTCAGAATCGAAAGAAAAGAAGAAGAATATCAACTTATGAGAGAATAATACTGATTCTTAGAATTTAATTCATGCCATTTCATCATTGCTATCGTCTCTCGTCGTTTTCATCATCTTCTTCAGGGAAGGCGACGGGGTCGATTCACGTCAATATTTCCCTCCACCTAGGTTGCACAATATCTCAGAACAACACCACAATGGCTTTGTAGTCTCAGACACCTTTCAAACTTGTCCCAGAAATAGCAAGAAATACAAAGAGACTCGTAGCATAGCGATAAGATATAACAGACGTCTCAGCAAAGAGAGGAAAGAGTTCCACCTCACGGTGATGTAGGTGCCGGCGCATCATCCTTCATGTCAGGAATCCACCCCTTAGGTCGCTCACTTCCACGGACGACGATTCCATAGCCTAGCTTCTCAACTTTCTGGACACTCTGTCGCATAACCTCCATCTTGCCCCTGTAGTCCTTGGTCGGGACCTCGGGCAGCATCTCGTAGGCACAGCTCAGCTCGTGGATGTCGGACAAGATGTTGCGTCCGGCCTCGTTGCCTACCAGCTCGCCCATCTGGGCCGTGGTCACAGTCGCGAAACGCATCATTTCGCCGAACAGATCAAAAACTCCGAAGAGGTAATCGTGTGGTGTGAGAGACATGTCCGCGGGCATTGCTGCATCTACCTCGCCCTTTGAGATGAGGGTCTGATGGCGAAGATAATGCAGGAACGACAGAGCCTCCACGAATTCCTCCAGGCACCGGAGCGAGTAGGAATATCGATACCTATTAAGGGACTGGAGATCAGGGACGACGGATGTCAAAAGCTTGGAGATCTCCTCAAGCTTTAAATCGACATCTTTCTGTGTGCTTGGGGGGATGCCCTTTCCTAATTGCTTGACTCTGTGACCTGGTTAGACTCGATTGAGAATATATTTCGCCTGTTCATGCTCACCTTTGGAGAGAAAATATTCTGTAAACCAACAAGAAAAAGTGCCAAGCGTTAGCAGCGTAGCTCAGGAATGCAAAATTGTGATGGTTGCTCACATCTTCTTGCTCAAGGCAGTCACATCCCGAGAGGCCTTGATTATTCTCTCCCGCCTATCGTGATGCTCGTCAAGCTCGTCCCTGAAACCTTCAAACATATCATGGAACCGGCCTCGGGGACCGTCTTGGGGTGCTGGCTTCACTCTTGCGTTCCCATCCCGGTCTCTCTTAACGCCCGACATGGTAGAAACAATAAGTATGACAGCGCTACCCACGTTGATGAGGGTACTCAATTATGTATCTTCAGGCGCCAGGGGTAGATATATTAGGTCATTCCCGAATTATAACGGGTGGAGGATGCGCAGGCAGCTCTGGATGGCCTGGTCGTTTGATGGATTGTTGGATGGAGGTTGACGATTAGTGGGGCCTGAAACTCGACTTTGCCCAGTGGGAAAACATTGCTTTCTGCCAGGTGAGAGCACCACAGAGAGCCCCAAACCCCTGATATAACAGCCAGATTGCCGAAAGCTGAGCTGCCGCTTGATGAAATCCCGGGGTCAGAGGAGTAGTGATTGAGGCCTACGAGCGACCACTCTCTCAATTTCTCAGTCTTGGTGAAATCTAGTTTTCTCATCTTTCACTTTTGCTTTACTCCCATTGAGCATGAGGTGCGACCATACAGGGCTCATCTCATCTCTTGATACCCTCACCACCACAGCACCATGATCCCCTCAGCCCTCTTCCGGCCAGCGCCGCTATTCTCTATAGCCGCTGCGCTCCGTCTCACTCTTCTTGTCTACGGCATCTGGCAGGATGCCAATTCCGCCTTGAAATACACAGACATTGACTACCTCGTCTTCACCGACGCTTCCCGCCTGCTGGCCAAGGGACAGAGCCCCTACGACCGCGACACCTACCGCTACACCCCTCTGCTCGCCTGGCTCCTCCTGCCCACCGCCGGCCCCTCCTCCTCCATCCTCTTCTCCTTCGGCAAGGTCGTCTTCGCCCTGGCCGACCTGCTCGCCGGGTGGTTCCTCCTCCGCATGCTGCAGGCCCGCCGCGGCATGACCCTCGAGCGGAGCGGCGCCTTCGCCGCCCTCTGGCTCTGGAACCCCATGGTCGCCACCATCAGCACACGAGGCAGCTCCGAGGGCCTCCTGGGCGTGCTCACCACGGCCCTGCTCTGGGCCGTCGAGCGGAGGCGGAACTGGCTGGCCGGCGTGATCCTCGGCCTCGGCGTCCACTTCAAGATCTACCCCTTCATCTACGCGCCCGCCATCGTCTGGTGGATGGACGCCGAGCACACCGGCTGCACCGTGCTCCAGAACAAGAGGCCCTCCGTAAAGGACCGGCTCCTGTACTTCATCACGCTGGCCAGGGTCGAGCTGGCCGTCACCAGCCTGGCCACCTTCATGCTCCTCAACATCCTCATGTACTCCATGTAAGCCAGCACAGCACCTCCGATATATAATTTCGCAAAGTCTCTAACAATAGGATTCCCTCCTCCCCTTAAGGTATGGACACCCATTCCTCCTCCACACATACCTCCACCACGTCACCCGCATCGACCACCGCCACAACTTCTCCGCCTACAACACCCTGCTCTACCTCAACTCGGCGGCAGACCCCTCCTCCTCCTCCTCCTCGTGGCATGCCGAGTCCCTCGCCTTCCTCCCCCAGCTCCTCCTCGCCTGCCTGCTCATCCCCCTCGCCATCGCCAAGAAGGACCTCGCCACCTCCATGCTGGCGCAGACGTTCGCCTTTGTCACGTTTAACAAGGTCTGCACCTCCCAGGTAAGCAATCATCATCACACTCTTTACTTCTTTGACAAGAAAAAAAAAAAAAAGAAAAAAAAACAGACTCCAAAGCTCACCTCCTTTGACAGTACTTCCTCTGGTACATGGTGTTCCTGCCGCTCTACCTCCCCAGCTCCTCCCTCCTCCGCAACCCCAGGCTCGGCATCTCTGCCCTCCTGCTCTGGGTCGGCACCCAGGGCGCCTGGCTCCAGCAGGGCTACCAGCTCGAGTTCCTGGGGAACAGCACCTTCTTCCCGGGGCTCTGGCTCTCCTCGCTCGCCTTCTTCGCCACAAATTGCTGGATCCTGGGCATCATCATCAGTGACGGGGCGTCTAACAAGAGCGCGACTCGTGCACAGTAGCTTTGTAGTAGACATTATCTAGGCCGGGACCAGACTTCCTCTATCATGCTTTCTCATCCCCTTGATACTGCAAGGGTGGGCAAATATTTACAAGACATTATTACTCGTGGTCAATGGGCCGAACAGATAGAATAAAAAGGGCTTTAATACTTTAGTCAATAACTAAACTCACTCCTCAAATTTTGATATGGGTGGTCTGAAAACACTCTTCCCGCAGTTCATACCGATTCATCGTAACCCTGTCCAACCTTTTACACCATATAGCATCCTTAACTCCTGAAACCGCCGAGAGCCCGCCCACTCTGGGTATAAATTAAATGCGGAGTTTTCGTGCACCTCCAAAGATTCATAACTCTGACAGCCTTATGTCAGTCAAAACAAAACAAAAATGACGGAATAAGAGCACCAAGAAAAGAGTCGAATAAGCAGCAAATTTTCGAGATAGGGAAAACTGCTCGAGGCTGCAGAACTGATCCCACCAGCCTAATGCGCAGTTCAAGCCCAGATTCATTGCGGGATTCCTCAATGGATCGTCATTCGGTTCGCGAGCAACCGATAATTTTCAAGTTTCAGAGATGTAATCTTGGTCTGGCAGGGGTTTTCTGGGGCAACCACCATGCGACCCTCCTTGTTATATATGATGTTGCCAAACGAGTGGCTCAGCTCCACAAAGGTAACATGCGGACGTGCGCGGTTCATCTCGTTGATGATTCGCTCGCTCCATACACCCGAGCAAACACCGTTTTGTAAGAGGAAGAACGGGTTCAAGGCTGGCAGTACGGAATCTAGTTTTGGTTAGCAGAGTACTCCATTGAGTGTGGGGAAGATGTTGAGGGTAGAAATTCTTACCCAGGTCCACAAATCGAATCCTCATGTATTCGACTTGATTCAGTACCGCCAAGGAACGAACGGCGGACACCACAAGCTTTTCGAAGGCCTCGATAAAGCCCATATCCTGGATTCCTGAACCTGACTCGTGGAAACTAGCCAGAGGGCGGCAGCAATTCTTGACGGTCAAATCAAGCGATTTAAGCCTGGTATTGCGGGGATCAACAGATCGCATGGCGGTATCGAGAAACATGTGGCAGACACGGCCTGTGTAGGACAAGTGCTCGAGTTGAGACAAGTTGGCAGCCATCACACTGCAAAAATGGCTCTTTACAGCGGCCTTGGAAAAGAATGCTGGCATTACAGGTTCCCGTCGATAATCGGTTTCGAGACAGAGCTTGAGATTCGAGATGTTTGGTGGGAGCTGGGGCAGGAACTCGCACAGGGTGATATAAGACTTCGACTTGGGCCTACTATACGAACCGTCCCAGTGTGTCAAATTCGGTAGCGCGCCAAGGACGGTCGCAAAGTCCTCGTTGTCACGCATCAAATTCCACTGGCCCTTCGTAATCAAGGTCGAAACAGAAGATATTGGGGTCAATGATCTCGGGCCTGCATTGCCGTTGTCCCGGCTGTGAAAATGATGAACTTTGGGCGCCTTGCGTCGTTCACCTCCCTCCAACGACAACACCTGCACATGGGGTAGGGTGGCTGCCACGAACTGGAAAACTCCCTCCAGGGTACAATTGTTCCCAGGCAACACATAAGCGGCATTCGTTAGACCATCAGTCGTCACAGTGGGCAGGCTTAGGCTGGGTGACATAACCAGGCGACCATATGAGGGCTGAAACACTGGGAACCATATCTCCATGTGCATTACATACGGCTGGAGATGCTGATTCTGGGCAAAGTGCAGCATCGCCCCTTCGAGTGAGTCGTATGTCCCTTGGAGCTTGATGTGCCTGTAGAGCCTTTGCTGCACGAGGATTCTCCATACTTGGCTAACTAGGGCCAGCTCCGTCAACTGTCTCCTCCTCGCGTGGCGCATGGCAGTCCCCCAGCTCCTGCGGATGCTTGATACTTCCATGCCGCTTCTTGAGGTTGGGGATATCCGAAACCCAAAAATATGGTCCAAGATGGCTTCAAGGACCTCGATTGGCAGATCTTGGAGGCCAATGCTGGGCACGGCTTGGTAAACCGAGTCAAACAGTGTGATCTCCGAATCACTGGCATCATCCATCTGCGATCCCGAGTCATTTTCCGAGTCGTCCATAGGAGCATATGATCTCTGATGCTCGGTAAATGGAAAGGGTGTGCTCTTCGGTCGGAGAGGAGTGTCAAAGTCCATTTCGATGGACTCTTCGGCGGGTGGGCTGGATGAACCCGGTGTTCCAATATTCGAACTTGGCTCGATGAGTTTGGAGATGGGCGAGGCGGCGAAGTTGCCAAAGAAGTGCTCCTCTCTCCTCCCTTCGTGCGACGTGCAGTTTTCTAACCTCATTCTCTCCATTCCTTGGACGGGGACAGCGGCCTCGGCATTAGCGTTGGGTACACGGCGTCGGCGTCTGGCTGTTACAGAGCGGGGGCCCGAGTGTTGGGTAGGGTGCTGTGGTTGGAGACGACGGCAAGTAGGCTTATGGGATTGGCGACGACGGCAGCATCTCGCGTCACAATTCGACATTTCGACCATAGGTTGGGGAGGGGGCGTCAGGAGGGTGGTGGCACGAGACAGCCAGCAGGCTGTCGTACCCAGCCCGAGAAGTTGGTATCAACAGAGGACTCACACTCAGACGTCTCACATGAACACAGCCCCGGCGGCAAAGAAGAAGAACACTTGTCGTCGGCGGCGGCAGCGGCGGTGGCGGCTGGAGATTGTGTTGCAAGGAGAAAACGAGATTGTGGTCTGAGGTGTCTGTCTTTAATTAATTAGTCGGTGCAAGGCGCCGTGTGGTCGTCGTCTAGACCCAGCCCACCGCGGCACATAGGTGGTTCAACGTCAAGTCAGGGCAAGAGAATATGCACGAGGACCAGGCGGTGGCGGTAAATCAAGTGGCGTCGTGGTTATGGCATGAACAGTTTTATTGATGTCGGGGCAGCGAAGGCGCGGGAGCCAAGGAGGAAAGGAAATTACACAGGCAAGATAAGGTATGGGGTGGAGGAGGTGCTGGAAACCGAAGCAGGTCCTCATTCCAGGAAGGCGAGTCACGTCCTTGGGCCGGTATCTGTCAGCGTCTCTGTCGGAAAGTGCGAATGAGGTTGCGACACATGGGTCAGGAGGGAACCCGATCCCAACAAGTGAGGCGAGCGAGCGACGAATGGGGGCCGATCGGTTTTGTCTGTCTGTCTGGGTGTTTGTTTGCTGGAAGTGCGTGGCTGGCTGCTGGCACTTTACGCGCTGAGGTGGTAATTGGGGCTGGGCTGCACCAATGGACGGAGTGGACGGGCGTGCACAGCACAGCACAGCGGGTGGTGATGGCAGAAGAGCTAATTAATTTAATTGCACATTCAATGATCCATCGGTACCAGCAGCACTACTTGTAAGTGCTTGCATTATTAGTACCCTCGCCGGAATGGGGCACCTGGCTGCAGCCGGAGATAGTGGATGGAACCTGCCCTTAGTCAGAGTGCTCAGCGTGCAGGTTCAGTGCGCTCCTCACTCCTCGCAGCAGCTCAGGCTTCAATTCCATGTCAGTCTCAGGCAGCGCTCGGGTTGCACCTCGTCGAGGCATTGTACAGGGCTTGTGCTAATTATGCCACGGCCGTCCGCTGCGTTTCATGTGCATGCATCGATCTGAGCCGCAACGTCGCGTGCCGCAAAGCCCCTTCTGGTGAGGGGTCTCCGTTTTCCTCCCATTGACCTAATACGAGAAGCCCGCCGCCCAAAGAGGTGCCGGCACGAGGAGTGAGGGCGACTGATCAATGCCTCTCCAGGCGTTCTGGAGGCAGCGCTGCACACCCACCAGGCTGAGGTGACGTGAACTGGACGAGCCACATGATACTGAAGACACCACCTGCACGCCGGCCACCTCGAATGACGAACATGTGTGGTATCTACCGTGTAATCGATCACCGTATCTTTCCTTTGCTTATTTCCTTTCTTCCTTCTTTGTTCCCTTCGGTGGACAATCAGGTGGGCAAAGCGCATGACGGATGACGCATCAACAAATCCCTTACTTCATCTCCATATCATGCACAACCACCACGGCGGTGAATATGTGTGATTCACACCAGCAGTGGCTTTGCTGCGGCATGGCCCGCATATCTCATGACAACATCCTTATCTTCTTGTGGCTCCGCGGTCCCCAACTGGCTAAAATGCAATACTATCTTTTTAGAACATTGTCCGTGCCAGGATACCTTCCAGACCTCAACTCCGGTCTCTGCTTGGAATGCACATCGATAAGATGCTCCAGTTTTCCGAGTATCAATTCCTCGTCCCATCTTCCAACTTATTGGTTCCCATGGCGTGCAGGTGAATTGTCAAGACGCAATCGTACTGAGTTGCTGGTGCCAAAAGCCTAATCGATCTACCTCCACAAAAGGTTCCGGAATAGGATCAGTGGATATCAAAAAGCATTCTATTCTTTCCTCCCAGCCATATCCAATATATCAGGTTTGCTTCTCATCTCACGACGGCTATCATCCTATATATATTCATTTCCATGGATGAGCTATTGAAAGACCAAGGTTGCAAGGAGCAGACCGAGCCGCGGAGGCCGACCAAGAGGACCGTCCGTCCATGATGCCGGGTATAGATGATCTCCCGTCCGCTCTGGCCTACATGATTGTATTACCTAACCCAACATTCGTCATAAATGCACTTGCCTCCTCTGTACAGCTCTCGGGGATCGTCTGTTGTGGCGAGAGACCTCAGCCCTGGGATGCCTAATAGCATGACGGCTAACAAAGGTTATTTTAAAATACGGCAAATCGTTGGTCTAAACCGGCAGGTGAGTCTGCTTCTATCTTTGTTCATATTAGAGGGCATATTCATCATCACAATGAGACAAATGGCGCATGGTTTTGCCTCCTAAATCCTATGGTTGGCCAAAAGAAGCCACAGGCTCCAACATGAGCTGACATTCTGTCAGCGCAAGGCTACACCGAGGATCTCATAGATCTGTGCTTTTTTTATTATGGCGTACCGAGATACCAATAAGACCTTTCAGCTGCAGTCCATACGCGTGTTTATCTCAAACCAAACTATTCGTCACATTGGCTTACCGGGGACTTCAGAAATCAGGAGTTGCCAGCCCAGGAGATCCTGCGCCACAACCCCTCCTGTTGTTCAATCTGTAGCCTGAAACCCTCCCTGGTGCTTGGCAGAGGAGGCTCGTCGAGATCCAGAAGTTTTCAACGGCTAGAGTGCCGCTGAAAAGACGCTAGCATCGGCAATGGGTTTCAAGGGCTCTAACACTTGAGAAATAAGGTCGCATTGTATTACCATTCCCTTGCTAGCCTCAATTTACGAGCGCCTTGTCCTGAGCAGCCAAGCAGCTTTGACCAAGGCCTCGGCGTGCAGAGCTCTCGTACCACACTATGCCAGCTAGAGAGTTTGTGGAAGGAGATTCTCCATTGGGATCGAGACCGGGGAATGCCCAGCCCAAGATAATGGGCAGCAGCGTATTGAGAATCTCGGAAATTACATGCTCGCGTTGGGAAAATCAAAAAGCAAAGATGCTGCAGCCTGACGTGGGTGATCACAACGATGGCCCTGCCAATTTACCTTGTTGGTGTGCAGCATGCAGCCACGCGCCCAGAACGCAGACTCTGTCGAGCTGGCGGGCAGGAATTTGTATTAGCCTGCTGCGGGTGCGGTGCCAGTGCAGGAAATATTGGTATGGCAAAACGGCCAGCGTCGTGCACACGCGGCCGTCTGCGCTGTCTGTGAGCTGACCGAACTATCTGGTGATAGGTCATGCCGAGAGCTCGCCGGAATGTGTTCACGTTTCAAGATTCTGCTGGAGGGGCCGCAGACCCACGCCAGACGCCGCAGGTGCCGGTCATCTCCCCTGCTGCCCAATCATGTCCCGACAATGCGACATGGAGCCCATGGCAATGCTGAATCTGAGGCACAGAGGACAGTGGCACCTTGTCAAATCTCCCGCGACTAGGACCCCTACGTCGCTCTGCCTTGGTGAGGACTGCGCCAAATAGGAGAACCTCTGGGCTAGCCGATAGGCACCTCCCGAAGCCCCCATCCAGGCCACAGTGGAGGTGGCGCCTGTGCTGTGGTGCGTGCGCCACGCCAGGACAGAAGAGGAACCGCTACGACAATGATGTACAGCGGGTGCTCAATGCCGGGGACCAAATTTGGCTTTGTTGCCGCCCGTTGCACCGCTATGGCGCCTGCCCTGGACACACTGCCCAGCCAGCGTTTCGCCATGATACAGCGCATACCCACTGATTAGCCCTAACCTCCAGCGCGTGGTGGTATCACAGGCTCTTCTGACCAATGGCCTCTGCGACAAGAGAATTCAATCTCCCGAACGAGTCACATCCCCAGCGTTTAAACAAGCTTTGATTGGGCCAACTACGGGTCGGAAGTGGTCCGCCCAGCAATTGCGTACTCTGCCAGACGCCGAGACGAGAATCCTCCACGGAAGAGAGAGAGAATTGCGTGTCGTCCAGCTCTGATATCCACATGCTAGTCATTGCTGATGATGATGGAGAAAAAGCCAGAGGCACAGTCGTCAGTTTCGCCCTCTGCCCAATGCAGGTGATACAGCAACTTGGCCGGATGAGGCTGCTGGCGACCGGAGTAAGCTATAACGGCTGGGCCGCATACGCTGGTCTGTGGTCCGTGAGGCGTCCGTAACTATCTAACTGCTAGTTGTGGTTGAGGTTCTGGATGTGGTTGGACGTGGTGGTGCAGGGGCCGAACCCTGCGGTGGGCTCAATGGCCCCTGTTAGGTATGTCTGTACCTGCGTGCAACTGCCACCAGATGGGCCGCAGAATTCGTTGGATGGGGCTGGCCCAGCTGCCGCTTAGGTGGCTGACACAGCGTAACCACCTAATCTTTAGGTCCGAGAGCACCCTAAAACTAAGCGCAACAGCTCGAAACAGCCAGTGCGTTTGACTTGGCACCCTCAAGTCCCCACCAGCCTGGTCCCGGCGAGATTCTGGCCAACCAATGTAACCCTGCTGTTGGTTGTCCCCGTCCAGGGGCCCCTGGACGACTCATCCCCTGCCACAGTCTCCATCATGGAGACTGCGCTTCGGGTGGACGACACGAATTGAATCCAGTTCGATGGACCGCCGCGAGGCAGAGGGCCCCCCGGCTCCAGTGGCCCATGGCCAGTCGACTGTGGGTGACCGGGATGGGACGTCGTTGAAAAGACTCCTGCTCCCAGATCTGGCCCTCCAAGAAGATCTCTCCGTCCCTCACTCTCTTCTCTGTTGATTTGAGATCTTCCTCGGTCACTCCCAGAGCAAGTTGGCAAAGTTGCTGCTTGTTTCTTTGTTCTTTCATTCACCTGTCTTTCTCTTGCTGTTCTAAATCCAGTCTTCTTTATTGTCCGACTAGACCAACGCACACATCACATTCACTATTATTATTGCCAGGCAGGCCCAACTTATTCACAACAAAAGACAATACAACAACCTGCTCCAACTTCACAGTCTTTTGGACCCATTATCAAGGTGTTGACCGCCTATCGTCAGATACCTGCATATACAAGCAATCTTCACGACACGTACATATCACTTACAACACCGAAGCTCTTGATCGAACTTCACACTTTCATTCCAAGTGATTTCCGCAGGATCTGATCTCACAGAATCATTCGTTATCATTAGCCACACCTTGTGGAAGATATCCCAAACTCATTTCAGCCCAACCCAAATCATCAGACAAGATGCCTTCCTTCAAGTCTCTCTTCACGAGTGCGCTGCTCTTGGCCCTCCCCTTGGCCAATGCCCTGCCAAAGAAGACCAGCGACGTCTCCTTCTCCACCAACGATGTCATCAACAGCGCCGTTGACAAGGTCACCGACGTTGTGAGCAGCGGCAGCTCCAGCATCTCCAGCTTCGTCTCCAACTGGGGTGCTGAGAACACCATTGCCAACCGCTACATTGTCATGTACAACGCCACCTTTAGCGATGAGGCTATCAGCGCCAAGCAGGCCTACTTCCTTGGCCAGATCCAGAAGCGCAACCTGAACAAGCGAAGCATGGCCGGTCACATGCTGTCGACCGACATCCGATCGTTCAAGATCAATGGCCGCCGTGGAATGACCATCGATGCCGACGACGACATGATCAAGGAGATTTCCAGCTCCGATGAGGTTCGCCTTGTCGAGCTCGACGCCAAGGTCAAGTCCAACACCATTCTCGGTCAGGTCAACGCTCCCGCCGGCCTTTCCCGCCTGTCTCACTCCACTGCTGGCCAGAAGGGTTACATCTTTGATGCCACTGCTGGAGAGGGTGTCACTGTCTACATCCTGGACACTGGTGTCCGAACCAGCCACTCTGAATTCGGTGGCCGCGCCACCTGGGGAGCCAGCTTCGTCACCGGCGAGCAGGACACTGACCTGAACGGCCACGGCACTCACGTTGCTGCTACCGTCGCCGGTACCACCTACGGTGTCGCCAAGAGCGCCAAGATCGTCGCCGTCAAGGTCCTCAACGCCAACGGAGAGGGCAACAACTCCGACGTCATCGAGGGCATGCAATGGATCGTTAACGAGGCTGGAAACTCGAAGGGCAAATCTGTTATGAACATGTCGCTCGGTGGCTCCTACTCCGATGCCGTCAACTTGGCCATCGAAAGTCTGAACAGTGCTGGCATTGTCCCCGTTGTGGCTGCTGGAAACGAGAGCGTAAGTCCTTTCGTCTATGATTCGATCTAGTGAATAAAGTATGGAAACTAACAAGTGTGCTTTTACAGAAAGATGCTGCCAACACATCTCCCGGCTCTGCCCCCAACGCCATCACCGTCGGCGCCATTGACGCCTCCGACGACACCATGGCCTCCTTCTCCAACTACGGCTCCGTCGTCGACGTCTTCGCCCCCGGTGTCTCCATCCTCAGTGCCGGCATCACCTCCGACACCGCCACTGCCACCATGAGCGGAACCAGCATGGCCTCCCCCCACGTCGCCGGCCTCGCCGCCTACCTCATGGGCCTCGAGGGTCTCACGACCGTCGCCGCAGTCACCGACCGAATCAAGGCCCTCGCCACCGGCTCCGGCTCCGCGGTCAGGAACGGCCACACCGGCACGACCACCCTGATTGCGTTCAACGGCAACACCCTCACCCTGCCCTCGTCCTAAACTCGCACGATGGTCACTCTTTCTTTCATTCATTCCTAGTTGAAATTCGAATGTATTAATAATATAGACTACAAAGAAAAAAAAATCATCAAAGAGTACAGGGACAATGGTTCATGTTTGAAGACGGCGAATGAAGGCAAACGGCCCAGCGTTTGGATAGCTACACTTAGCTTAATTATCACGATCCAAATTTATTGATTACCCTCGTATTAAGCATAACTATTATCGGTGATTTGATACTCCCTTCATCCCATCGTAGCGCTTTACTTAGCCCTGGATGATACCCAACGTTGCATGCTTTGGTCCAAAGGCCCCATGAAAACGGGGCAGACAGCTCAATATGGATCTCAATGCCCCAGATCAGTTCTTGTGTCCTATTTCGGCCATGCACCTTGCCGCGCGGCAGACTCGCTGCACCGTGTTGCCTCTGTCACAAAGCTGGTGGCGAGGCGCCGTCGATTGAAAGGCCATGTAATTAATATGTACCTATGCGTCATTGTTCCCTAAAGCAGACATGTCAAGGTAATTGTCGCGCACCGGGTGGCTAGGACAAGTAACCAAGCGCTTGTCCTATTGTTCACCTTGGGATCAACTGCATGAATGAACAGGGAAAGCGGGGAAGACAGGCACAGAGACAATGGCAAAGGAACCATGAATAGATTATTGCCGAAAATAGCAACGATTAATATTTTTACAAATCTCAACCTACTGCATATTCCGATAAAGATGACGTATGATAGATAGTTCACTCTACGACCAATAGTTGCTTGGTGAAAACAACACAATCAGGGATGGCATGTTCGCCCTCTGGTATCACGTCCACTCGTTCAAAGCGCGATGGGACACAACACCATGTCTTGCCGGATGGCAAGACCAAGAGCCACGGTTAAGTTGATATAAGCACTTCTTCGGCACAACCATGGTCATGAAAGGACCAGATTGCAATTTGACATCCGTGCTAACGAGAGAAAACCAAGCTTCGGTAGAGGACAAGGAGACGCGTCGGTGGAACACAAACCAGGGGAGGGGGGTGCGCTGGCTGCTCGGCGGCGTACCAGACTTATTCATATTGGGCTTGTATTAATAACTTCAGGGGGGACCTGATAAAGTCGCCTTATACATTTGCGGCGCCAGCGAAGATCGTATAAACATGAAGATGAAGAAAAACAAAATCCCGCTAAATCATCATTACAGTTCTTCGTGAGCACCGGCATCAGCCGATGATTTGAGCCAGCCGCTTGGGTTGAGGAAATTCATGTCTTCGAACATGTTGCCAAACTGGGCGCCGAAGAACCAGGCAGTGCCAATCTACACCTTGTAAGTGACTGCCGAGGAGCAGAGAAAGGGGGGTGAGACGCACCATAAGAAGGGTCATAAAGACCATTGCAAGAAGAGCCACGACAATCATGACGACAGTCTCGCCAGGGTCGGCCGTTTGTTGGCCAGCCTGCTTTAATTTATTTGATGCGTTCAGCTTATCAGGGTTTTGCCTTGGGTACAGCGTCTCAATGAATTGCTCAATCTAATCAGGGCAGGTTATGTTAGCGAATACACAGCAAATACAAGAGGTAAGAATAGTCCTGACCTTAGCGCATTGTGCCGCAATGGCTAGGAAATTAGGGTCGTTGGGGTCGTTCTTGTTGTGAATCTCTCGGGCGAACTTCCTGAACACTTCGCACTCGACGAACAGGTTCTGTGTAGACTCGAGCATGATTTGGCAGGCGGCCCCCTTCGTAATCTTAACGTTCCTCTCCAAGACATCAGGGTTGCGGAAGACAGTTGCCAGGGTGGCGATGGCCATGCCCTGGGGAATGGCCACGAAATTGAAAACGCTCTGGTCCTTCATGCCCGCCATGTAGAAGAGGCAGTCCTCCGCATGCTTCAGCGCATCCAGAACCATCTCCGAGATGACGTTCAAGGCCTTGTCACGTTGCTTGGGGTCGAACATGTCTTCCCACTTGTCAATATGCTTGCTCCAGATTTCCTTGGGGTACCATCGTCTGCCGTCCTCCCAATCCTCGTGAATGTCACGGATGATATTGGTTTTTTGCAGGAATTGGCCCATGGACTCGGTCAGGGCAGGCCTCTCGGCCAGTTTGGGGTGTGCCAGCTCAGAGGCCAGGAACAGACGTGTCAAGCCCTCTCCTACTAGACCGGCGACGTAGTGGCAGTATAATTCGTACTCCTCAACTGTCTGGAGGCCATTCTTGATCTGCTCATCATTCTCAACATAGTCGGCCATCCCGTTGCCCATTTTTAATGTCATGTCTTTGATGATATCATAATGGGGCTTCTTGATCTTCTTCAGCTCAGAGATGACAACGTCGAACTTCTCCAGCAGCTCCGCGTCCTTCTCCTTACTCTCGTGGAATTGCCAGCCATCTTCATCGATAGTGTTGTGGAAATTTCGCAAGATGGGAACCTTCTTCTCGAGAGGAAGGGTCATATCATCTTCAATGGTATCGAGCCCGCGGAGAACGAGGTAGAACAGGGTGATGGGGACGAGGAGTTCGGGGTTGAGCTCTTGAATGACGGCAGCAAAGCTACGACTCGTCAACTTGAGAAGTCGGAAGCATTCTTTCAACTCTGGACCCTCCTTAGACTCGTCTCGTCGGTGAGGAGGCTCATGGTAGACTTTCCTGTACCTCGAGTCAGAACTATTCTAGGAATGCGGGACTGGACCACAAGGTGTACCATTGAATGATGGACCGCAACTCCGATGGGTGCAGGAGGAAGTAGAGGTAGCCCATTGTGCAGTTATCGACCGCGCGGGGACTGTCTCAAGAATGCTAGGCTGGGTCTCAAGAGGCAGGGTTGTGAAGGACTGCGGCGGAGGATGAACTTGCGACACCCCTAGACAGACCGGCGGTTCCAAATATATATCGCAGTGATATCAATTGAGACCGGAGCCCAACGCAGATGAGGAAACACACCGAGTTCCGTGGCTCCAGTCTGGGTTTGGCGACGGAGTCGTTGGGAGAAAAGTATGCGTCTCTCAAATGCTGGGGTGGGAGGGAAGGCAAAATTGAACACTGGTCGAGCACCGGCTTCAGTTTTGTAGTAATTTGGCTCTGCGTAAACGACAGGGGTCGGCGGGGGCCTGCAGCAGGTGGTGGGGATACCTGTAGAAAGAGTTTAACTGGCAGATACTTGGAGGTACTTACCTCATGGTCCAACGCAGCCTGGGCTGGCAGGGGCCTGAGTGTCGGCAGAGTACCAGCCAGTACCCGCCTAGGTGTTCAATTGAGAAAAGTGCCCCCCTTTCCCCTCTCCTCGCCCAAGTGGAGAGCGCTGGACCTCTCAACTGAATTCCGGCCTGCTTCTGGCTGGCCACCACCACCCACATCTTAAACATCATGGATGCAACCTTGGTTATATTGATGTTGGCAGCAAGCACCCATCCGCACGTTGCCCGCTTACGTAGGCAGCTCTCATAGACGAGCAGCCACTACCTTGTGCAACGGCCGGCTAGGCGGACCTCACTCCCACTTCGCACTATCACACAGGATCGCCGGGGTCGCGCTCTTACATATCTTGACAAGCAGCCAAATACATGGCCAAAAATTGTAATTCCCTCGCCAGCACTGGAAATGCGAGCATCGGAATCTATAAACCCCGGCTGTGCATCCACAGGATAGTGCTGAGGTTGCCAACCCACATTGGAGAGCAGGTGATGTAGCCATCCCGAACCCCAGCCCAGCAAGTGCCGCTGTCCGTGTAGCAATCTGAAGGCGTATCTCCGGTAGATACTTAGCCGTGATCCCTTTCCCACGATGATGCTTCCTTCTTCCGACTAGCGAGGCAACCATAGTCGCATTCGTATGGCCACTGAAACCGTTAAGATTAACTCCTCCCGCAGCCCAATGGTTGCAACAGACCTGGACAGGTATAATCGAGATCCACAACCAAATAATAAGACGTATGCCCGTTGAAGCAACTAGGAATATACCTAGCGGCGGATAATAGAAGAGGCTAGCAGAGTTCAATACCCCCGATACGAATACGAAATTGGAAATCACCGTCTGTGGGTGGTGTCAAACTCAGCCTCCTTCGCAGCGCTTCTGCATGTGCATGAAACGCATCCAACCATGCAAAAGTCGGTGACCAGGTCATCAGGATGCAATCCGTCGCTTCAGCGTCCTATCCCGTGCGTTGTCTTGGTGGCCAATTACATCCGGCACGGCGTTCGTAACCATCACAAGTGAAGATAACTGGGGACAGATGCTTCAAGAATTTCAATACCCTGTAGCTGACACACGCTCGGTCTCCGATATGTGAGTAATGGATGCAGTACGCTTTGATTGGCAATGGATTTGATACCATTGGGGAAAAAAGATAAATGTATCTTGGTATTTCATTTCCTTGCTGTGCTTATTGTTTCTCTAGCCAATATTCGTCGTCAGCCTAGGTGTGGTATCTGTTTACATCCCCCATCCGGCTGGCCATCTCCGGAGCGGAGTTTCATACTGATATCTGGAGTCTATATTGATTTTATTTTTCATGCATCGCTAAAGCACGGGCAGAAACAGGTATGGACCAACGTAAGGGAAAGAACCGGAGAGCCCCCCTCTCTCAATGGGGTTGATGCGAGGTACGTGTGCATGGGATAAACCAACGATTCCGTGTTGCTACCTAGTACTTCAGGACTTCTGGCCTTCGGACCCGACATCGAAGCCTGGTCCGCATTAACCTGTCAGTGACAGTATTGATCGATGACGACGGGGGCAGGCAAGCGTCGCATATGCTATAAATGGCAATAGAGAACGTCAGGCCTTAGTAATTCCCATCCGCTCTGGACTGGAGGCAGTTGCAGCCTTCTGGATACGGTGGATGAGGAGCTCAGTACCTGGCAGCCAGCCAAGGCCACATCAGCGAGCGCCGGAGCAACATAGTGGCCTCCACTGGCAGCCGGACGGCTTTGGCGCATTCATCTGTGCCCCTCCATAATTACGTAGCGCCTGCGAAATTTCAAGCCACACTGACGCCCCAGGCAGAAAATCGCTGCTGACGATCACTTATTTGCCTTGGCACTGGCCATCTTGTCTCCTAACTACCGTTGCACCTACCTCTCGGTATTGAACATCTAGAAAGTATTGCTACCTATATTTACAAAAGACAAGGGCGACTGCGAGAAAACTGAGGCGGGCTCAAGATGGTTGTCGACACCGCTTATTATGACACCTTGGGTGTCCAGCCCACGGCGACAGAGCTCGAGATCAAGAAGGCTTATCGAAAACTCGCCATCATCCACCACCCAGGTGCGTCCATACCTGCAGCGAGAGCTGCCTCTCGACAGCGCTCGACAGCGCTCGGTGAATATACATCTGGTCTAACCTGCGTTGCATAGACAAGAACCCCAACGACCCCACTGCGCACGAGAAGTTCCAGTCCATCGGCGAGGCATACCAAGTCCTGTCCGATAAAGACCTCCGCGCGGCGTACGACAAGTATGGAAAGGATCATGCCAAACCCCAGGAGGGTTTCGCCGACCCGGCCGAGTTTTTCAGCAATATCTTTGGTGGCGAAGCGTTTGTCGACTGGATTGGCGAGATTAGTCTCATGAAGGATCTTACCGCAACCATGGATATCGCCATGCAAGAGGAGGAGCAGAAACTAGACGGTGACGCCGCAAAGGAAAATATCAAGGGCGAGGCGGAGTTCCCCGGCACCGAAGAGGCTATCAAGGAGAGTCTGAAGTCTGATGAAAAGGCTCAGGCTAGCACAACCACCACAGCGGCCCCCCCGCCCACCGTAGTCGTGGACGAGGCCGAAACGAAGAAAGACAGTGCCGCCCCCCCACGATATGAAGCGGCTTCACCCGCTCCATCTGCCTCATCTACGCCCGGCACCCACACCCCTCGAAGCACCCAGATCCCATTAAGACCAGCCCTGACCGATAAGTCTCACGAGGACCTCCAAGCATCAGCGGAGGCTGATCCGGAGGACCCCAACCAGAAGAAGAAGGCTGGTCTCACCAAGGAGCAGCGCGAGCAGCTGGCAGCTTACGAGAAGGAGCGCGCTAGGATTCGACAGGAGCGTGTCGACACCCTCGTACGAAAGCTGATCGACCGTCTCAGCGTCTGGACTGAGACTGACAAGAGCGCCGATGTGACCAGAGCCTTCCAGGAGAAGACGCGCCTCGAGGTTGAGAATCTCAAGATGGAGTCCTTTGGAATTGACATCCTCCACGCGATTGGACAGACTTATGTCTCAAAAGCTTCTACACTGCTCCGCAGCCAGAAATTCCTCGGTATCGGGGGTTTCTTTAGCAAACTCCGCGACAAGGGCAACATGGTAAAGGAAACGTGGAACACCATTACTAGCGCTATTGACGCTCAACAAACCATGGAGCAGATGGCCCGCATGGAGGAGCAGGGCGGCGAGGACTGGAACGACGAGAAGAGGGCCGAGTACGAGCGCCGTGTCACCGGGAAGATTCTCACAGCTGCCTGGCGGGGAAGCAAGTTCGAGATCCAGGGCGTCCTACGGGAAGTGTGCGACGTTGTGCTCAACGACAAGAAGGTTCCGCTCAACAAGCGCCTGGAGCGTGCGCAGGCCCTGGTCTTGATTGGCGATATCTTCAACAAGGTAAGAAACCCCCCTTTCATCATAATGACCCTCTTGTTGCCTTCAGCTTGCTAATGTTTATACAGGCTGCGCGCTCACCTGAGGAGGAGGGCGACTACCTCATCTTCGAGCAGCTTGTCGCCGAAGCGGCAATCAAGAAAGACAAGAACGAGGAGAAGAAGAGGAAGAAGGACAAGAAGGACGGATACTCCGCGGCCGCGGCCGCTTCTTCAACCTCAGCCTCTGCTGCCGCCACCTCGTCCGTTTAGATTCATACCCCTAAAAGAAAGGAAGCTCGAGGAAAACCATGAACTGCGAAGGAGGGTGGGATGCGTCGTATTGAATAGAGCGAGTGTCTGTCTGGGTTAGGGCGAGAAGCGAGTGGTTTGCGAGCACAGGTCTAGGATACAGTGGGCTCCTTTAGACCCCGACGAGCACGTTTTACGCATAGACTATGTCTTCCCTTTTTGCCTCTTTTTTTTTATTCTCCCCTTTTGGTTATATCCATTTATGACTAGTTATGACATCAGAGAAAGTCCACCAAACTTTTGTCAATAATTGAACATTTGGCTGGCCTGGCTATAATGAATTAGAGGAATATATCGGACGTGATGTCTGGGTTTTGTTTCAAGTTTTCGCATTCAAATTGTGTTGAGATGTCGGGACTGGCATCTGTCATTGCTGTTTTTAACTTTATACTCAGACTGTCATCCGGGTTAAGTCTTCGAATCGGGTCTTCACCCAGGGCGCTTTGTCTTATTTTCTATCCTATCGCCTCTCCACGAGGCTTTCATTCCTAGATGTGGTTGTTGTTGTTATCCCCCTCAAGTCTGTGGGCTGAAGCCAGCCTCTCTTTTCAAATAGCACGCCTTAGCCTTCTATATCGGTAGCCCTCCAAGGCTACCATGCGGTATCTCCTTCCTGTTTTCCGCCCGGTTCACTCATAAAAATCGGTGCCGGCTTATCCTAATGCAACGGCTAATTTCAACACAAGGGGGTATCTGTTGTACAATTGATGTAATCCACAAAAGGAAAGGGAGACGTGACCGTAGTAAATTAAAGGAAACCAAAATCAAATAAATAAGAAAAAAAAAGAGAAAACGCGAGAGGAAGCGAAGTGAGGGAAGAGAAGAGGAGATGAAGAAGAAAGGCTTCGAGCCTTGGTCGCTCTAGCAATGGGAAAGCAATTATGGAAAATTTATCGTGTATAAAACGAAGAGATGATGAACACAGTCGCATGGAACGCCTTCGCTTGCAGATGGCGTATAACAAAGAAAAATTGAGTCGTCAGAGGTGAGATAATCGCTTTGTGATGCAAAGAACAAATTAACAGGAAGCCGCCAATATTCGCCGGCGACACCTAGGTCGCGTGATTTCGCATGATGTTTTGTCTGAGTGAGATGTCTGAATGTTGTTGTTGATATTCGTTTATGTCTTTGCTCCAAAAGAGGCGAGTGCGCTCACCGACTGACGTTGCATCAGCCAATGAGTCAAGACAAGCCCTTGTCACTGGGTAGCTCAATGCCACTATCGCGATCCTTTGAGGATGCTGCGCTCCATGGTTCAAGATTTTCCAAGGATAATGGTTCGTCAGCATCGAATTCCTGAATGGCACTCCCTCTTTCCTCTTCGTCGTCGTCGGGAGGTGCGAGGACATGGCCACCGAATTTGATATCTGAAACCCTGACTTTGTATTCCAATGCTTTCTGTCCCTCCTTAATCAAGCCCTCAGTCCAGTCTAAACAGCGCTTGATGCTCTGGTTGATCTTCTGGCTGTCGACAAGTAGCTCTTGATGCTTGGTAAGGTCTAGCTTAAGCCTGATTTCCTCCTGCTTTCGTCTGCTGGCCATCTTGGCATTAGGCGACAAGGCCTCATCTGCTGAGCCTTCGTCACTAGAAAACTCGGATTCATGGATCGACTCAGGCTCTTCTTCTGCCTGGCTTTCTTCGCCGCTGGGGTCTGAGAAGTCGACAGGCACCTCAGGCAGAGCCGCAGATGGAACGCGGCTTGAAGCTGCGGACATCATTTTGCCCGATCGGGACATTCGACGAATTCGTCGTAGCTCGGCAGTTTGCCTCCTTAATTGGCGCTCCAATGTTCTATTGATAGCCTCAAGAGACGCATTGGTTATCTCAAGATCCTGAACCTTGCGTTCTCGCCTCGCATTGGCAACAAGGTCACTGACAATATCGCCATGGCTTGACTTGGTGGGGCTTTGAAGCTCACCAAGGGAGTCGTCGTCCCTGCCGCTGTCGGATTTCATGTCCTCGACTGCCTGCAGTATTGACGCCATCGTCATAGCCGGCTGGCAAGCTGGGCTTTGTGGCGGTGAACTGGGCGCACTCGTTGGAGATTGAGCTTGTTTCTGAGCTGCCAGATAGTCGAATACCGGAACGCTACCAGTCCTGGCATGACCTCTCTGCGGTCTCTTTGGCGACTCGATACTGACCCGCCTCCCTCCCTGAGGAATATGTGCCGGAAGCAAGCTTGACGGTGACGACGATATTGGCCGATTTGTGACATTTGTTGGGGTAGGGTTGGTCTGATGCAAAGGTGCAGATGTCGGTGTTGTAGCGGCTTTTGCAGGTGACATTGGTCGCTGAGAGGGTGTTGGACCCTGACTAACACCGGAACTGGCGGTTCCTGGCCGAGACGGTGTAGCTCGAGGGCTGTGGAGGGGTGCTTGGGCTGCGTGAAGATGATCTGGGGCTCCATTTGCATGAAAGAATTTTCTGTTCGTGGGTTCGGGAGTTGAGGCCTGCGCTGGATTGAAGGACGAGGTGCTCGAGGGGCTGCTCGACTTCCTGCTCTCCGCTTGGGATCCATTGGCGTAGTAGAAGGTAACGGGCCGTTGCTGCACTTGAGGTTGTGGGGGAGGGGGTTGCTGAATTCCTGGTTTGACCTCGCTGGCAAAGAAGAACTTGGAATCTCTCGAGTCTTGCTGAGAGCTATGCCTCGAACTATTTCCGTCGCTTAGATCGGATTCCTTTCTCAATATCTGTGTGTGGGTTGTTGTTGTCGAGTACGTGCTCTGCCTGTTGGCTATGCGTGGCGTAATTGCAGGCAGATGGGACGCCAGCCCAGGGGACGACGAGACATCTTCATTGTGTGTGTTGGAAATGGACGGTGCTGTAGAGCCTGCGTTGAGAGACCTCCTCGACAGTGGCGTCGACCCGAGATGCGGTGATGTCTTGGCAGCGATCTTGGGGGTAAGGGGCGGTCGGGTGAGGGCTTTGGCTGCAGTAGCACTCAGGTGAGGATGACGGGGTCTATTGCTGTTGTCGCTGCCTGGGGGCATTGTGGGAGCGGACACAGTCCTGATTCCCGGACGCGTCCTCGTGGTTGTTGTTGTTGTGATGGTGGTGGTGGTAGTCTGCCGTGGTTTCAGCGATGGGGCATTTTGCTGGCTTTGGTTGCGGAGACGTAGCGGTGGGCGGGCACGGGGCAGCGGCAGCTGGGCGGGATTGGAGGCTGGAGGTGTGGTGTAGATCGTCGGCGGCCGTAGATTTGCTAATTTGGCGTTTGTGTCGCTGCCCAAAGTCTGGCTGGAGCTGGGAGAGCTGAAGCTACGCACAGCCTTGGGGTTGTTGGGGCGCGTCGATTCGTCGGGATGTTTCGGCTGTGTTGTGTTTGCGGTATTGAGAGATCGCATCATAAACTTTTTCGACCTGGAGCAGTGCCAGAGGGCGGTGACCTAGTGGAGGTGCGTCACTGTCGTGCCACGGCCCCTCGATTTGTAGTGACCCGGCCTTGGGCGTCAAGGTCAGGAATTAGCGGCCGCTCCGGGAGTGAGGGAGGCTTTCACAGGCTAAGGGAATTGGGTATTTTACGGCATGAAAGCAAGCAATGCGCATTGTCGAGAGATCGATTTAGGCTCGGATAGCTAAACAAACATCGGAGGAATTTCCCCCTAGGCGTGGGACCGAATGCCCCGTGCAGCCTGGCATTTACTCGACGTGAAGGCCGGGCAGCTGTGCTGACATTACTCGGGGCCCGTCTGCACTATTTCCCTGCTTTGTCTAGGCCCTCTCCTCCTCCACAGTCCACAGAATCACAGGTGCCTCCATAGCTGCCTGCCAGCCAGACCAGATCGTCTGTTTGGGGCAAGAGCGTAGGTCACCTGGGGCGCTATTTTAGGACCCGGGACTCAGCGTCCAGGGACCTTCTTCTTAATGGCACGTGTACAAGAACGTGCGGCCTCTGCATAAATTAGTAATGCCGCGTGGTACTTGTACAACCTCCAGTACGAACTCCGCATATCTCACGGCAGGCCCTGTGGGGAACTCTGGCCCTGCACGACAAATTATAGGGACCGCGAGCGAAGCCTCCTACAACTCAAACCTCCCCCCCCTTGCATGTCTCCATTCCGAGAGAACAGAACATGGGTGTGAAATCTTCAACGCCCCTCTCGATCCCGCAAACCATCCCACCATCGTATGACGTCCGCAGACGATGGTAGCCGTGGGGATCTCGCTTATCGTCGCCTCTGTTGTTTGGGTATTTTTCCGACCACCGGGTTGGTTGCCCCCATGGCTCTTGCAATGGAGAGCCTTCCTCAGAGGCAGCATCGGGGCTGACCCTTCATCGGGACGCCGCGAGGCTCGATCTGATGATTCTCCCGGGACACACCGGGGGGAACATACCGGAGCCATCTCCTCGGAGGACACCCCGTCAGCTGCTCGGGAGGCTACTGGCAAAGGCTCCATGCCGCCATTAGCGTCGATAGCCTCGCCAGCATTCAGTTCCCAGAGTCCCTCCAATGCTGACCAACCTGGCGAGGAGCAAACGACGCCCAAGGCATCGCCCGCGATACCTTCACAGCCAGTGCCCAGCTTCTCTATAGGCGACGATGAGTACTCTGATACCGTGCCAGCATCTTCCTTTTCCGCGCCGTCGCAGGGCTCAAGTCCATCCTTGATGCCACCGCCTCCTCGTCCGGCAAACCCGCCACGTCTCGCACAATTCCCAGCCGCCAACTCCGCCCAGCGCGCCCGTGGCCCAACTCCAAACCGCGGTCCCTCCTCCTCTGGGCTTGCCCCTCCCCCGACACACTCATCCATCCCTACAAAGCCCAGCCGGAAGGTAGTCTTGACGCCTGGTCACTCTCCTCTCGACTGGGCGCGGATATCTGGGCCCAGCTCCGATTTACGCGGCGTACCCTCCTCCACTCCATACCTACGCGTAACACCCTCGATGCTGAAGAATCAAACGGGGCGAAAGGGCAAGGACGCGTGGATGGGTCTGAATGGTAAAGTGTATAATATTACACCCTATGCCGAATTCCACCCTGGGGGGATACCTGAACTACTGAGGGGGGCGGGCAAGGACGCAACCAAGCTATTCGGAGAGGTTCACCCATGGGTAAATTATGATACGATGCTCTCTGCCTGTCTCGTGGGCCTTCTGGTGGATGAGCCTGAAGGTACTGAGGATGTGAGTGAGATGGAAAAAATGGACTGATCCATAATCAAACGTTTGTATGGATGAGGTAGGTGTACGAATAGAGGATACGTTTGGCGAAACGCCACCGAGAATTCCTTTCATCTAGATAGAAAAGATACCCTATGTACTGAGAGACAGGCCTCCTACTACCGTCTCTTACCAAATCTGAATTTGAGATCATCGTCACTGTCACTATCAGCAATCTCAATGACCTTCCGTGCCTGTCGCGGTCTCTTCGCTGGTTGTGCCTTTGGAGGCTCTGGGGCCGGCCGCTTGCCCTGGCTCTGCGTGGTGGCCCGTGAAGACTGGCTGGCCAACCCCGACTCGCGCTGGGTCGTTCTTGTCCGCCTTTGGGAGGCGCTGCTGTTGTCGGTTGGTTGCGGGGCCTCATCTTCGCTATCAGACATCATGATTCGCGGTGCTCGAGGTGCCGGAGCCTCCACCCGTGGTGCGGATGGTTGTGACTCGGTGCCCGACGGCTGGCTGTTGGTCTTCTTCCGCTGGGTTTCATTTTCCAGCCAATAGTCATCGCCAATTCCAAACTCCTTATTCCTGACTTCGGCCAGCGAGATGATGACCCTTGCCGGTGCCCTTCCAGTGACCTCGCCACGGCGACGGAACTTTTTGAAATTCTTCATGCCATTCCACTTGGGATTCCACCGCCCATCAGCAATATCTAGTTCCCGGCTCCGTACAGCAGACGAGGGATCCCTTATATCCATCTTCTCAACGATTTGGAGCTTGCGGATTTGTGATAAATCAATATCATCAGGGAGATGTGCCAAGTCTTCCTTCTCTGCTCGAGCTCTAGCTTCTTCCTGTTCTCGATTTTGCGCAGCTACAGCAAGTACGTCAAGCTCTTTTTTAATCTTTTTTGGTGGTTCAACAGGCTCAGGTTCCGGCTCTGGCTCTGGTGACGGCGAAGCAAAATGGTCGCCTGCTTCTAATCGTTGGCGTTTGAATCTGGCTGCAGCAGGTGCTATGTCACCCATGTCGTCATCCGCACGCGGAGGCGATCTTTTCCTTTGTGACCTGCTACCCCGGGAAGGCCCCGAAGGCTCCTGTGATGCCTCGGGTTCTTGAGACATGAACAAGCCTTGCTCCTCTTGCTGTGGGGTTGCATTGCTCTCGGTGGGGGGCACTGATGGCGTATCATCCATATCAATATCTGAGTCGTTATCAAACCCTGCAAACCGCCGCTTCACAGCAGTTCGAGTACGGCCTCTGCGGGGAGCGGGTCTCGATTCTTGTATAACTTGAGCCTCATCTTGCGATGCAGCATTTGCATCACTCCGGACAGGTTCTTGTCGCGTATTTGTGTCAGGCTGAGGGGGTTGGGTAGTAGCTGAATCGTCAACTTCAAGAGGTCGACGTAGAATGCTGGCATCCTTGATCAAGATTGCCTCAAGAAATTCACTCTGTTCGATCGGGCGATGATCCAAGCGTAGAGAGACAGCGGTAAAGAAGTCCGTATACCACGGTATTTGCTCTCCTTTTGCTGGGACGAATCTAACAAGAACTGCCCCCTTCCCTCCGTCTCCGAGGGCCTGTTGACCAGCGATTGCCTTGACACGGTTGACGAAATCGTCCACCTCCGTCTCCCCTCCCTCAACAATTTCCATGAAGGCTTTCCCACCGCCATTGGTGATTGGAGCCAAAAGATTGTCATACTGTGCCTTGTCGTAAAAGATGAACGTGTATCCTTCGAAAACCTCCTGCCGCTCAGTGTCAGGGCTATAAGTCTCGTCTGGATGCTGTACAGGCTCTCCACCGCGTGGTGGGAGATGTTTTATTGGGTCAGGCCAGCTCGCCTCGTAATCTTGTTCAAGCGCGCTGTTTTCCGATCCATCCCCGACCGGGGCGGCGGCAGCTTCCACTACGGCGTCGAGGAAGGTCTCGGTGACGATATATTTTCCATTTATTAGAGCCTGTAGACCTTTCGCAGTGTTTCGCTTCTTGGAGACGACGTGGGTGGTGTACTTGGCGCTGTATTCGGTCAAAAGCTTGATATCAAGGTTCTCGAACCGATCTTGGAGTGTTGTGAGTGGCTGAGTCTGCAACTCCTTCTTCGTGAAGGAGAATGTGAATATTACGGGATTCCAAGATAGTCTGGAAAGGTCAGAAACAATTGACAAGTAGCGCAAACCATACTTTTGCTTACACAAATTTGCTTGGGCACTTGCCCATGGTGATCTCAGCCTCGTCGCCATCAACAACATATCGGTCACCCTTTATCTTCCGGCCATTGACCACTGTTCCTATCTTGGTCTTCAGGTCTTCGATTGTAACTCCAGACCGGCTGGAGAGGTTGTATGCATGCCCAGGCTGGACATTGTCGACGGTGATGGTAAGGTGCTTACGAGATATCGTGTTATGCGAAATCGCAAGTTGACCAGCTGTCGCAGTAAGAAAAGTTAGGGGAGATATGCAACCATCGTACGGGCTAGTTTAGGCGCCTACCTTCCGACACTGTCCGCCCGAAGAGATATGTTTTGCCAGGTCGCAACCACAGCTTCCGGCCTGAGGAATCAATAGGGTGTCAGTCACATAACGTCAATGCTATGTCTCCTGAGGAAGTGGGTTTCACATGCCGTCGAAGGCCTCATCGCTCTGCAAGAGCCACATTACTGAGATCTCGGACTCATAGGTCGTACCGTGCTATGGCAATCCACTGTCCGCTGCCGTAGCTTAGCTTTGTCGTGCGACTGGCCGTTGCGATGACGTGGGAACAAGGCCTAAGCCAACGTCCAGCGCGTGGATCCTCTTTCAGCGGGGCGACCCGACGCGTTTGACAAACGCCAGCTCACGTGCTTCCAGGTTGCATCCCATCCCGCTGTCACTGTACGTACCAGCAGCCCTACGCCTTTCATCCAATGTTCTCACCAAGAACCCACCTGCAAACAAACGCTCAATGGTTGTACAACCTGGATACAAGTATTTTTGTTTATCCTGCTATGGAGCTGGCACTTCTTCACTTTGCTGAAAACGCCCACGTATTGTGTCCATCATAGAGAAGAGCTTGAGAAAGCTCCATGAAACGAAATTCATCCATTATGTCAGCTGCTTGGATCTAGCTTCCTTGTGCTTCGTGCCTGGTAAATCTGGTGATATCGCTAGGTCCGGGTCGCCGCATCACACCGCGACGATGGCCGATCATTGAATCGAGAATAATCCTACGTATGATGAGATTCGCCTAGATCTTTCCGCCGTCCCGATATGCTTTTCTTCACCCAGGAGCAGATTTCTTCAGCTCACAAGACTGGCCATCTCGCCCAACCAGTCACAAAAGCCCGAGAACACCCTTCAGAATCGTTCGATGCTGCGGGTAAAGCAGGCAGCGCTGCTGATTGGCCAATCCACCCCACCCCCACCCAGCGCCCTGTTTCTGCTGACCCTTGAACTGGCAACAATTGGTTAATCCCGGGCTTCTCCTCGCCGTCAGGCCATGCGGGTTCGAAGAACGTACCAGGGCCCCCGGCGCCGGCCGCCTGCGGTTTGCATCGTACCATGAGGCTCGAAAGCTGGAGGTCGCCGTGTGGCCGGCTCCCAGAATCCATGCCTCTGCGTCAGACGTGGCGTGATATCTGGGATCAGAGGACCATCCTTTACCAATTCATCCTCGCCTAACGACTCCGCCGTACGAAAGGAGTCGGGATCTTGAGGATGCAACGGCGATTTTGGGATGTACGTATCCATGTAGGAGCCTTTCTTGGGCATGGGCGGCTGTTCGTCCAGAGTATAATAACCACGAGGACCTGTGCCCTCCTTCCTGGTTATTCTCTCCCATCATCAAAGGAATATATACGATCCAAACAACTAGATCTCCCCTCGCGGTTGACTCAACTCCCCTCCATCCTCTTCCACGCCACTCAATCTTCTTGTCTATCCTCACCAAGGATAATAACCCTCCTCTTACGACTCTCTCACGAACAACAAACAACACCTCTCTATAATCATGTCTCCCGTTACCGCTCAAGTGGTGCGCACCATGGGTCGCCGTCAATTCTCCATCATCCGATCTCTTCGCCAGGTTGGCCGATCAATGGAGGCCCATCCCTTTGAGCGTCTGCCTACAGCCAAGGCTGCTCCCGCCGACTGGGGAAGGCAGTTTCGCCGTGTTGGTTCACAAGCTGTGATGTAAGCTCCGCCCCGAGGGATCTTCTCTCTCCACTCCGGTCCCGTCTTCCTTGCCCCCCTCACCCCTCTTTTGGCACTTGAACATCACCCCATGTCTGGACGTAAATCACCTGATGCATTTTACCATGAAAATGGGCTGACCGAGTTTCCTCTTTCCACAGCTTCTTCCCCGGCATGGCTTTCGTCCTGGGCTGGCCCTACCTCTCCTACATGTACTACGACGGCCGTGTATAAAAATAATATATGCACTTTCGCCAGCTTTTAGACTGGGATTTACGGGACTGGTGTCGAGATATTAGGCGTACAGGATAATTTGATGTGACTCAGTTTCGCATGGTCGTTGCTACAAACGTATATTTCTATTTCCTCATATACATACTTCTACATGAACAAAAATCAAAGAAAAAAAAATTCAATATTCTAGATGACATCGAATCCGATCCATGCGTGACAGAAGAAGCAAACCAACTCAACAGATCCCGGCAAGGCATGCATAATCTCACAATTTAGGGACGGGTTCATGTGCTCATGCAAGAATGGGCACAAATATAGATCCTAGGGGCCCAACAACGTTGGCTGTTATATGGTCCCTGCGTTTAGACGTTTGAGAATACGACTGCATCATCTTCATTCCCCAAACCCACACGAGAACGTGGGCTTAATGCAGCCCTGGTATCCATAACACAGTTCGATACTTGATGTAACAATAGATGCAGCCCTGGATGATGGTTCCTATCCACAGGAGGGTACTCTCATCCATCGATTGGCCAATTCTTGCAATGGCGAAACAAAGTGGCATTTTATGCTGAAATACTTGAGAGCTATCTAACTCACCCAATTTTTACTTCTATAAAACTAAGAGATCGCTTTTATGTTACAGTATAGATATCAGATGCGAGGGTCAGACAGGAGGTCTGCTCGGCCAAGGTTCAAACCTTGCCCAGCCTCCATACCTCGAGGAGCATCCCCTTCCTCGCAACAACCCGCGCCGAATGCACGAGCTCTTCGTTATTGTCAATCTTCACCCGGTCAAACTCTTCCGGCGCCTGGTTCGTCATGCGAGCAATCTCGTTGACCTCGGCAATCTTCCACCCGCGCAGCACGAACAGGCAGAGAGCCCCGGCGATGAACATGATGCCGACGAGAAGCTGCGTGCCGAGGTAGCTGCCCGTGTTGTCGACGATCTTCAGGGCGATGGGCTCGCTGAACGTGCACGGCAGCACAATCGTCAGCCACATGATGTTCAGCCCCGAGGCTACGTGCTTCAGACCGACCACCTCCGCCGTCACCGGACCGATCGTGACCCAGAACGTGCCGGCCACGGCACCCCCCACGAGCGAATAGAATATCAATACCCCGTACAAGGTGGCAGGAATCCAGACGGCCAACGACATGACGGCAGCAAAGAAGGTCATGAGGGCTGCCATTGTGATGCGGCCGGTGCGATCGCTGAAATACCCAATCAGGGGCCGCCCAACCGCTTGGCCGAGGTTGAAGACTGCGCTTATCAATGCCGCCTCGGACGAACCCAGGCCGATTTCGTTGGCATAGTTTGCCAGACTGAAAATCAGGACGACATAGGCCAGCATGCTGAACCAGCCCCATGCGGTCATGAGCAGGTACTCGGGCCGCTTGAATAGGGATATGTCGAAGGCGAGATGGGTCGAGCCAATGATCTTGTTCCGATCTTTGATGAGGATCGCACAGATGGTGTTGGCAACGAATGCGACAATGCCGAGGATTCGAAACGCCCAGGCTAATCCGAGCCGCTCTATCATGGCGCCTGTAGCGAACGAGTATACGAGACCACCGAGGCCGGAACCGCAGGTCGCGAAGCCGTTAGCCAGCGAGCGGCGGGTTGTGAACCATTGGGGTACGATGGGCACAGATGCAACAAACATGAAGCCCATACCCAGACCGAAGAGGATGCCCTGGGTAAGAAAGAGGTGCCAGATCTGGGTGGCGAAGCTCGCTGCTATGAGACTGGCCGACTCGAGGACAACACCGAGCAGGATGGTCGGCTTGGTACCGAACCGGCGGACGCCGATAGTGGCAAGCGGGGAGATGAGAAGTGCACAACTGAAGCTCAAAGACCCTACAAAGGCGTACTCGAGGGACGTCGCGCCAGGATAGACATCGTTGGCTAGATAGTAGGCGAGGAACACGCCGTAGGACGAGTTCAGACCCCACGAGTGACCGTTGATGGTCGCGACACACGCTGTGCAAACCCACCCGTAGCCGCCATTCGGAGGCGGTGGGGGATTGGCCGGCACGTTTGTGGTATTGTCCGGTGCGGCAACTTGGTTGTCTTGTCTGTTTGAGGCTCGGATGTGGTTCGAGCCATCTGTGCCCATCTCAACTTCCTTGACATCGGCCTTCATGATGTCGGTCCGTACACTTTCAACCCACAAGAACTGGTGTTCAGCATGGAAGAAAGACCAGAGCTCCCCGAGCGGCTGTTGAACTTTTCCGAGGCCCCTCCCCGCTGCTTAAAAGCTCCGATCTCAGGCCCGATCTCAGGCCCGATCTCAGCTCCGATCCAACCTGACTGAGCCGTCCGTATCTGTGAGGGTGAGCAGTGGAGCGTGTGGCAACTGGTCTCATCCCGTTGAAGAGAATTTGAGGAAACAAACCACATCGTCCCCAGCTGGAAGAGGGGGAACAACCGACAACCGAACGTCGGGGCGGCTCTCCTTTCTCCTCCCCACTTTGGACATTCCCATCCCCGGATTTTTTTCACGCCTTTTGCTGGACGCTATTGCCAGGCCAAGCCGGGAATAACGGGGGATGTAACCTCGATGAGATTCTTGCCGCCATTTCCTTTCTTGGCAACGAGCATCTGCAGAGAGCGTCATGATAGCTCCCAAAAGGACTAAGTGCGTGTCTTCGTCTTGCTGTTCTAGTGGTGTATCTAATATGTGCCTCTTGTCCCATCCACCAATTTCTGACTCGTCTCCATCCGGCCGAGACAAGTTCCACCTTATTTCAAACCCAAAAAAACATATCTCAACACATCCAATTTCCCATAAATGTAAATTACCTCGATTACCTGTGGAATCGAGCCTGCCGTCACTGGGGCATAATGATAAAATATTGTCCTTAATTCGTCATATATTCGCTTTTGTCCCAAAATTATATCTCAGTATGTGCAAGAAAGGAGGAAAGCCTATGCCATATCAATAAGTCCTGGCTTCCCCTTGAGCATATCAAATTCAATGTTTTCCCTTTTCCAAACTACCTCCAATGCAAAATGTCTGTTTTCATTCTCTCGTCTGTTTGTTCGTTTAAGCTGTGTGCTGAGTCTTCTTGCCGCGAAGCTGCTTGCCCTTGTCAGACCAGGGGAAGTGGATAACGGGGACGGTGAAGAAGGAGTTGCTATTGTAAAAAGTCAGTATCGAGCAGTGGGAGGGAGAAGATGCATGGATGAACTCACCTGCTGTCCTGGATACCGGCCAAGGCATTGTACCAAGCGAGGAAGGCAGCGAGGAACCCAAAAAGGCCGCCGGCCTTCTTCAGGGCGAGCGCAGCCTCGGCGTTGCCGAGGTCGTGGGCGTAGTTCTCGACGGAGAGGCAGAGGAAGGCCAGGTCAAGGAAGAAGAAGAGGGAGAAGAAGGCGACGGTGGATCGAAGGGTGCAGAGGAGCATGATGGTGGTGAAGATGAACCAGCCGGTCAAGAAGAAGCCGACGGGGTTGGCCGTCTCCCCATTGTAAGGACCATCCGCTTGTGTGATGCCCCAGGTGGGTGTCTGAAGGAGGCCATAGGCGATCCAGAAACCGCCATATGACGACAGTGCAGTGGCACCGAATGTGTTACCGACAGCCATCTCCCTAGAGGAAAAAGAATTCAGCACAAGTTATTCTCGGCCAGTTCATTCACTGGAACAAATTATGAGGACATACCACATGCCAGCCAGGAGCTGGACGAGTCCACCATAGCCGAAAGCCAAAGGAACGACAACGGCAGGGACGGTGACTCCACGGGCCTCCATATTGATGCAAGAAAGGACGAAGGTCGTCAAGGCGAACGCGCTCAGGCCAAGAGGTGCCGGGTTGGCAAACTTGCGGTGCTCAAGTGGTCTCCATAGACCAGGCTGAAGGCGACCACCAGAGGCCACGGCCATACCATTGGCGAGGAACAGGTTGCCATTGGGAAGGTATAGAGCCTCTTCAGGGCCTTGTTGAGGGTTCATTGAAGAAGCAGTATGGACAGGTTGAATAGGGTGGACCTTCTCGTGATGGGTCTCGGATGCCATTGTGATGTTGTATTCGGGTATCCGCTAAAGGTTGAAGTTGTACCGAGTGCGGGCTCGACGCGAGTCTGGCTCCAGGTGGGAGCTTGGGCTTGCTTGAGAAACCTCAAGAGAGCAGTTGTAAAGCGTGATCACTTAGGCTGTTGGTTGGGGGCTGGCTGCTCGGCTGGCAATGGACAGTAGGGACGGTGTTTGGGGAAGAGAGAGATTAAGGGGGAGGAGAAGTGAGGAGATCTGGGGAAGGGCTGTTTATAGAGATGGGCAGACGCAAAGACTAGAGATGAGAGGGCTTTGCGTGATGGGGCTTCAGAGGGGCCCCGTGGAGAGCACAGATGGGGGGGACGGAGTTTGGGCGAAATCCGGTCTCTCTGAGATGATCTTGATGATCCATGACAGCCGAAAACAGGATATCACCATCCATTATTACTTCCCTTCCCCCTTCATGCATTGTTCACCCCTCAATCCCCGCAACTGCGCCCACCGTTCACTCAGAGTTCTGTATTCCACGCAAGAGACTAGAAGCCTCCATCATGCAGCGCCTGCCCTATTGCCTTCCTCCCTTCATCATGCGTTGACAGCTGTCAGGCTAACCCATTTCCCTGCTCGTGAAATTATGCAGGACTAGACAGCTCTGGTGACGGCGCCACAGTTTGGGATTACGCTTGTTGAGAGGCTTGCGGGGGTATCGTTTGCTGTCCACCACCGGCCCTTCTTTTTTGTCACCCTCTCATTGCGTCTCGTGGTGGGGGCGTATAATTATGCCAGCAGCCTTGGCAATCCCTACCACCACCCGTCGTTCAAGCATCTTGGGGTAATGTTACCTACACACACGGCGGTGAACACCACTATTTCGGTTCGCTTCGGCTATGTGTGTTTTCTGCTCCCCAATGATGTGCGATTGTGCGAGATGCCGCTTGTTGAGAGTCAATTGAGGTCAGGGACATGAAGGCCCATCCCAATTAAACCGCGCTCCAACGTCACCTCCCGCAATCCATTACCTCATTAGTGAGGAGACGACGGCCGAAGATGCCTCTGATGGGCGGAAAAGACAGCCTAGAGGCATGCTAGCAGGCCACTGGCCGTACTTTTAGCGTCAAGGGTCTTCGTTGGGGTCCGCTAAAGCGTGGCCTGACACCACAATTCGCTGCATCGAACCTGTGCCGAAGGCCGAATCTGCATCGGGCAGTCAGAAAAAAAGCTGAATCATTGGGGTGCATCACAGACGTCGCCAAAATTCTGATCCATCTTCGATGGAAACCCACAGTGGATGTGAATACCTTGTCCATATTTCCTTTTATACACGCTAACTCCTACCAAGAAATTCGTTAGCCCAAGCTATTACGTCTTGCTACCTACCACGTAACAATTCCGCTCTGCTCTGAAGGCTGTCCGCCCTCATTGCTCCGCGGCTACCACCCTCTCACCAGCAGCCGGAGACTTCGTGGTCAACCTCTGAACGTGGATGCCTCGGATGGCATTTTTCGCCTCCTTCACCTCCATATTTCACATCTATATCCACCCCCTCGTTCTCGGGCGAACGGACGTCGAAACCCTGACAAAATCTAGATTTGTGGAAACGCCTAGACGTGAGCATGAGCAGGGAGGAGCCAACCAGGGATTTCCTATTATTACTATTGCATACAATCTCGAGGTATTTTGAGTAGGGGTGCCAATATTGGGGTAACGAAGCAGCAAGAAGCCCGCTCTGGCCGCTTTGCCCGCACCATCCGAGGTCGTTGTCGTAATTCCGTAGTCGCATTGGCTGATCACAGGTATAACTTCATTGGGGTAGCGTCGCAGTCTTCTACCACCGCGGCATTTGTCTACTGGCATTGACACATCGCTCCCCCGACAGCAGCCGTGGTTACCGTTGCATGCGGCACACGAGGTGACACAGCATGTAAGTGCCCAGTGTCTCCCCAGCTGCCCTTTTCCCCTCCCTACCCCAACCCCAACACAGCGTGGCATATCTCCGAGAGGAGGTCGCACCCGGCCGATGGCGAGGGCCGAGGACACGGCTATGCAAAATGTATAAAGTGGTACGATAGTGAGAGGAAAGGGGTTCGGTCGTCAGGAATTCTTGTCTCCAAGCAACCGAGGAAAAGATGGAAGATTTTTATCGAGAGTTGCAAGGATGACTGCACCCATGGACCGTGGCCCGACACTTAGCCACGAGTTTTGTGTTCTTGGCAGCACATTCATATTTTCATATTCAGATTTTTTGCTGCCAAGAGGCCATATTTTCATGCCATTTATCAATCCAGTGCACGGCAAACTCAATGTACCGCTGGGAGCGAGTGGTGTTGGGGCAGTGGTCGGGATTCCCCTCATGGATTGATGTTGAAGTTGCGCCTGCCACTGAGTCATTACTGGCTTGGGCCTGTTCGGCAGTGCGGGGTCCGTCTGACTCGGGTTGCCTGCCAAACACTGCGTGTTCGTCTCCAACACGTCAATGGATGTAGGTACCAGAGACGCCCTGCGTAAGCTCAGCGTATTACATGTAGCCTCACCTGCACCCCCTTCCCAGTGTTACCGGCTGTCTCCATATTTCCTCGGTTGAAACGCCTCGCCAGCTGAGGTATTCCCTTCTTAAATCCTCTGCTTCAGCCTCAACGAGATTGAGGTATTAACATTATGCGCAATGCCCATAAAAATCTAGAAGAAAAAAATCGCAATTCAAATCCCCATTGATTAAGCTTGATTACAAGCTTTGCCAACAGTTCTCCTTTCATTGCTTCTCTTTTCTTTTGCTGGTGTTCGATGGTTCGATTGTCGTTCGCTGCATCTGTCTAGATCGCTGCCCGCTGATTCAGCTGGGAAGCCGGGCGCTGATTCATTGTTGATTAATTTTCCGGCCCCCTCACAGGCGCAAGTGTCTAGTTTATTTTGTCGCCTTCTTCCCACCACCCTAGCAGTAGCCGATGCGGTAGGGATTTTTAGTGGTGGTATTTTTTTCTCTCGGAGACAGCTGCAAAAAGCTTCTAGCGTGCCCCATCAAACATAGCAGAGGCTACAGGTGCCCTACGGCCCCTTTTCCGCTCACCACCATTTTACGTACTATTTCGCCGGTGAGTGCGGAAATGCGATGATTCGAGGTGAATTGAGGCACAAGCCAATAGGCATGTCCTGGTCCCACTTTTGTCTTGAGTGTCGCGGACTTCACTCTTAGCTCATCATCTCGTCCCGTGACCAGCCTCGCAACATCAATCCCGCCCACGTTCAGTTGAACGACTCACGACGAAGCGCCCGAGAGAGCTATAGGCGCTGGCCCTAGGTTGGGCGAAACCACCTTCCACAGCATTTGCTATCACCAGCGGGTCAAATTGCTCAAGTCAATCAGACGTGGCTCCTGGCTCCCTACCTGGCATAACCGTTCGATTCCACGGAGACTTCGTGGACCGAATGTCATCAGCCCGATGAAAAATTTTCTGGAACCCGCGATGTTTTATTAACATCGCCAGGCTTCTACGGCACAGCTGTTGGTGCCGTTGGAAAGGCGCGCCGGTGCCTACCTGGATGACGTCGCGAAGCGTGTTTTTGCCACTCTGGCCCAAGCGAGGCCCAGGAGGTCCGCAATGACCCAGGCCTTTGCTTGGCTTCCGGAAATACGTGGTAGTTGGTTTGTCAAAGCGCGTCACTTGTTGATTTCAATCAAATTACCTATGCCGTTTTGGCGATCGGTACTGTTGGTTCATCAGCCCCCGGGTCGGAACATGCTGGGAACATTCGGAGCGTGGGCAACTCTCTCCGTATTACAGCCCTGCTACACACAGACCACCACCACGGTCTACCGACACCGGCAATTTCTTCGCCTGCTAGTCCGCAACCAGCTCTATTCCATGGGTTCAGATTCGAGCTCCGAAATTGAAGAGGGTTTTCGATGACTAGCGCAAAGTGTTGATCGACCCATAGCAAACAAGGAACAGAGAGCAAGCTAGTGTATGTGCTTGCTAGACTAGGTTGGGCAAGCTGGACGGGACTGAATTGGTCCAGGACGGGATGGCTTGTCCTACCCTCTCCCCTTTCTCGGTAGTTAGGGGAGGCTAGCTGGCTAGGTTATCAATTTGAAAATGATCCTTTCCCGCTACCGCAACAGGGCATATCATTCCTCTGAGATTATATTGGCTCTCATCCGAACAAGGGTGATTAGATTGATCTCTCGTGAGACGATGATCTGAAATCAACTACGGCTGCTATTGTTTCAAGATCCGAGTATATGTCTTCCCCGTGTGATACCAGAGATGACTAGTGGTATCAAAGATTGCCCTTGAGGGTTGACAAGGACAAGGGACTCATTATTCTGAAAAAGAAGGTGTGATACAACACGAGAGGGATTCAAAAGAGCCTACGAATGCTGTCATCAGCACTGCATGACGACACAGACATATGCAAATATCGGCCTTTAGCAAAGAGCGTATTGGTCTGAAAAAGAAGGTGTGATGACAACACCAGTTCAACTTCGTAAAAGCATGGTACTCTAAGATGGATGGACCCAGAATCCTCATGATAACGATGTGCAGTCGTATATGTCGATACTACCTGCTCTCACGTGAGGTTCGAAGGGGCTTTCGGGGGTTCTCTACGAACCGGGGTCAAGTCATATGCGCCTTACCGCCGAGATGGTGTGAATCAGGTAGGACAACATTGGCGGTCAGTTGCAGATATCGAAGCTCCTTCTCCAGAGCTTCTAGACGGTATACCCTTGGCATGCAACGCACAGACTCATGCTACCCCACCAGCAGTCTGTGCCAGGGTAGCTGCGACGTGCAGGACATTGAACTGCTCTATCTTTGTTATGATGTTACTCAATGACGGCACCAAACTTCTCAGGTAAGGCGCATTCACTCCGCTACAACAGGTCATTACCAGGAATGATACGATCCTGACTCCAAAACAAGTATAAACGGAGGCCCCCGAGCCTGCCGTCGACATTAATACGGACTAAAATTGTGATACGACGCTTGTAGAGAATGTGCCGCTCATCGACATAACATTATTGCTCCATAGCTTGGGAGAAGGCAGATGAGATGAACCTTGTCCGGTGATGTAAAAAGGACTCAATGAGTCGACTGTTTCGGCAATGGCGCGAATACGGCGATGGCAAAAAACAAAGCCTAATTCATAACGAGACAAGACGACCCGCCGGTACGGCTTTAACGAGGTTGTCCTATTGGCTTCGAACCATGCAGTCATCTCCAAGGTGGCAAAATCGCGGTGTCGCCGCGTGTCATATGTCCGTCGAGGCGGTTAGTAATAATTTGGGGAACTAGCGGCGCCAGTGCAACCGCCCTACAGTGGATGCTCCCCCACAGCGGGATTTCGGTACCCTATAACAGCAGCAGCAGCCATCCCCGTTCCTGGCACTTGGCGACGCGCCCAATTGGATATTTTGCCCAAAGGGGTTATAAGCTGTCGGCGGTTGCAATTTAACTCACTTCGGCGTCTATGGCGCTAGCGATTAGCGGTGGACTTGACGACAACTGCCGAGGCTGCTGGCCTGTGCTGCTGCCTCTTGCGTCGTCTATTCTCATTCATGTGTTTGCCTCCTATGACTGAATTGTCTGCAAGCCACGGTCATCCTTACCACACCATCTGCGGCTTCCTCCAACGTGATGGCGTGTGAGAGACGATCATGGGATATCATCATAGCTTGTTTTGTATGGTAGCACCATTGTCACAACTCCGCAAAAGGGGGAACGAAGCAATGTGACGATTGGTATCAGGTTCATGAGGCGGCTTCACTGACATGAAACTACGGTGTAGTGCCTCTGGTGTGATTATGTGATCCTCGTCGTGAAACCAACGCAGACAGGAAATTGTTGCCCTAACGAGTTTCGGGCGTAGGGGGTAGCACTGCGACCAGATCGCTCGGAATCGGAGCCGGTGTGTGGAGCCTCTCCCCCTCTCCTCCCCCCCGTATCCCACTGCCGATGGTAGCTCTCCTCCGCCTGCAGTGCTCCGAGCTATCCTGTAGTCCACCATCACCATGCAGGTTTCCATGTAGGTCACCATTAGGCAGGTTACTAGCCATGTACGTCGGTGTCTCTGAGGTTGGTATGCATGTGCTCCCCCCCCCAATTTTCCACCTATCCTAGATACGTACCCTGGGGATTGGATCTGCCGCCCACACCACCCACCAATTGGTTGTCTCAGCCCTAAGCACTGACAGAAACCTTCTACACTAGGCATGCATCATCGCTTTGCCTGGCCGAGGGAAGTTCAATATATCTGATCCTGATGGATGGCCTCACATGCCTGCTCTAGGCATCACCACCCTTGCTTCCCGGCTATCTTCCACCCACATGCACAGGTTCGATAGGCAGGTGCCCCTCCCGTTGGGTTGCAGTGCAAGAGTGCCTCCTGTGATGTGTCCTACCTAGAGGGTGATGGACGATGGACTGTGGATCTGATGCAGACGAGGACCGATGAGACCGACCACCAAGGAAGGATGGAAGGAAGAATGGAAGCTCGTGATCGCAGCAGTGCCGCTCTCCAGCTTGCTGATGTGACCATCCCACGAACGCGTCGCACGCAGAATGCGACCCAAGCAATGTGATGGGGAGAGCTGGGAGCAAGGCAATGACTGGCTTCAGCTTCACCCGGAAGAGGTGAGACGAGGCTGGCACGGGAGTGGGGGCTGGAAACAAATTGGCTGCCTCGCCTTACGGCAGAGCAGCTAGCATGTGCTGGGGACAAGGTGCGCTGGAGCCAGGCGGGAAGCTGTGCCATTGGACTGCCGCCGGGCTGGTGTGTGGCCGCGCCCCTATTTTTCCTTCCAGCAGGCTTCGACTGATCTTCGGTGCGCGTACCTGCATCGAAGGGAGGGCTGGCCCAAGATTAGATCGGGGGGCTCTCAATGCACCCAGACGCAGGAACCATTTGGATCAGGCTGCTTTGGTGCTGGCCCGTGGACAGTGCAACAGTCGGGTGGCGGTTTTTGGCCGGTTTAGTGCAGTGTCGGTTATGCCGACAGGACCAATCCAGCGCCCAAACAGGCAACCCCAGGTCAGCATACGCCATCGCTCTCCCCCGAATCTCGACAGCTATTCCACCGCGAATTATGGGCCGCTCAGCGACAGCAAAGCAACCGGCCCAGCATCACGATGGGCTTCATGGGGCCAGCTGCATGGGTGCCCGCGCTCGCGAGAGGCACAGAAACATCCTTTCCCACTCCTAATGAGATCCGGAGCCATGCCCTATCCCCTTCCGGCCAGAGATTGGGATGCTTGGGCCTCGCGCTGCTCTGCTCTCGCATCGGGCCGCCGGCCTGGGTGATGAGGCAGGGTGGATGATATCCAGGGGCTATCATGGTCGACTTTCCCGTTTGCGAGGCACAGTCCAGGTTGATATAATAGCAAGAGCCTGTCGCTATCTTCCTTTCACCTTCTCGTACATGGCCGATCCAAAATCCCAAAGCTTCAACCATCCGGCAGCCCAGGCCTACCCATCGCCAGAACCTCATCCTTCGGCGCACATACCAACTCGCCTGAACCGTGCGGTCTCCACCATCACCAACCGTTCGGGTCCAGCTCTATTTACCTATTCAAGACGACAGCAGCCAAGCATAACAAGCTGTCAGAGCAGTATGTAAACCATAGCATCCCTCCCAGTAACCCACCGTCCCCAAACAAACCGCCTGAGCACCTCGTTCTTGACATGATATATCCAACACCTTCACCGCAACGGATATCAGTCTGCACAGAGCCTCCCGGCTTACACACACATACCTCTTCTTCCGACTCACCCATTCACTCATCCACAGCACACCTGCTCATGGGGTCATGGCCATCAGCTAACATGGCAAAGCCAAGACTCGCCACCACTCAAAATACTCAAGCACAGGCGTCTCAAATCACATCCGGCACAGGAGGATCATGTAGCAAAGAGTATCAGCTGGCAAAGAAGAAAACGACCAATTCAGAAACTAGTTACCAGCTTGTCTGTAGAACGACTTAGAAGAACCAACCCCTTATATTATACATCATGCCTTCTCGACGCTCCCACACCAACTCTCACCACGGCTGCTTGCAGTGCAAGGCCAAGAAAGTCAAGGTAAGGCAGACAGCCTCTTTATTTTAGCAGGGTACGAAACATACAGAGTTCTCTAACAGTCAATTCCTAATTATAGTGCGACCAGCTCCAACCGCAATGCTCTCGTTGCTTGAAGAAGGGCACGGAATGTGTTTATCGCCACATCATGACATCCTACAACCCATTCCCCCCAACCCCGGCTCAGAGCTCGTCTGGGTCCTCACTGCAGACCCAAAGGCACATCGACTTTGTCTCTGCCTCGACTGGCACCATGTCCTCCACCTCGGCGCCTACATCTGCGTATGCTACATATGGAACACGGCCTTCGCCCAGCCATTCGGCACCAGGGGGCAGCTCTGCCCGGTCACCGGCCAGCATCACCAGTGTTTCCACCAATTCGAGTGCACACACGGTGGCGACTGCTCCCTTGCCAATAACCTCTCCGCCTTTGACGCATCAAATGAGCTCCCAGGGCCAGACTGAGCAGTTCCTCATGTTCCACTATAACACCAACCTGGCAATCCCTGGCATGGCTCCCATTATCAACCCAGACGATTTCCAGTCCATCAATTCGTCCATTCTCTACTACGCCAACACTCACCCCTACGTTCGCCATGCCCTGCTCTCGTTCTCTGCCCTTCATCTCGCGTCTATCCATGCGGTTTCCGTGCCCGCGCATGGATATTATCTCGAGTCGGCCTTGCACCATAAGGCGGTGGCCCTCGAGCTCTACCGGCCGGAGCTCAATTCGGGGGTGACCCCCGAATCCGGCAACCCACTGCTTACAGCATGCACAATCTTCATCGCCTGTGCTTTTACTCTGCCGGCAGCGGACCCGGACTATAGGACCGGGTATGACCGCATTGAGCTGCTGGCCCAGGTCTCCGGTCTCTACCAGGGCGCCACTGCGCTCTTCCGCATGGGCATCTACGGACCCTATCCCCAGCAGCACGAAATGGCCGCTGCAAATGTAACTCTCGACTTCCCCTGGCAAGAGCTCGAGGCCTCGCTGCAGGTTACTCTCCGCACTGCCGAATCCATCCGGCCAAGGTCCGAACAGGAGGACAGCCGCAAGGCTGTGCTGGTCCATGCAGGGCAGAAGCTCCTCAAGTCGCTGCATCTCGCATTCGGCCCAAAGAGGAACTACCACGCCTTCTGCATCTGGCTGGGAGTGGTCAAGCCCGGCTTCGTCGACCTCATGTACGCCCGAGACCCCTTCGCGCTCTCGCTCGTTGCCCACTGGGCCATCTGCCATCGCCACTTGAACACAATGTGGTGGGCCCGCGGGTGGCCGTCCGCGGCGGTCAGGACCATGTACGATGCCACCGACTACGATCACAGATATCTCCTCGACTGGTGCATGTCGAGGGTGGAAATGGACGAGTCCTATGCTGCGGTGCAGCCCTCGCCTTTTGCTTCGAGACCGGGTCCGTTCTCGCCCAGAGGCTTTTGATTAATTTCTAATCACCGTGTACTTTTTCTCTTCTTAACATCTTTTGTCTTTTTTTATTTTAATTTACTAGGAAGGAAAAGAACGGAACGGACAGGGACTTTTTGTACTCTCTCTCTGTATGACTTGACGGACTTTAATGATTCTATAAAAACGGTTGGGATATTGGTATCTCTTAGGATTTCACTTTTTTTGTCTCTAATATACACGGATATATCTCCTACTATTACCATCATCATATTATTGCACACCGCTGCTCGTACCCAGTGAAATTTATAAAAATAATGAAAATTAAAATAAAAACACTTTTTGCCACGGATGGCACCCCAAGCATTGTCGTTGAAAAAGCAATGCCGGTGAGGTCCGTATTCGACGGCACAGCTCATGGCCGGGCTGGCTGCGCGAGTGCGGCATGGGCACGCCATTCGCCCCAACTAAAAATACCACTTTCCTATTAATAAAAACACCTCCAGGACATCAGCGCCGATGATAGTCGACGGTAAAACCGCGTGGAGGAGGGAGGGTCATGCAATTGTTGCGTTGCAGGAAGGCAGCCAAGCGACTGGCATAAAACATGGCACACCCAGAACCTCTAGTGTTGAATTTCAGCACAATATCAAAACAAACAACCCAGTAATAAACTTAAAATTGAATTAAATATTATAGAATAGCATACTACTTTCTTATTATTGTGTTTAGTATTATCATCAAGAAGATAAGGTCCGTGGGTTGGGGGCCAGACATGGTCTTCTGCGTTCCATACCCATCGCAAGCACTGGTGTGCCATGTTTTATATCAGCCGCCTGGCAGCTAAGTACCTCGTCGGCGCAGAAACAGCGGAAAGGTACTTGAAGCGCAGTGGACCCTTGGAGGGGCAGCAGGATGTACCTTTTTGGCATAGGCTGCCCGCTCTTGGCCTAGACCAATGCTCAATCTGGGGCAACCAAACATGGTAGCGGCCAGCCAAAAAAAAAAAAAATCTGGATAGTGATCCAGCGCGGCAAGAAAAAAAGTCAACCTTCTCTATTCCCCCCATGCAGCCAAGGTAGAAGTGCAGCGACCACCTCCAGCTCAGTATCGCTGTCTACCTTGAGCAACGACTTGAGTTTCTAGATCTGGGTAACGTTGGTTCTGGGTCAGAATGGATGTACATCGTTGTCGTTTCGTGCCGTTCCAGCCTTCGGCGATCAACGCCATTGCCTTCTCCCACCCCAAAACGAGAAGCTCCAAGCATACCGCCCTCGCGCGACTCGCCATTGGGCGCGCAAACGGAGACATTGAGATCTGGAACCCTTCAAACGGAGCCTGGCACCAAGAGCAAGTCATTCGAGGCGGCAAAGATCGAAGCATTGACGGTTTGGTCTGGGTCAATGAGTCCGACCAGGATCTTGGCGACGGAAGAGTCGTAGTAGGCAAATCGCGCCTCTTCAGCATCGGCTACACATCGACAGTCACAGAATGGGACCTCGAGAAGGGAAAGCCGAAGCGACATGCCAGCGGTCAGCACGGCGACATCTGGTGCATAGCGGCCCAGCCATCGGGTCCCTCCGGCGACAAGGCAGCCCCGAACTGGGCCGTGCAAGAACCCCAGACCTCGAACAAGCTCATCGCCGGCACAATTGATGGAGAACTTGTCATGTATTCGATCGAGGATGACGATCTCCGCTTCCAGCGAGTGGTGGTTCGGTCTCCCACTAAGAAAGCCCAGATGGTGAGCATTGCTTTCCAGTCACGCAAGGTGGTCATTGTGGGATGTTCAGATAGCACGATTCGCGCCTACGATATTACAAAGGGCCACCTGCTGCGACGGATGACTCTTGGTTCGGATCTTATTGGTGGTTCCAAGGAAATCATTGTCTGGTCCGTCCAGTGTCTCCCGGGGGGGAACATTGTGTCTGGAGACTCGACCGGCCAGCTGTGCATTTGGGATGGCAAGACGTACACACAGACGCAACGTATCCAGAGCCATAAGCAAGACATTTTGAGCTTGGCGACATCAGCCGATGGGACAGCCATCATGAGTGGCGGCATGGATAGAAGAACAGTGCTCTACAAGCCCAACGGGCAACGTTGGAGCAAGGTTTGGGGGAGAAGATATCATAACCATGATGTCAAGTGCATGGCTACCTTCGAGAGTGGACGCCTTAGTGTGGTCGTTTCAGGAGGTTTGTTGAACCCACTCACTCATCCTCAATCTCTTTTCGACAATCATTTAACTGACTTTGAATGCAGGTCCCGACGCCAACCCCGTTGTGATGCCCTTGAAGGAGATGGGACGTGAAAACCACCGAGTCATCTCAAACCTACCGCAACAACCCCCGATCGCAAGTGCCCGCAAAGCTCGGTTTATTATCAGTTGGTGGGAGCGAGAGGTGCATGTGTGGATTCTTCGAAAATCAGCGAATGATATCATCAATTCGGGGTCAGAAGGCAGCGACATATCTCAAAACCGAAAACTGCTAAAAACAATTGTTGTCAAGGGGGACTCCAACATTTCCGACGCCTCTATTAACGAGGATGGCACTCTCTTAGTAGTGTCGAGCTCGACTGACGTCAAAGCCTTCCAGCTCCAACACAACAATCCCGTAAAACCTTCCGATGTACAATTGAGCTCTATTGAGCTTCCCGGTAGTTTGACAAGATTGGGTGCATCGCAAGTTCAGCTATCACCTGATGGCTCTTGGGTCTGCCTTGTTCAGGAAGGCCATCGGGTCACAGTGGCCGAGATTCAAGCTACTGGGGGCAAATTCAACTTCTCGTCAGACAAGATCGGCCACTTGAGACGACTTGGTCGTCACATCCCTCGCTACGTCCAGAACGGAGGCCTCGGAAGCTACGATCGGACCATCACAAACATTGCTTTCAGCGCAGATTCCAAGATGCTCGCGGTGGCAGATCTGGCAGGGTATATTGATACTTGGGTTTCGCTTGACCAAGGGGAGGACTCACAAAATGGCACGGGTGAGCCAACGGATGACAGCGCTTCAGGATCCGAGAGCGAGTCCGGAGAGAGCGGGGATGAGAGCTCTAGTGACGGTCTATCACTTCGCTGGGTACGCAATCCAAATGCCAGGCTTCTCCCTAAGCTTCCATCTGCGCCGGCAGTTCTCTCCTTCTCGGAAGACGTACCCGTCACTGCTGATGGTGTGAAGGATGGCTCTGGCGATTACTCACTTCTTGCTATTACGGGGTCTTGGAACATTCTTGTTTTCCACCCTCTCGAGGGTACCTTGACACCTTGGTCTCGACGAAACCCCCGTCGCGCACTGCCCGCTCCTGTTCTTGACCTCCTCGATCTACCCAAGGGTGTCACGTGGCAGGGTTCTCGGGCTTGGATCTACGGCGTGTCCTTCCTAGTAATGCTTGATTTAGACAAGGACTTGCCCAAGGTGGCGGAAAATTCGGAAACTTCAGTTGTCCCCGCAGGAACAAAACGGAAGAGAGTTGGCCCAAGCACGGGCGCTGGAGGCAAAATGTTGCAGAGCAACCTCATACCTCACAAAATCCTTAAGCACGTGGATGGACAAGAGGAGGACGTCGAGATGGAGGACGTCCAGCGTGGTGACGAGAGCAACAGTGATGACGACGAATTTGATGCCGAGCTTACGCAAGTCCGCAATGGAAACAGCGCCGGCAATGGCGTCGGCCCAGGGAGCCTTGATCTCGCATCGCAAGATGCCCAGCAAAAAGCCTGGTGGTTAACCTACAAGTATCGGCCAATATTCGGCGTCGTTCCACTTGAAGGGAATGAGATTGCCCTGGTGGAAAGGCCCACATGGGATGTGGAGGCCGCTGATAGATATCTGGGGAAGGACGAGTAGGAAAAGGCAAGGCCATGTTTACGTAGATGCTTTGAGAGCAAGGCTGATAGTTTTCGGGACTTACATCATAGAACCTGGCAATATATTGGCGTTTGGGTTTTACTATTCGACTGCTTAAGAAATTCGAATTCTACCACAGGGGCTTGGAGCAACTGACCATTGACAATTGTGATATTGATGGGAAAATAATTGTGGCATTGCTGCTTGGTACCTCACGTTCTTAGGCAGATATTATATCCATGTAAATGAAAAGAAAAGGCAAAGCACACAGGGCCACGTTGTACGTCCTTTGGCCCCCAAACAAGTACGTGTACTCGACAAGGTGTAAGCATGCGAATCCGACTCGAGGGTAGACTTGTATGATCGTGCAACTCTACGTGTTCGCATCTATCGCAACCCGTTTACGAACTGATTCTACTGTGCCACAGGGTAGCCTCGCTTGAATTGAAACTTCCAGAGCTTGCCAGACGCCTCGTGTGATGTTACGTAGCGCGGGCCCCTACAGCTCGCGGCAAATACGCCAAGCACCAGGTAAAACGGCTTGGCGGGAGGGGCAACAGGGGTCCGAGTGCACTCTGTAATTTACATTTTCCCCATCCGAATCGGCTAGTGCCTAACCGACAGGTTCGAGTTTTGTCGTAGTCCGAGATTGGCTATGTTGTCGCACTCGTACAGGCTGCGTAAACGCACGCGTGGCTCCAGCTGTTGATGGTCTTGGCATTGAAGGATCACGAAAGGGGAGAATCAGAATGCCTGGAGATTCCTCCTCGAGCTCTAGACTTTGTATTCCTGCCAAAGACACGACAGAGCCGCATCGACACAGTTTTTCACAAGAAGCTCGAGTCTCGAGCGGCATCTTGGCAGTGGTGGATTGATCATCACCAGCTGGATCGAGGACGCGCAATGCGGCTCAATCCTCAAACCGATCAGCATTTCAAGGTGCCCGATAATGATTCGCATCTCCTGCCAAGATCTGCATCGTCCCTGGATGGCAAGGAACCCTTTAGTGTCTCAACCCCACAAAAGTACACATCTCGTCCCCTACAAATGTGTAAACGAATCATGGTGATTGCGTAGCGGCTGGCGAAGTGTCTGACGGACGGTTCGGGGGGGAACCGATCGATGGCACACAGCCACGACTCGGGCCATGCTGTTTTTGATAGATGTGGCTGGTGCGGGCCAGGACGGTGGCGCACACCAAGCGGCACCGCCTGGTTGGCCTTCACAAAATCTTATTGATTAAATTGTGCTCAGAAAAGATCCCGATGGACTGTAGCACAAAGTCCGGAAAAAGGATGGGTCAAGCCAAAGTCACGCACAGGCTGTGCCACGCTCAAATTGGACGACAGGTCAGCGCCTCGTCATCGCCCATCTAGGTTTGCTGATGATGGAGCTGGTAGGTACAGGTACTTGCCGCTGCGGCTGCGCAATCCCAACTTTAATGCCCTGGCCCCATTCCGAACATCTGTACTCGCAAGCTGGAGGGTACCTCTGCTGCCTAGCGTCTGCTGCCAGAGTGGGCAACCCGGCAGCTCTGTACCGGCACTGTTGAACCTGGATAATGAAGCCTGATAGATAACTAGGCGAATATTCTTAATGTGAGAGCTGCCGTAGACCGACTCCTTTGGATCTTTGGATCAATTCTATTCGGATGACTGACCAACGCGCTGGTACGGAGGAAAGTGCTGGGTACCTGGCTATTTCTGCCTCATCGGGGCAGTGATGACGCTAACCGCACGCAGCTCTGGGCTGCTAAGGGACAAGGGCTGAGGCCGCCCAGCGTCGATTCTATTAGTAAATGGGACAAGTAGCTGTACTTCCTGCCGGGCTATGCGGAGCCCCTGTAGGCGATGCACGGCGCTGCTGATTGGCTGCAGCCCAAAGCTGACGCGTAAACGACCACCACCAAGACGCTTGAAGGCGACGCAGACCGTCCCATGGTGCCATCCACGGGCGGTCCATTATGGATGTGCTCTGGCCGGGGCCCCTCCCTCCTTCCTAGTCGCCATTACCCATCTCAAACTACTACAGGTAGAATCCTTTTCCCAGCAAACAACCCGCTTCGATCGCAGCCGCGCATCACCGTCTCTCTGAATTGAGCACAGGTTGTGATCAATTTAAAAAAACCGTCCGCCCTCAGATCTCTTGATACCGCTGGTAAAGGCGCGGGTCAATCACTGGACGATAGGCGCTTAGGGGAGCCTGTGGCGAAACTCGAAGAGGCCTACGAATCCCCTAGCTGACGACGACGAGAACGCACCACACACGACGACCAGCTTGCACAGGCAACACTTTAGAACTCCGTCGCCGTTCCTCACCTAGGATTTAATACATCACCTACCTGAACACCACTAGACATTTGGACATATCCCCTCAACGTCAGACCTGGCTATCACGGACACAACCGCCCACCATGGCCGGCCATGAAACGCATTTCGGGTCGAATACCCCTTCGAACGGGGATTATGGAGAGGAATGGGCTCACGACCTACGCATCAAGTTCGAGGGCCTGTTGCGTGATAAGCGAATGAACGACCTCCGTAACACATCTCGACATGCCTCACCAACCCCAGGCTTGGGCGAGCGTGCGTCCAGTGCCAACCTCCGAGCACATGGCCATCACTCCCAAGAACGTCCAACAACATCTGGCGGACCAACGACTCCTCCATCCTACTCGGCTCTTCGCCATCTTCCCAAGATCCCCACAGCACCTGCAGCAGGCGATCGAGACTCACAAAAATTCCGCAACCTGCTCATCGGTCTATCGTTGACCCCCGGCAAATACGAGAACCCTGGATTGTTAGATGAGGCATTGCAGATTATCCCCCTTGACCGGATTTACAGCGAGGCAGAGGAGGAGACGCAAGTTTTGCAGGCCGAGGCGGAGAGTATGGGTGACGGCCGGAGACCGGAATGGGGCTACCAAGACTGCGTTATTCGAGCCCTGCTAAGGTATGTTCCTTTTTTCTTGCTTCTTGTTCGAGGCCACCTTCTGATTCGTATTCTCTAGATGGTTCAAGCGTTCATTTTTCACATGGGTAAACAACCCTCCTTGCCAGCTTTGCTTGTCTCCTACCATCGCACAAGGGATGACTACACCCACGCCAGACGAGAGTGCCTGTGGCGCTTTGCGAGTAGAGTTATACAGGTGCTCAAACCAGTCATGCGGTGCCTACGAGCGATTCCCACGATACGGCGATGTGTGGCGACTGCTTCAGACGCGCCGAGGAAGAGTGGGAGAGTGGGCGAATTGCTTTAGCATGCTTTGCAGAGCCGTCGGTGGTCGCGTGCGATGGGTATGGAACGCCGAGGACCATGTCTGGACGGAGGTTTACTCCGAGCACCAGCGCAGATGGGTCCACGTTGATGCGTGCGAGGAAGCTTGGGATAACCCACAGCTATACACCAACGGCTGGGGCAAAAAGATGTCTTATTGCATTGCTTTCTCTATTGACGGCGCAACCGACGTAACCCGACGATATGTTCGCAAGGCAGAGCATGCAACCGAGAGAAACCGATGCCCAGAGGAGGTGCTACTCTACATCATGGCTGAAATCAAGAACCTGCGCCGGGCCAATATGAACAAAGACGAGCGCTTCCGGCTCGAGAAGGAAGATCAGCAAGAAGATCTCCAGCTCAGAGAATACGTGGTTGCTACCATTGCCCAAGCCGTCACCGACCTCGTTCCAGGAGCCAGCTCTTCCAGCGGTGGCAGACAACAGACTGTCCCCGGCCAAGACCACAAGCTTCCAGCGGAGCAGCCAGCTCGACAAAATGGTTCCCAAGGAACAGTGGCACAACCTCGAGGGCAATACCAACAGCCACCCTACCCTCCACACCATCGACGGGATTACCATTAAACCTTTTTAACCTTTCTTATTCTACCGCCTTTGCATGAACAGCTGTTCTAGCATACACAACCATTTACCATACGCCAACAACCGTCGATCACTTCCATGATAAACCGACAACACATACGATGATGATAATATACGATTTCGTTGATATGCCGCCAACGATACATTCTCAGTCGCTCACACATTTCTCCTTTCTTAATCCTCAACTACCACCATCAACAACATAGACTTGGCGTTCATCCCGTCACCAAGTCATCTATCGAGACGGCACGCCTATCATTCTTAACCACACTTGTTTTCTTTTGTCTTTTCCCTTATTTGTGTATGTATCTTCAATATACGGCTGTCTTCTTGGATGCCCTGGTATTGGGCAGGTGTCTTGGGGAGACGATATGCAAGGGAACCACTTGCGGACATTTACTTTTCCTGGTTACGGGAAGGCCCGGCTTCGGCCTTCAGATTTGCCTGTGGCGTTGACGGTTGCTTTTTATTCGCTTTGGGATAGCATAAGCGATTCAATATGGGCATGGGATCCATGGAGAAAAGGAGACGAATTCATTTTAAGACCTGGATTAGTAGTAGAGACAACGCAGAATGCTTGTCCTTATATATATGTTTACCATTGAAACATGATATGGTTCTAAATCGCCTTTTGAAAATTTATATGAAAGCGTGACTGAGCTGTGATACGCGAGCCACCATCATTTCCTTAAGTGTCCTCAATTCGGGATGCTCTGCTAAAATGCGGAAACAAGCGCTCCTGATTTTGAAAGCAAAGCGAAGAACATCTTACCGCAGGGGTAGATATATCTTGTGAGTATTTTACTTTATTATATTCTCTATAATTGCTGCTGAGAACTAGCTGTTTCTTCGTTTATTTGGGTATTTATTTGGGTGTGTCATTTGCTGTGTCACTCATGTAGGTGCCCAACACAGCTGAAAGGCAGATATGAGGAGGTTCAGCACGTGACCACCCCTCATCAACAGCTTCGAACAATGGATGATTCATTCGCAGCATCTACCTACCTCAAGACATTACTTCGTTTGGAATCAGAGTAAATCGCCCTGTTACGGATACTTTCGAGATTCGCAAAGTATTGTCGTTCGCATCCCAGCCAGAAACCGCAATCATGGGGAGCGTTAAACAAAGCGGGAATCGGCACTTACGTCAACTAGGTGTTAATGGAGAACCAAACCCCGGGCTAGGCAACAGCGCCTATGCTCCTATTGATCTCACACAGGATTCCTCAGAAGATGAACATGTTGCTGGAAGTTCGAAAAAAAGACGCCGACCAGATGAGGAATGCCAAGGTCGGGGTGCATCATCACTAAAGAGGGCTATTGCTACCCCAACTCGAGCTCATCCACCATCGTCACCGGCATCCGCCAAGGGAAATAAGGATGGGGCTACTCGAGAGCCCACATCCGAAAAGAGGTTACGAAGATTCAGACCGCAGCCGCCACAGAGTTTCGGTGATATCCTCTATCGGGCCACCTCGCAGAGATTCTTTGTCCTGGAACGAACGAGAGCTGGGACGGAGGACTGCCCAGAAGAGATCGTTGAGCTGACAGGCTCAACGGGCAATATATATACCGTCTTCATCGGGCTTGTGCCTCGCTGCGACTGTCCCCATAGCAAAAAGGGAAACCAGTGCAAACATATCATATTTGTTCGTTTGAACTTCTGACTCTTGTTTGGGACATTGTTACTGACCTATATTAGGTGATGAAAAAGGTGCTCAATGCGCCGTCTCATCTCGTCTATCAACTCGCACTGCTCAAGTCCGAACTCATCGAGATCTTCCAGTCTGCCCCACCTATTCTGACATCTCCGTCTGAGCCTCAGGACAAGAACCGCAAATCCCTGGATAATGACTGTCCCATCTGTTTCTCGGAATTTGACAAGAGCCGCCCCAAGTCCATCGTCTGGTGCCGGGCTGCCTGTGGCCAGAATATGCACCAGGAGTGCTTCCAGACCTGGGCCCGGTCGAAAATCGGGAGGCCGACGTGCCCAATGTGCCGCAGTGTGTGGGAGGAGGACGAGGGCGCTGCGAAGCAGGTCTCCAAGTCGCAGGGCAGACTCAGCGAGGGCTATGTGAATGTTGCAAACCAGCTTGGGATCAACGGCCGCAGAGGTGTGTCTACATTGCATGGGCTATTCTGCTGTGCTATCTGCTGACCACTCTTTGACAGATACTAGCACATATTCTGAGTGGTATTTCCGACCATCTTATGGCCGAAGACCTTATGGTCGAAGATGAAGGCCACCTCCCGTGGCGATTTCAGAGTAAAAAACTTGCCCTGCTACCCAAAGAATTACGTCCGACGCAGAAAGGCAGATTTCCAGGTTGTATTTGGCAATCTTGAAGCATCTTCGAATCGTATCAACCGAACTCTGATCTGGAACGAGCATGCCTGTCGAAACTACCCTGCTGGGTGATGGGCGATGTGGGATTCATATGGGCATATTTGTTTGCTTCAAGCGAAGTAAGCTTGAGGCAAAGGGAACTTACATTCTCGGCGTTGTCCTCTAGACATTGGGGCTATATATGACATTCCGGCCACTGAAACTAATGCAATCTCATATAGTATGCGAGCGGCCCTGGAAGCTTCAACAGCGCTTACAACGTGCCGGGACTTGGGCGGAGAAGTGCAAGGCGTCTGGGGGAGCAAAGTACAGTAATCCAACCCGTGTGTTATTGCTCGTGTTGTTGAATGCCCTCCAAGTACAGACCGAGGAAATAAACAATATTTAAATAATGATTTGTTTTTATGCCATTGACAACATGCGGTGCCATCGGGCGGGCTGTCTGGTGGGGTGTCGCGCGAAACACTCAACGCGCTGCGAATTACGAGTCGCGTGTATGGGCGCGTCCCCTGCCGGCTGACTCTGTGCCGCCCCAGCCTCTTGCCTTATATTAGATGATGTTCCCCATTCTATCAATCTCTCCCTCCGCATCTAAACCACAATAGAAAACTTACTTATATTCATTTCAATTGGGCATACTGTCTCTCATAATTCATTCTCACACATACAGCCATGGAGTTGAAACGAAAGCGATCTTTTTCCTCTGTCCTGAGCTCTCCCAGCTCCTCCCTATCCAATTCCCCTCCACACGACCGGGCAATGATGATGTCCATGATCACGTCTCCGCTCCTTCACAGCCGCACAATGAAACGGTTTCGCAACAGCCGCCCTTCTGAGGAGGAGGTCCATCGTAAGTTTTTATTTTACAATTCGACTCATAGTCTCCACATACTCATTCTCCTCTCCCTACAGAACGAACCCTCGGCCTCCTTTACTCAGCACAGCAGAACCCGGCTATGGTCCCGGAGCCGGCACCCGAGTCCACCTCGTTGAACAGCACAGCTAGCCGACAGCAACAATCACTCCATCGCTTCTGGAACATCAATTCGAGACCCTCGGCTCAAATCGAAACCACGGCTATGGCGAACTTCTCCCCAACTGCGTGCGAGGACTGCGGCGCCGGCCTGGGGGCGTCCGGCCAGGACGACGGAATGGACATCGACTCCGCCGGGTTTGACGACGATACGGCCTGCGGAGCATGCGGGAAACACGTCTGCTTCAGCTGCTCGGTGAGCAACCTCGGCGAGCAGAAGCGGTGCTTACAGTGTGCTGGGCCACTTCCGACTCGGGCCAGCTAAGTGCGGAGCGGGATGTGTCGAGTGGTGCCGGATCATGATATCGGAGTTTTGAAGGGTTTAGGCAACTGCGGTTTGGAAGGGAATCGGCGTTCTCAATCGGTTTTGGCGCTTGTGGTGTTCATGGCAGGGTATTTCAGGGATTCATCCGGAGCGTGTGCTTTTTTTGGGCTTGACACTTCATGCACCGGATCAATTATAATGATGGGTGTTGGTGAACATATACCACATACAATTACACGAATCAATAAGTTCAAAAGACCATTATGCTGTTTCGAATGAGGAAAATGATATATTAAGACATAATAAAGATTTATCTTGGCAAAGAAATCAACCGCGTCGGCGGGTAGTTGGCCCCTTCTTGGAAGGAGTGCTTGAGCTGGTGGCAGAGGCAGCCTCAATGGGGACCGCCTTGCGCTTTCCCTTGGCCTTCTCGGAGGGTGCGTTCCAGTAAAAGGCCATCTGTAAAGCAAGGACGGCATTGAGGATGAAACCAGAGACACAGCTGAAAAGAATGAGCTTGTCGTCAACCTCCTGGAGAGTGGTGAAGATGCGGGAGAGGGAACCAGCAAGGTAGTTGAAGACCTATTGACAGATTAGCTGTGAACAGAGGAGTGGAACATCATGCTGCTCGAACATGGTGTAGACCAAGGGGGGGTTACTTACAGCAAAAGCGCTGAGCTGGCCAGTTCCGCCCTGCTGGTAGATGGCAGCGATCTGCGGCAGCTTGCTGGCAACACCGAGAGCTGCTGCGCCTGCCTGCAGGTAGCTCAGTGTCTGCATGTTGAACACATTCTCGGTGAAGAGGGCACCGATAGCTCCAGCAAGGGCGGCAACGAGGACGGCGGCGTAGCTCGCCCGTCCGCTGTAGTTCAGGACCAGGACCGAGATAATGACATTCTGACCGAGGATCAGAGCAGTCTCGCCGTATGTGCTGAATGGGAATCCGTTTCGGAAGTTGTAGGCCAGAGAGATCAGGTAGGCGCTCGTCTCGAGGAGGTAGGAGAGGAAGGACACGCCAGCAGCCGACTTGGAGTTGAGGAGCTTGAGAATCTGGGGGACCTTGACGATGGATGAGGCGGCAATGATGCCAATTCCCAGGCCCTTGCTGATGGCGAGCTTGAGGCAATCCACATCCTGGAGGTTCACATCGAGGAGCAGCGTCTTGTAGCAGGTCTCGCCGATGATGGACACTCCAAGGTCGCGGATGGGCGCCGGGAGGTTGTGGGTGACGGGCTGGACGGCGGAGCGAAGCACATCCATCCTGGGCGAATTTTCGGCAAGAACGGGAGGTGTGGTCTTGAGAGTGGATGGGTGATCGGCCGAGAGATCCTGGGAATTGCCTCTGTCTGGAGAATTTGTGGTGGTTGACAAACAAGCAGTCAAAGCTGATCAATGGTCAGCCGACAGAAGAATTCTGAACACGGTTCATGGAAGGCACGCGAACCCCAGCACCATGTCCCCTAGCAGGTGGGCTTGGTGGGCTGTTGGCTGCCCAGCCTTAGCTGCCTGCCGTGCCCCCACCGGCCACTACGAGTCCATGTCAAGCAGTCAGTTCTCACAATCACCCAACGGACAGCATCCTGATGACATCAGGTGGGTTTGGCATGAGGCCAGCATGCGCCTATTTCCTGCTTCGAGCCAAGTATGACGGCCCGGATGCCACTTTGCATCTTTCGGCAGAAGCACGACGCAGGACGCGAATGCGGGATTGCTGGAGCTGCGCCTTGAGAATCTCATTTGTGACCGCCATCACAGTCGCAATAGGGCCTGTGGTTCGGTCGCAGAGAGGCTCAGCAGGGTGTATTCATCACCTCTGTGATTACCTTAGCAGGGAGGGCAAGGTGGCATTAGTCACTCAGCGCCCGCTGTACCTTTGCTGTGTCACCGGCGATCCCATCCATTTCTATTAACGTCCACGGTCCGCGCATTGCTACGGGTAGGTAGGCGCCTGGGGAGGGGCCTACACCAAGGCAGCGATTGCCCCATTGTTCCAAGCCCCAGGACCAAGACGACGCCAAAATGCGGCCCTTAATTGGGCCTACTACCTATGAAGCGACAGTCGCATGCCAAGGTTGGCAGATTAATAAATGTCCTCGTCGTTAGGTTAGGCTGAATCGCCTGGCTCAATCAAATGAGAATGGCAGTGAGGGCATCTTCGTTCTCGCGGTCTGAATGCTTTTGTCCCAGAGTTCCCTGATGGGACGGAAGCAGATGCGTCATACATGAGGATTCCACAGACTTCCATCCATCGCAGGCACAGCGTAGAGGCCACTTAGTAAGGCAGACGGAGGCATGCATCAAACGCATTGTGCATCAAGTGTGCGCACCCTCCGGCGGTATGTTGGAAAAGCGTCGAAACAAGGATGCACGTGTCAGCCCCCGACGGGACTCCGTTGGGCTGTCCATTATTACCAACAAACCTGACCACTCTCCACTGCTGCTAGGCACAGCTAGTCGCATCGATCTGCCCATCCATCTCACAAAACTGGCCAGCTAGGAAGGGACCTGGCACCGGGGTGGGAGCCTATCCGAGGGCCAGCGCTTACTGCTTGGGTGCTGGAGGCAAACAATACCATGAACGAATGCCCGTAAGAGTGAAACCGCAGAGGCGAGTCACGGCGGCATACCCAATCTCGACGATCCCTCGACTTAGCAGCTCGTGTGCGCCACTCATTCTGACCTGCATACATAGATAGATCGATCTGCTCACCCGCCTGTTCCTTCTCCATTTTCTGGCTGGAGGTTTAACTGCCCGCCTGATGCCGGCCACCTGGTACACACTCTTTGCATCTTCAAGCACCGGCCCCGCGCCGTTTTAAGGCCTTCTCAACCACACATCCATCATCATGAAGTCAGCCAGCGGCGATGCGCCGCCGTCGCAAGACTCGAAGCCCTCGAGTATGCAGTATACCTGGATGTTCGAAGGCAACAATGCCCCTACCAAACAGCTTGACGCATTATTAAGAGCCATCGCACATTATATTGTATGTACCCCGTCCTTCATCGAACACTGCCGCCCTCCGTCCCTCGTCTGCTTTCTTGACCCTCCAACCTGGCTGCCTGCTAACGGCAACTCTGTACCAGACGCGCGAGATCGGTGACAGAAACGATCCGCATCTAACCCCAAAAAAATTGGCCGCTTTCTACAAGGCTGTTGGTGGCGACTACGATTGTGAGTATTGGCTGCATCTTTACCTACGATGGAGCATGTCGCTAACCCAGGCTCTCTCTTCACAGCCCTCTTCGACAAAGACGACCATACGATATCTTCCATGTGGCAGCTCACTGGCTGCCAGCATTCCTTGCAACCTACAGACAACGATTACGCGCCACCCTCGATCCCCGCCTTGACGTCCAGAGGCTTCTCTCGATGGGAGTCTCTCGAAATCCTTCTGGGTCCCGAAGAGCATGTGCCATTCTTGCAGTACGCTGTCAAGAACTGGAACTTGAAGAACCTCGAAACCGGAGAGGCCTTCCCCTCTGATCTACCCAAGAACGTGTTCCCAGCTCAGCCTGACCCCGACGTCGATCGCTGGCATGAGGACTGCGCGGCCAATCTGTGGAAGGAGGCGTCGAGCGAGGATCTGCCCAAGGTGACGAAATCCGAACCTACACCTGAGACATCGTCGGGCCCCAAGTTTGCCTATCCCAAGAATGCGGACGGTCACCCATACCCCAGAGGACAACGCCCAGTCTCATTTACCCATGTACATGGACCGCCACGGCCCTCAGCGGCCGCACACCACTCGACTGGCCGAATGCCGAGCAGAACGCCGGAAATACCTCGTCGCGAAAGCCCGCCCTCGCGCGAACGTGAAAGACGAAGGAGCTTCTCCGACTACCCATCCTCCACTACACAAGAAAACTTCCCCTCACATTCATCATACCCACCTCCCGCCCCTTCAGCGGATGCCAATTTACGACGACCACCTGCGCAGGCACGACGACACAGCCATCCTCGGCCACTTGGCTCTGATTCGTCTGATGACGAGGAGCAGCCCAACCGACGACCACAGAACTCACCACAGGTACCTCACAACAGGCGGTACCCCCCATCTGTACAACCCTCACCCAACCCTGGTCGTAGTCCTAGACCGTCAGAGCCTCGTATGGAGGAACTGAAGAGGCGGGCAGGGAGTAGTCCTCGACTCGGTATCAGAGAGCGAGTGAGTGAGAAGGTGGCCCACATTTTCCCGGGTGCTCCTATCGGCACTGGTCGAGGGGCTGAGCGACGTCCTCAGTCGGACTCGAGGCCAGGGTCATATGACTCGACTCGTGCCCGCAGAAGTCCACATCAGAGAGCTCCGCCCTCGCGGCTTCAGCGTGAATTCCCAGACAGCGAGTCTGCGGGGAGCCCCGGCTCAGATTCCGAGGATGAAGTGGGCAGAAGGGCTCGGGCGCGAGAGGATCGTGAGAGGGAACGTGAGAGGGAACGCGAGAGGGATCGTTACTCCGACAAGTCACGACCGTACGTCCTAGACAATGAGCTCGATGATGATGTAGGCCACGGAGGCCGAAGACAGCGACAGCAAAACCTACGGAGGCCAGAAGCCCATAGAAGAACAAGCAGCCATGCCGATATTGATCGGCGTCGGGAAAGTCAGGGGTGGGATCCTAGGGAGAGGGATAGAAGTCGTGCCAGAGAGGAACGGGCACGGTGGGATAGACGGCCGTACGATGACCGGAACAACTCCAGCCCAGTGATGGGTGCGCCTGGAAGACACTATGAACGGGCATATTGATCAAACAACAGAGAACGGGAACATCTCTACTTTTTTTTCGGCGTATTTAGAAGAGGGTCGGGAGGAGACTCCTCGTGATGAGCATCACAAGCAAGCATCTTGGATTTCGCACATGTTGACGACAGAATAAATAATGGCTCTATTCCGATACTGTGGGCAGTATCGATGGGGGAGTTTGTTTGGCTTTTTGTTTGTTTTTTACTGGTGAGCACTTGCTTGCTATTTTCAAGGGCTGGGAGGACTCATGTCTACATAGAATAAGATGACATCCTTGCATTCGCCTTAGATAGCTCACCTTTTGCAAATGAATACGGAGGCTCACAACTCCAGGAATCTGACTTGCCTAACCCTGTTAACGATGAGAGTGCACATGCATGCCCGCGGTCGTGACAAGCAGCTGGTGGGTCTCAGTGGGACTTCACTCCTCCTGTGTCGTGAGCTAGTCAACAGAGACGCAATACATTTGATAGGTAAGTATACGGCAGTCTTCACGCTGTGTTTTGTAGCTTGCTCGGGTGTTTTACTCTCTTCCAGATCATGTCTCAATGAAGAAAATGCGTGGTTGAACATGTGAAGCCTGACCAAATACCTTTTGGCGTTAAACAATGAAATTGAGCTCAGTTTGGTCAGTCATCCTTAACGTCGTACGTGCATTGTTCGCAACGTCGGGTCCGCTTCTCTGGCCGTGAACCGGTAACAACCTGTGAATTTCCAACCCCAAGGATCACAACAGATACGAGTGACCTAACGAGTACAGTATGCAGTGACAGTATTCCACGACATTGTTGATTCACACGTTGCATCGCATACATTTACAGCGTTATGGGGGAGGTATCGGGTAGCCAGCAGCGTGTGGTATCACAGCGCCGGTCGGAGGCGGCTAACTCCAAAGACATTGGTTTGATCTGCTCCCTGAATCTGACTGGAACAGACGCTGCCGCCATGATCCATCAGTGGGACTCGAGGACGCCCCGGAGGAGGGCCCCACCTTCTCGGACCCCTCCAGCAGGATGGCATAGAACATGGGACAATGAGACTTCCGGCGCTGAGGCGCTAATATGGACACTATCTGTTGACTCGAGGTCACTAATTGACAATGATAAGTAGACAAGATCCTGGGTTCGAAGTCTTCGCAATTTGTTGTAGGGTGCATTGGCCGCAATGATGCTTTGTCGGATGCGAGGTCGTCGGCCTCAATGTACATACCTAGGTAGGTACCTACCTACCTACCTACCTAAGGTATTGATGCTGTTTTAGTTGCCTGCTCTCCAGATAACGCTCCCATTGGAGCCTAAGCAATGGGGCTAGGGAGGAGCACGGGAAGCTGCTAGGCGCTCTTTCCTTGGATGGATGCCAACTTCCCATCCAATGGCTGCTTCGTAATCAGTTGACTGGCCAGTTAGCGTAGCGCCTCCCCAAAGCCTCGTCCAGGGGGTGGTGTGCCCTGAAAATCCAAGCCCGGACCGGTCCAATCCTGTGCTGCCGTCCAGGTGCCTTTTGGATTCCCGTCAGGCTCCAGGCCGTGTCTTGGTTTTTTTTGCTTCTACGCTTCTTCCATTCCTTGCTTGCACCTGCCTGGTTTCTCTTGCAATACATCCTCGTTACCACTGTTTGTGTGCATTCCCCCTTTGTTGCCACCAGCAGCCAGCGCGGACATCACGACCATCGCGAACTCGGCCCAACTTTACTCGCCGTTCTTGGCCTCCAGCCCCCCACCCCCTTCTCCAGAACTTTCCCAGGCCACGCCCGGCAACTTCACCACGACCGTGGAGTTGCTGACTGACGCTTTGTTGGCCCTGCCTGGTGTTTGCCTTTCGTTGGACCGCCCGTTCAAAGCGACAGCGTGTTTGCAAACTCTCGACGCACTCTATTTAGGCGGGGTTTTCGATCTTCCCAAGCCTGCACTTCACCCTCTTCTCCCATTCGCAATCTCACTGCCGGCTACACCCTAGCGTCGCCTTACTCCGAAAACCGCTCCGCCGTGATCATTAAGACACCATCAAGACACGCAATAAGCACGTTAACTCACCGATCGCTACTCTCCTACCGCCAGCAGAGTATCTGTCATCGAAGCCGCCGAAATGAGGGGCCGTTCCGTCGAGAAGCTCGTTTACGAGTTCATTTTCCCCAAACCTAAAGCGAACGACCCCCAGAACTTCCAGGCGCTGCTCACCCGAAATCTCATCCCCGAGGTCCGTCAAGAGACACAGGCCTTCTACGGCCACCTCGACACCCAGGAAGCCAAGTACCCCGGCCTGGACTATACGCACAAGACGCACCGCATCCGTCTTCGCCGCTGGCCCTGGCACACCAAGCTGTTCCGTGCGTTTGATGAACTGGGCTTGACTCCCGCCGAGATCGCGGGGTTGACGAGATGGGAGGGGACAAAGTGGGCCAAGGAGAAGTTCGAGAGCGAGCAGGGTATCACGATCCGTGACACTACGGCCGATGACATCCCCGAATGGGATGACGAGCAGGATGGTATCGTTAAGTCGTACGGGCTCAGGCAACCCCGTGTGCTGGGGGACGAGGAAGACGACGAGACATCGCCCGACGAGGATGAGGAGGAACAGAGCGATGACGAGCTGGAGAGCGTCGGCATAGAACTCAACCAGCGGCTTCGGGCCGGTGCCGCCCGCCGAGAGGCTGGCGACACTTCTGCTGTTCTCGACGAGGAGTGGGAGCAATGGTTTAAGAACGCGCTCGAGTCAGGGCTCATCCACGACGATATGACTGAACAGGCGTTTCGTCAGCTGCTGGAATCCACCGTCGTTCCTACCGGTCTGATTCCTGTCAACATGGTCTCGGCCGCTCGCGCCGGCCAGTGGTCAGAGATTCCCGAGCGTCTGCAGCCCATTTTGCGTCGCTCTCTGCGGTCAGAAACAGCCAGTGCTGCCGCGCAGGAGTACCGCAGCTCCCGTATCAGGGCGTCGTGGAGCCCGGCTACTACCAGGTTGTCTGGCTTGCGGTTACCAGCCGTGGGGGAGTCAACGTCTAGCCGCAGGTCGGCTGGAGCGCCTGGGGCACTGAGGTCTTAAGACTTGCTTACGGTTTCACTATGATGACGACTACGTGCTTCGCTCGCAGATCAAATCGTATTTGCTGAGACTGAGAAGCGAAAATACATGTTATGTTATGGGCGTACCTTGGTTTCTAAGGCCACAGAGGCTACTTGACCAAGACAATGGATGCTTGAAGGAGTTGAATGATGGGACGCAGCAAGAGCAAAGATAATCGAAGAGTAAGCAGAATCAGCCGTCTCTTTTCAACTGGGACTGGCAACGGAGTTTGGGCGATCAACTTAGGGAAGGAAATCAAGCAGGCAAGATTTTTCGATTATCATCTCTAGCGAAACCTCCCCACGAAAAGAGGAGGGCTGGGAAATCGAACGGGACTATATTTGGGACATTCTTTGATAGAAGCGATTGCGTATGGGATTTCGTATCGGCTTTTTTTTTTTTTCCCTTCTTTTTGTAATTTCCTTCTGGCGCGTCGACGGCTCGCGATTAGAGAGCAACGAGCAATACAAGTATCTTCAAAGAAACATTTTCCCCCAACCGCGTGCTTAGATTATCTCACTTCCCAACGCCTTGCTTAGTGTCTAAAAAGGGAAATCCGAATTAACTCCATGTACCTCCCTGGAAATCATAGACGTCTATGCCGCCCCGCGACCCAGATCAGGAATCTTCCAATGCTAGAAAAACATAACAACGTTACAGTCGTGTTTCATGGATCCCTAGCTCCATGATGATGCAGTTGCCCTCCTCCCCGCAAGCCGCCTCGGCTTGCTCTTCTGCTTCTTCTCCTTGTTCTTGTTCTTGTTCTTGTTGTTGTTCAACTTGATGGTGGTGGTGTTGAGTTCAGTCGGGCTGAACGTGAGGCTGCTCTACTTCTCAGGTTCCAGGTGCGACCACTCGGGGACAGCCTTGATCTGCTGCCACATGTACTTCTCCAGCTTGTTGGCCGACTTGGCGTACGGCGTGCTCTCGTTGTTGTATTTCCGGCAGTTCTCGAAAACCAGCCTCGCGTCCCTGATAAAATCCTCGGGAGTCGAGTACTGGTCAGCCTCGAGCTTGTTCTCCATGGTGCTGAGGTCCATGGGCTCCTTGATGACGTCGTAGTAGTCCGCCACCTCGTCGCGATTGACCGGGACGAGGAACGGCCATGCGGCGTTGTGGTTCTGCAGGTCGTTGAGGAGGTGAAGGAGTTGGTTGTAGTTGGGGCCGTGGCGGGGCTGGCGGGCCAGCTCGTCCATGTCCGGCGACCATCCGGACGCACGGATGGCCGGGATGTCGAGGGGGTTGATCTCGGTGATGCCGTTCTTCCACTCCTTGGGAGGTGCGTGGACCAGATGTGACTTTGAATATGCGCGGATCTTAGCCTGGACGCATTCCTTTTGCTTGAGGAGCATCCGTCCCATCTCGAGGTACCGGATGCGAGGCAGCATGGAGCACTGCATGATAGTTCCTCCCTCGTAATCCTTGATGTAGCCCATCCATACGCTGCGGTCGAGTGTGATCTCCTTGGTGAAGCCCTGCTTCTTGAAATAGCCGATGGCGTAGTTGTCGGCGTATGTGAGGAAGTGCATGACGTCGCTCGTGGCCTTGACGTAGTCCTTGAGATGGGACATGAGATGGGCACCGTAACCCTTTACCTGCTGGTCGGAGCTGATGGCGCAGAATACGATTTCGGCAAAGCGGCGTCCCTTGAACGGTCTGTAGGTAATCCCGCCAACTACTTCCAAGGGTTTCTTAACGATGGCGATAGAGAGATGGGTTCGGTCATAGACTAGGCGGGCGATGTAGTCCTTGGGCATCTTGGGCAGCTGCTTTTGGAATATGCACTTCAGGCCGGTAAGGATGATGAGAGACTCGCGGTCGCCGTCGTTGTTCACCACGCGGAATTCTATTTCGCCATTTCGTTCTTCGATGACGGCCGGCTGGGTGAGGATGTTAGCACTGGGTGCCTAGGAACAGACGGTGGGTGGAGGGTGAGCCGACGCACCTTCTCTGGGAATGGGATTGGTTTCATGGCCTTTCTGTCGACCTCCTCGGTGGCATCCTGGTCCTGCTTGATGCGCTTCGATGCTGAGGGGGACGAAGGCTCCTCCTCAGCCTTGCGTTTTGCGCCTGGCACGGTGTCAGCGCGGTGCTTTGCGTAGCGGGTGTGTAGTGAATCAGAATGCTTACCATCGTCCTTCACAGTCATGGTGTATGGATTGCTCTGGGGACGCACTGCTCGAGATGCGGCGGCTGTGGCTCGTCATGCGTGTGCGGATGGATGCTGTCGCATAGCAAATGGAGAAGCATCTCGAGCTCCCGCTTCACTAGGTACTTTACTCAGGCGCGACGTCAGATGTCGAGGCGTGGGCCCACGAACCAATGAAATCAGATGTCCCGCCCACCGCGCTCCACACTCTACCTCAGGCGGTTAGAGCTTAGAGCCGCGTATCCGCTCTAATCCTATTTGGGTTATCGGCCAGATGTCGATAATGGTAAACAGCTGCTGGCCCTTTGCTGATGAACGAAACCTCCTACTTCACCAGAAGCTCATTATCCGCATTCTCCCCATTGCCACGACTACCCATTGAAAGCGCCATTACCCGACAATCGGATTCGATAAACTATTCAGTCTCACGCTAGTCACATATGGATTCTTCCTTGCATGAGGTCTGGCAAGCTGCTGCTGGCAGTCCCTTTCTTCCCACAATTGGCAAGGAAAGCCAGTTCACCGTCGGATTCTTGCTGCTCCTCATTGGAGTCGCATTGACAGGTTACTTTGCGCTGAGTAGGTTCCTGACAAGGATAGATCCTCCTCTTTCTTCAACATTGAAGCTAAATAGTTCCCCTTAGACCGGTCACTACTTAACGTCCCGCTCCTGGGTGTCCCTGCCTCAGCAGCTATTGCGTTCGTCTCACCCCATTTTCGCCTTAGAAACAACATGAAAACCATACTCACAAACCAAATAGGGTTGGAACGGTGTATATGTTCTGCGCAGTCGGAGTTTACGTTTGAGATACCCCCCAAGAAGAAGCGCCCGAGAAGAAGCTCGGTTCGGCCAGTTCCACTGTACAATAGTTGAAGACCAGAAGAAAGCCATTGAACGAACGCCTATACTTTTCATTTCACCATTTTATTGTTTCATTTCTCATTTCAGAATCGGCATAAACCTCTGCGCACTCCCCAGGGTTCTATATAAGATGGCGACTGAAAATCCACCCATCTTCCGGGCTGTTGCAACGTCCACGCGGCCTTTGTACCAACTTCTCCGCTGCATCGACTTTGCCCCAAGAGTGCACGTTCAAATCACTGAGCAGGGTATACGTTTTACGGCGGACCTCTCACGTGTGATGCAAGGTGTGCATTTCCTTGTTTGTCCCCCTGATGTCAACGTGACAATTTCTCACAAGCTCGATAGGTGTTTCCTTTCTTGGTTCCGATCTCTTTTATTCTTATACTGTCAATCTACCGAGGGATGAGGGTGAAGAATCTCCTGCGCCTGTAAACTTTCAAATCCCACTCGGCTCTCTCCTGGAAGTTGTCCAGATTTTCGGCGCTGTGGACGTGGCGACACGAGCACAGAAGGCAGACCAAGACTCTTATCGAAGCAATTTCCGCAATTATCGCCCTGATGCTTTCAGTAACCATGCTCTTGGCCTGGCTGGAACATGCACTTTTCTTTACACGGAGGAGGGGGATTCGTTCAAGATAACCATTGAGGAATCGGGCGTCAAGACCACAGCTGCACTTACAACATACGTCCCTGAGATCCCTGATGAGATCCCCTTTGACCGCGACGACATGAGCTTCAAGATTATAATGCAGGCACGCTCCCTCCTTGACTCTTTGTCGGAGATCACGCCGACCAGCCCTAGCAGATTGACTATCACGGCTTCTAGGGGATCACCGTATTTATCCTTGGCAGGTGTTGGGGATCTTGGCAGCTCGGCCGTCGACTTTGCACGCGGGAGGGATCTGATGGAGACCTTCAGCATCCAGGAGCGATTTTCTCAGAGTTACAAGTTCGATTTCATAAAACACTCCACGGAAGGGATGCGTATTGCAAGCAAGGTCAGCCTCCGCGGGGACCGACAGGGCGTTCTCAATCTACAGCTCATGGTAATTACAGAGGGGGACAAGCACAGTTTCTTGGACTTTCGGTTTGTGCCATTCATCCAGAATGACGGGGATGAGGACGGCGGAGGAGAAGATGAGGAATTGTAAGGCAAGGTTGGGTGCTCTCGGACTGTTCCTGGGAAGGGCTGCCGGCTGGAATGGATTTACCGTGTAAAGTGGTTGAGTAGTAGACATATCTCCATATATCTTCTTTCGCGATTCTGCTCTCCCGATTGGTGTGGCAGGTTTGCCCCCAGCCGCCGGCCATATCTCCATACCACTCCCAGCCTGGTGATGCCATTTGGACGCTGGGCCAGCGTCGGTCTCCACGGAAAGTTAGATCGTGTCTTAAAGTTTCTTACCGCTCATTGGTGTTTCTTTTGTCGCTCTAAGACCTTATCCTACATCAAGACTAGCTTTCATGTAAGTCTCGGCAATTTCTGTCTGAGACCTATGCGAGGGGGGTCAGCAATTGGGAGGCTGATGCTACCCTGCGGGTGGAATGATCAGCCATCATGATTGGAACCGCATTGCATCGCGAGGATGGAGAGTCATGCTATGGACGCGACTTGAGGAGGCTAGATGTCCTGTGTCTCTGATGTCGTTTCTTTTCTTTTAAGTTATAAGAGGCGCGCTGGTTGACGGTATGATGTCGAGATGTGTAACTACCTCAGGCTCGCTCATCGATTACGACATTGAACGACTTGATCGTCACCCGTCACCATTTTATCTTCGTCGCCTATCGTGTGTCTATCGTATATCAATTGATATCCCCATTCTACGTTTGAGCGTTACATTCACGCATTTCAAGGTAGCAACCACTAAGCCTTACGAGCAAGAATTCAGCCCAGCATGCACTCGCTCTCCGGATTCCTGCATCGGAAAGATCAGCCCAGGCTTACGACCAGGTCCCGAAGCGGGCACTGGATGACCACCACCACTACGTCAGCGAGGCCGCACGCCTGGCTCCGGACCGTCACTGACTGGTTCGCGGGCTGCTGGGGCACCGCCTGTGGCAGCTGCAGGAGCAGAAGCAGGAACCAGGCCGGCGTGGCTGCTGCTGGGGTGGGAGCGCGCCGCCACGAGGACGAGGAGCACGAGCCGTTGCTCGAGTGTCAGAGGATCGAGGGGGAGGAGTGGTGGTCCAGGCACAAGCGGTCCCCCTCTGGTGCCTCGTGGTGCGACTCGGAGATGGAGGGCTACGTGCCCAGCCGGGCCGCCTTGTCGTGCCTGCGGACGACGTCAGGCAGAGGGCTGAGATGTTGAATCACCAACGGGGGGCCATACGGGCCCTTAAACCAACGGAGTGTACGGACCAACATTGCGGACCAACAGTACGGACCAACAGTACTAGGTATATGGACCAACAGTACTAGACGACCCGAAGGAGAGGATAGCACTGCAAGGCTGTGTGGTTCTAAAAAAAACTACCACACCGGTTATCCCAATCTACGATTTAACCTATGGGGAACGAGAAAACGTGGTGATGTTTATTCTTCTTTTCCCCTCTTTGTTGCTATTTCCAACGTCCGTCTGCACCGGGGAATTGGATGAGTAGATGCCAAGATGGAAAACGTGGTTCATGATCGAAGCCGGGATAGTCTGGCATGTTGTTTCTCTTTTATTTTTGGCATGAAGCCCACGAACCAACAACTTAGCGGTTTGGATTTACCGGATGCGGGCAGGGCCCTGGGTGGAATCGTGCTTGGGAGACGATGAGCGGGCAGGGGTCAACGTGGACGGCATTTCCCATTGATTGGCGTCTTACTAACAGCTGTTGTGCATCTCCTTGGGACCATGGATTGGCTCAGGGCAGGGGGGCTGGGGGTGTGGAAAATCCCTGGGTCTGGGGACAGTATTACGGGGTGTGCGCGGGCTGGACAGTAATACGCACCAATGCAGCAGCGCACCAATGACGAGGGCATGGGAAGCGACTTATCGTCATGTGATAAGGACAAAGAAGCGGATTTACGTCAAGCCCGGCATCTAAAGCCCAGCAGCAGAGCTAGAGGGCTGACAGCGCGATATCCTGAGTCGGTGAGGATGAAGCTATCCGCATCGGGGTAGTTGACAGCGGCCAGTGGACCGCTCGAAAACTTGGGGGAAAAGGGACAGGACAAGGCAGTTCGATGGAATTGACTTGCGACGGCGCTGGACCGGACCGGCAATGGCGGCCTCCGCACCCGAAGCAGCTGGGCCTGGTGTGTGGTGGTATCAACGTTGCAGCTGTCGCGGGCCAGATAAGGTGAGGTCTGCGGAAGCGAAGAGGTGAAGAAGGGAAATGAATGATGGGAAAGAGATCAGACGATAGTGGTTTCTCGGGGGTTTCCCCAAACATGTAATATAGCATTCTGATACAGTTGCATTGACGGCGTGTAGCAGATCAGCGGCACATCGCCCGGGGCCCTGTTTCCAGTGGCCGGTGGTGGTGTCCTCGTGTTGCAGAAGCCATCTCAATTGCCTTTAGCTGGTCCCCAAATCCCACTCTATTGCCACAACTGGTGGGTTGCACCACAGCAATCACGCTCCATTCTGTTCCTGGGGATGCTCTCCTGCTGCACTCTAACTTGTGGGTGTGTATCAGGTTGATAGCTCGATGGCTGCCCTCTGGTCGCTCAGGCCGAGGGCGCGGAGATTAGATGGTGCCGTCAACTGACAAGACACATGGTCTGGCCCGTCTTTGCCCCAAGGCTACCTTCTCCTCACGGCAGCTTTGGCGAAAAGGCACAGCGGCATCCACAGGACAGACCCTACCGTCAATCGCCTGCCTCTCTGCTAGCTGCCGGATTAGGATTTGAGGTATCCAGAATCGATCGATTCCTTCTCGGCGCTAGCTCTGGCCCAGCCATCCTTCCGCCCGTAACGCCAATGACTGGACGCAACGTGATAGCGAGCAGAGGGGCCAGTCTCCAGGCTTGGCTGAGGCTACCCACGAACACCTGCTAGCCTTGGGGCGAGAGGCAAAGAGCAATGGAGTAACGGATGAGCCGCTTGCCTGTGCCTCATGGTCGCGCCGATTAACATGTCGTGAATTAGGCAGTACGCATCTCGGTCGGCAGGTCTCTATCCATGGCTCGGAGCGCTAGGCAATGCAGGCAATAGAGCCTTCGTCCATCTGTGGACCCCTCATGCGATTTCCATTTCATCTCCCTCGCCTTGTTCTCGGCTGGGCTCGCCCTGCCTGTGGCCGAGGGCACGCTGATCTCGGGGTGGCCTCGGCTGGCCAATCACACATGCCACGGTGGTATGAAATGTAGGTGTGCTTGCTTGCTGGAGGTAGGGAGTCGTAGTTGCATTGCGTGATGCTGTTTCGTTTTCCGCGCTATGCTACTCTCTGGGTAACCCGGGGATTGTCTCTTGTCTAATATCCTGTTGGCTGGAACACCACATGGACCAACGCGTTTCTCCCTCTGTGCCCATTCTTTCGCCCTTTGGAATTCTTAGCAGCGGTGCTATAGACGAACAATTTTTTTTCTACTTCATGATAGTAATTGGCCCCCACCGGCTGGTCACGTAGACAGACCCGCGAGCGGATACAAGATCCTCTGCGGAACGAGGATGAGGAGACGGCTGTCACTGCTGTGAAGGGCAATGCGAATGGCAGGGGGCGGCCCCATCAACAGTTCGCACACCTTCACGTTCGCATGCCTGTTTGCCGTAATGATTGTCGGGTATTGATTGGTGGGCTAAATACATGCCACCTATATGTAGCTCGGGCATGAGTGCAATAGGCAAATGAACTCTTGCAGCGAATCCCATCCCAAAATCGAGTGGCGCAGAAGGTCACCACCAGACACCAAAAGCGACGACTACTGCGTCCCTACATCCGAGATGCATTTGCAAGATGTTGTACTATTGGACGCCGGCATATGCAGTATTGGGACTTTCGAGGCGGATAGCTGGCGAGATGCTGGGCAGGAGGGCAAAAGTCACACGAGTAAAATGCTGTTGGGGGCGGTGCGGTTCGGTGCCGCCCTCAGGTCGAGACAGTAGGCGCCCAGAGGCGATGCAACCACCAACAGACGAGAATACCCGCCCTGCATGCTCTGGATTGACGCGCTGCGCTCCCATCGTGCCAGCTGAGCTCACAACCAACTCGCTTGGATGCGCAGTTGTTGGATAGTGGGATGATCTAGGTGGCACTAGCCGCCAACTGGAGGAATTTCTGGCTTAGCCGTCACGCACACATGCGCTGTTGGCGATCCAGCAGCGCTGGCTTGGTAGCAGTTGGATGCGATAGGATACCTCCAGCTTTCAACAGCATGCTACCTTAGGTAAGGCACTAATTAGCCTTCCTCAGTAGCGCAGGGCCGTAGCTGAGGCAAGGCAAGCAAACGGCAAGCCCCACCCAACGGTACCGCCGGCAGCGAGGTAAGGCAACTGGAGCAAGTAATAGCCTAGCCGATTGCTTGGGGCGTTAGCTCCTGCCAGGCCCTCTGTCACTGGATGATAGTATGATGGAATCTTACGGCATGACCCCACGGTAATTAATCCATTGCTGGTGGCTTGCATTTATCCATTTCCGCGTCAGAAGCCCAACGGTGAAAAAGCAAAGGCGGGCAGGAAATAAGGGCTGACTTGCGCTGCCTAGTCATTTCGTGACGCAGTTCACGATAATCTGGAGTATACGATTTTTTTTTAATACCGGATTCGGGAATTTCGTCTATCTAATTTGGCAAACCCCGGCGCACACTCCAGGTCCGGGATTGAACCTGTGCTTGCTGACTGTGTATGTAATATTAACATTCCGCTCTCACCGGCAAAACGAACTGGGAGTGAATCGGAAGTGAGTAAGCAAATCAAAGGAGAAAAAAAGCAAATGCATGAACGCTTGATGGCCTCAGCACCTTAGTGGTCCCGGGGGGTCGGGAACTGCGAGTCGGCCACTGATGATGGACGTGTCTACCCACCACTTTGGCCACCGAGAGCGGCGTGGAGAGGAGAGTGTGCACATGTGTGTCTCTGGGAGATAGATGCAGCTGCCAAGAGGCACACACCTTACGAATACGCACTAACTTACGATGCTGTACAGCGCAGAGCTGGAGGCTGCTCTGGTGTCGAAAGCAAGAAAATGAATCGACTTCCCCAATGAGGAAGGGCCCTGTTCA